CCCCCCCCCCCCCCCCCCCCCCCCCCCCCCCCCCCCCCCCCCCCCCCCCCCCCCCCCCCCCCCCCCCCCCCCCCAACCAATCCGCCCGCCCTTTTACTGGCTGACCAGTACTTTACCAGGAAATGACCAGACCAAACAGGTCTACCCACGGGACTCCTGCCATGAGATGATTAGTACTTCTTTGTTTTGCTTCGCGACTGTTTTCCCCTCCCTTTCCTCTCTTCTCTTCCACTTTCACCCTTATCGTCTCGTTGAACTCCGCGCCTTGCCACTCTCCTTCTGCCTTGCTCTTACTCTACTCAGCTGCAGCAACAAAGAAGACACAAGAGGTCATGGACTCTCAAGGAAATGACTGAAAGGACCGAAACTTGGGGTGCGGATTTCACGATCACTACCCAGTATCTCTGCTCCCCAACAACAGACTCCACCTCGACCGCCACCTCGACCATCACCCTCTGCACCGACGCCGGCACTCCAACAACGACGGCGGCCGTCGGCACTCCAAAATGGGTTTACAAAGAACTCTACTGGATCGCTCCTACTCGCCTAGGCTTCGTCATCGTGGTATTGTTGCTTTCTTTGCGCTATATTCATTGCTACTGTAAGCGTTGAGGTACGTACAGAACTAATTTTGTTTGGACACGCGCCATATGACGTCGTATACCAGTTGCCACACATCAAGCATTGATGTTGACTAGTTCTTAGAGGACTCGACCGGTGGCTGTAGACTCTCTGCAATCAGTCCCGAGAGGTATCTGCAGGAATACGCCAACACGCAAGAGGCGAATATAGCTCCTGTAGTGAGGGAGAACGCGTGCAGAAGATGCCATCCACTATGCAAATGCATGAAGCCGGCGAAAGCGATCGCAGTGCAGCCTCCGAGAATGCTTGCAGCACCATATGCTCCAGGCGGGACCGAAGCTGAAGGCATTCGTTTGTAAAAGTCGAACGAAGCGCACCACGCTGCTACACTGATGGCAGGCAGAATGAACATGCTGGACGTAGAATGACCAGCACACCTTCCAGGCCATTGATCCCTACTGGATGGGCACGAGGAGTAAGTGTATGGGTAGCAACAGGCACACTGGATGATGCAAGTGCCGAGATAAGCGCACATTACCATTAGCAAGTCCCCGGCTTGGTCCGCCATGATGACAGGCTGAAACGGTGTTGGGAGGTTGATGGCAGATCTTTTTTCAAGGGTGGCATACATGGTGGTTTTATACTGCCCGTGGCAAACCCTGTTCATGTTTCTTGTGGCAGGCCGCTAGCATTTGGGATCTAGTTCTAGAGGGAAAACAAATCTAGTCGTTTCTTATTCGGAGCTATGTTACATAGCGCATGACCGTAATGTGAAAATGTCCTTGTCTGTGCACTGAAGGTGCGCCAACGCCTTCTAGCCATCCGCTGAGGGGTTGCCGGATTTGCAATCGGGCGGCGGGCCCTGATCACTGGCCATCATGCCTCTCATGATCGCTGTAATGATCCCAAACATGTTTTCAAGGATGCAGAAACCGGCAAGGCCTCCCATGGCGAATGATAATCCAGCCATGAGACATCCCCCCTTGCGCGCCTTCATGGTGGTAAGAACCGCGGCCGTGATAGAGAATCCGAGGATACTTGCGGCGGTGTACGCTGCGCTTGGAATCGAAGTTGAACGGTGCTCGTCCCATGCCTGAAGTGCTCCCAACCAGGAGAAGCCGCTGAGCAAAGGGGAGAGTTGGATCAGAAGGGTCCCGGCGTTGAAAGTCATGTTGAAAATTTGGCGACGAGTCGAAGAGTTTCGTCGTCTTTTGCGGCTGTTCGGAAGATGAAGCTTGGACTGTGTTTTATACTGCCCAGGAGAAACAGTGGGGGCCCAACTTAGTTTAATTCAGCGGCTCTGTGATGATGATGCGAGAGGGAGAGATGTCCTCCTCTCGATAGCCTAGATAACAATAATAACTCCACGTAGGTGTTTCTTCCCGTTGACCTTCGTTGGGGCTAATGTGGCCCTTGCCCCTTCCCGCTCCCGGTTGGGCCGGGCAGGTGGCCACCTTCGCTCCAGGCCAAAACGCAGTCACGTGATTCCACAGTTGGTTAGAACATATTGTTTTACTTCTTGAGCCCAGATGAGACGTAGTGTGTCCCAAGATACCTCGCACCAGGGACGTCTGTATGTGGAAACCTTTAATGAGTAGACTTGGCACCTCGAGGGCCGGCCCAAGTTCACGTGGAACTTGGCCGTGTCTACTTTTCAAAGCTTACATCAAAGCATACACAAAGCGAAAACGTGAAAAACCTCAAGTCGCGAGACCTGGTACCTCAAATCGAGGCACAGCATGCAAACGGTCGATGACCACCCAAGCTTCCAGGTTAAGAAGCTCAAGTTCTGGACCTTGTTATGTCTCAGGATGTAGATGTCTGGAAAAGCAAATACGTACGTTTTTATGCGAACCGTGCGGGGCTTAAAGTTAAAATAGGTATTCAGGCAAAGTTTGTTTTGATCAGGGGTCGTGTCACGTGCGGAACGACTGGCCTGGGTCCGATGAACTAATCCCAGAAATTAGATTTCCGGTCGTACTTTTTCAATTCTCATCTCGATCAAGGTGCGGGGCGTGAAGTAGCGAGTGCTACCGCAAGGATGGGCCATGGCATGAATAAATTGGTGTTGATGACGCTTGGTACTGGCCGACTCGGGCATCTGGCGATCCGGGTCGCCTCCAGAATGGGCTATGAGGTCTTGGTCTGCACGATAATAGGGCCAGGAAGCAAGACACCAGATGCAGCCTGGACACACACCAGTGACTGTGCATTGCCTGTGCTTTTGCTTCGCTGCCTGGTCAATCCCGGATTGTCGGAGATCCACATGCAGTCAAATGCGGACCAACATGGTCGAGAGCGGACCCGGACCGGAGCTTTTGAGTGGGTCCTTCCGGCGTCATGTCTCCGGAGTCCGGACTTGAGCATCAAAATTAAAAAGCTTCCCTATCAATGCTGTCTAATTCTATCGCTACGTAAAAAAAGAAGAAAAGAAAATGCTGGCGGTTGTCATCAGACCCCTCACACACCCTCACAACCCGCTGTCAATCTGATTCGGAATATTCGTGTGCGTCCACTTGCCCCATTGGCGACACGTCTCGGCGACCTTGTTGGGAACCTTGTACTCCTCAATCTCGTCCGGCATGACCATGAACTGGGTCATCATGCCGGCTGACACGTGCAGGGCGACGTGGCAGTGAAAGGGCCAGACGCCCGGGTTGGTGCCGGCGTCGAACTGGAAGACGGTGTAGCCCAGGGGCTGGATGAGGAACGTGTCGCGCCGCTGGGGGTTCTCTGGGTGAACGATGGTGCCGTCCCATGTCGCATTGATGCCGCCTTCGGCGAGTATGTACATGTTGAAACCGTGGAGGTGCATTGGGTGGCTGTTTCGTTAGATGTGTGAGAATCAGAGGGTACGTGAGGACTTACGGCTCTGGTATCTCGTTGTACAAGATCACGCGCACGCTCTTGGCATTCTTCGTGCTCTGCACGTTCCACTCGGGCGCAAACGAATGGTTGCCCAGGTTGCTGAGCAGCATCGTCGGGCTGTTATAGTTGCCGCGGAAGCCGACATTGTCGTTGGTAGCAAATTGTAGAATGTTGGACTCGTTCATGAACATGGTCATGGTCATGTTGATGGTGAGGTCCGGCTCCGGCACGGGCATCTCCATAACGGGCCGCGTCACCTCGAGGGCGTCGTTGCCGCACGTCGCCGGGTCGGGCCTGTTCCAAGCGACCGACGACGGGAGGGACTCGGTGTCGGCGTCGTCGTAGTAGATGGCTGCCATGGCTGACGGCTGTAGCGCGGCGTTGCACAGGACGGAGACGTTGCTGCGCATCCAGTAGGCGTCCTTGTCTCCGTTGGCCTCGACAATCACGTCCGCCCTCTGGCCAACGCCCAGCGTGACGACCTGCGTCTCGTAGGGCTCGACCTGGATAAAATCGTTGGATATGACTGTCATGCTGTGCTCGTCGATGGAGAAGCGCTGCATGCCCTCGCCGCCCGAGTTGACGAGACGCAGACGATGCTTCTTGCCCTTCTCGAAGCGGAACTGGGAGACGCCCGCGTCGCTGTCGCACGGGGCCGACGCGTTGAGCGTGTTGGCGAGCTCCGTCAGCGCCGTCGAGTTGAGCGTTTTGACAACGTCGGGGATGCGACAGTCGTAGTTCATCTTGCCGTTGATGAGGTTGTTTTGCGTGTACACGCCACCCTGCGTCAGATTGACGAGCAACAGCTGTGAGACAATCTCATGGTACTGTCGGTGGTACCAGTCGGAGAGCATGACGGGTCCCAGGTCAATGTCGTAGTCCTCTGGCTCGGGCCCGTAGATCACCATGGGGCCAAAGAGGCCGTCCGCATACTGCGCCGAGTAGTGCGAGTGGTACCAGGTCGAGCCGTGCATGTCAGCGATGAAGTTGTACGTGTAGCTCTCGCCCGGGGCGATGGGGCACTGCGTCACGGACGGCACGCCGTCTTCCCAGGGCATGTCGCGGTGCAGCAGGCCATGCCAGTGCAGCGCGGTGCCCTCCTCGGGCCCGGTGATGTTGTTGAGAACCTGGACCTGGATGGTGTCGCCCCAGTTGGCCTCGATGAGGGGGCCAGGGAACTGGTCGTTGATGAGCAGGACATCGCGCTGATAGCCATCCGGAGCAATGATGCCGCGGCTCACAGTGAACTCGTAGCGTCGGATCACGCCCGTGTTGGGTTTGTCGTGGTAGTAGTTGGTCTTGGCCGTCATGTTGCTCCACGGGGCGCCGTTGGGCATGGGGGCACCTGAGAGGTACTTGGGCAGGGTTGGGGCGTCTAGAGTGCCCAGCACGGAGTGGCTGCCAGGCTGTTAGCTTGGCTGCGTGGTCGAGAAGTAAATCTGTGGCTCACCCGTTGGTCTTCATCTGATCGAGCTTTGCGGAAGTTTCTCCCATGAACAGGGCCGCGCCGGCGGCCAGGAGCCCAAACAAGCCATGCCGCATCATGACTGATGGTATGCCACAAGCGTACAAATGTGAATGAACGAAGGGTATTGGATGGAAACAATGAAATGCGCTCAAAGTCAAATCCGACCAGCGGATACAATGCACAAAAGAAAGTGAGGTTGGATACGCAAGCCAACTAGGGGAAGGAATTGTCGACCTATGCTCGTGATGTTCATGGACTCGCTGATCATCTGGGAAATCGGGCAAGGCCTGGGGTCTTAAAGTAAAAAGCTACTGAACTGCCAGGTTCAGCGCCAAGTCCCGTACGGAGTAAGGCTTCAGCTGGCCAGAGGGACCCTTGGTGGCGGGTTTTCCATTTGCAGACTGCAGTTGAGAACATCTGTAGGAGCCTCCGTGCCAAGACTGGGATCGGCATCACACATGTGTCCATCCACGTGCAGGCCGGCGAGGGATTCGGAGTGAGCCGAGTGCTTCCCTTTTTCTTTCTTCGCTTGGACACCTGAAGTCTGAATCTGAGAAAAGATCTGCTAGAGTAGTCGACACGTGGAGCGTGGACGTGCTTGTGTCTTCAACCACCTCACAGCGCCGACAGCTACGCCCAAGTTTGTTGGCGGGCCATTTCGCGGCTCAACTCGAAAGATATACGATGTCTGCAGGGTCCTCCTGCAGGTCCACGGCGTGGCTTCTGACGTTATGTCATTTTTCAAGGCCAAATGCACTGCCAAGAGACCCTTGGGGCCGTTTGGTTGCGCGGCAGACGTTGGCACCACTGCCCCGACTGTGCCACTCGGGGTCCCAAAGCCTCTCTCACAAAGGGAACCTTGGCCCAAAATCCCGATTGGAATTTGGCCTAGTCAAAGAAGACCAAGGCCTCTCCCGAGAACTTGCCGCAGTGTCGCTCCTTTCCTCTTCTGCGCGGCGTGGAGGAATCTCCGCGCCCAGCCGGAGGAAGCGTTTCAGCCTCATAAGGATACGGAATGGCGAGGGGCAACCCGCTCCATTGGTGCAAGCGAATGGCTCGATGACTTATTTGTCTTTCCAGGGCCCACGAATAGCTCGACAGAGGAACAAAGGTTGTGAATTCATGACGCCTTGATGTGGGCGATCCGCCCAGGATTAAGGTCGTTTGGGGGTACGCAAAATCTTCAGCTCAGCGCCGATCTTTCACATTTTCATACACACTGATCATGCCTAGACATTTCAACCGAACACATTACACTCAGGCAAATCCCACAGCTGCACACGACGGTCCCGACCTTAGTGAAGCGAGGTGCAAGCTCGCCAAACTGGATAGGATAGTATTGGAAAGGCTGATGATGCACCGGTCTCTTTTCCATATTATACAGGGTACAAACCGAATGACATAAAATTAGATTGTTCACTTTCTCTTTATAGATTGTCCTGTATCGTACGTCGAGGGGCGTGCAAATCTTCATGTTCATTGCGCTGATGTCTTGGGGTATAGGGTTGTCAGTTACCTTGATGCTGCTTCGTACACTTCCTGCGAGATGGCACGTGCAGACGACTGCAGAGTCGCAATGTTTTAGTCAATCGTCATGTTTTATCCGTGCTCTATTAGACTTGATGTTTCAGATCGGCTCATCGGGGCGAGATCCTTCCTGGCGAACATGAGATCTGTGCGTTGTCGTGCGCCGACTACGCCACAAGTGATAACACACCATATAAGGAGGTTGCTACCACCCTTGTAATCGCGAACCAAATCGGCAACGCACTTCTCGTCGTCGCGGTCGCAAGACAAGTCCACAGTGAGGCCAAGGTCGTGGGCTAGAGGGACCACCGTGTCATAGGGACGCTTCCGCTTGCCGTCTGCAATTCACCAAGGTTAGATAGTGTCTTCTCCCCTAGGACGCCTCCCGAAACAAGCTGCTTACTGGATTTGTACTTCTGGGCCATGATGTGTCCAATGTGGTACTGTGATCCCGCCCCCGGATACGTTCCGTAGGCACTGCGCGCGCTGCAAGCCTTGGGGGCTCAGACCAAGGCCAGCTTCCCTTGGCTTCTCGCCATGGCGGATCAGGTACACGGTAGGATCGCCAGAACGCAGGAGAAGGGAGTACAAGGACGGCCGCGCAGTACTTCCTGGTGGCTCGCGGGCTGTGATGTTCAATGTTGTTTGCTGAGGAACGGAATTTTTCCATACTTACATTGACATATCCCCGGATCCGAGATTCCAGTGCCCAAGAACATGTACCGGCAGACGCGGTATGTCGAAGACTGTGGACGGCCGGGGAAAAGCGAAGAGGAACACTAGTGGCTAGACGGCTGCGCTGGAGTGAAGACTAATCCGATAGCGTAGGCGCACAATAGACTGGCGCGATGTGAACAGAGTGTCACCTGCTTGGAAGCCTCACCTTGTATGCAGATGGACGGCTCCAACAGTCAGCTGCACCGAGTAATGGGCGCATGGAAGAGCAGAATACTTTATTTGAACAGCAGCAAAGTCGGACTAGCTGAAAGCTGAATCGACCCTGCCGAGGGAGAGACCGACGGCCCATTGCGTGTGACCTTGGGGACAATGTCGCTCAGGGGTTCGAAGACAATCCAACCAATCGAGCCAGATGCCACACGGAATAGCCTCTGCAAGTACAAGTAAGCACGATTTTGCCTTGCGCAGCGAGAACCAAGGATACCACCACCAGAGGGGGTATTCAAATTGCAAATCTTTCATTCAGCTTGCTATCAAAACTGCATAAAAAGCCGTGCAGAATCCACTGCCTCTGTAAACCACATGGAACCCAAGTCGTTTCTCGCCCAATGCCCGTGCTGCCACTGCTAGCGTGACTATCTCACCGAACTTTTGCTCTCCACCTTCTCAACCCCATTTCTCCCACTCAGATGCCGTTTGCCTTGTCCTCCAGGACGGACACGATACTTGGTGCATCCTGGGTCACGGCACCTGCGTCTGCAGGCTTCAGGAGGGGGCTGTTGGGACGGCTGGTGATAAACTGCATACATGTCAGTACATGATATAATCAGGGTCGTGGCTCTTTTGTGAGAGCCGCATGTGTTTTCAAAACTCACATTGCTTGCGGCGCTAAGAAGAGCCATCAGAGAGCTCTGGACCACATCTTCGTGGATGCCGACGCCCCAGACCGTCTGCTTGCTGCCCGAAGGCTTGCACTCAATGTAAGAGGCGGCCTTGACACCCCGACCCTCACCGATGGCGTGCTCCTTGTAGTCCTGGACGTCAAAATCTAGGCCAACTGGCTTCAGGGCCGCGACCATGCTAGAGATCGGCCCGTTGCCCCGACCACGCAGCTTGTACTCTTGTCCATCCGCCATCAGCACACCCTCAAAGATACGCATGAGACTCTTTGTGTCCTGCGTCTGGCCAAGGGCGGCAGGGGCCGGCGATGGCGCCCTGTCGGGCGTGATGGCGTAGTCGATGAGGTTGAATCGAGGGGTTTCGTCGAGGAAGTACGACTTTTTGAATAGATTGGTAATCTCTTCGGGCTTGAGCTCGCGTCCCAGCTCCTCAGCGCGCTGCTGCACAATCCTCGAGAATGCGACTTGTAGGCCGCGGGGGAGGTCGAGCTGCAACTTGGAGTGCACAATAAAAGCTGTACCGCCCTTGCCGGACTGGGAGTTGACGCGGATGATTGCCTCGTAGGTGCGGCCAATGTCCTGGGGATCCAGGGGCAGGTAAGGCATCCCTTGCCATGGATCTTCGGCGGACAGGCCCTGGCGCTGTCGGTTCTGGAAACCCTTCTTGATCGCATCTTGATGACTGCCCGAGAATGCGGCACAAACCAGGCTCCCACCGTAGGGAGCACGCTCGTGCACGGGGATCCTTGTGCATGCTTCGACCATTTCAATTACCGAGTTGAGGTCCGAAAAGTCGATCCCTGGGCTCACGCCCTGGGTGTACAGGTTCAGGGCCAGAGTGACCAGGTCGACATTGCCGGTTCTCTCACCGTTGCTAGACAAGATCAGTGTTTGCTCGTCATCGGGGAGAGGGAGAAAAGACGAACCCAAACAAGCAGCCTTCTACTCGGTCCGCTCCGGCCATCTGACCCAGCTCTGCGGCCGCGACACCTGTCCGAGATTAGTTTATAGCCCGGCTGTAGCAGATTTGTTGGTACGAACTTGTGCCACGATCGTTGTGGGGGTGCTGCCAAATTGTGTGAGCATGAACTCGTCGTGATGCTGCAGTGCGAGACCTACCAGAGAGACGCAGACGTCCTCCCTATCTCCAATGTTGTCGCAGAAATATTCAATCATATCGGCATAGATGTTGGGCGTCGCAAGCTCCACCGTCGCGGGCAAGTTGAAGATGATCTGATCCTCCTTTGCCGCACTGGGTCCCCATGCCTCTTTGACGGCGCGGCACACCTTGACGGCATAATCGGGATCGGTGTCGGAGAAGCACTCGGGCGAGAACTCAAACTGCCATTTGGTGTCGGCGGCGTCGGGGTTATCCTTGGTCAGGGACCGGACGAGCTTTGTGCATTCCACCGCCAGGTTCAGCGTCTGCTCCTCGGTGTATCCAAACACAACTTGTCGGAAACACGCACTCGTCGCGAGGTAGATGTGGATCGTAGCGTTCTTCGCGCCGCGCACGGATTCAACTGTTCTGCGGATGAGGTCGGGGCGGCACGGGGAGAGTACTTGGAGAAAGACGTCGTCGGGTACAGCGCCTGGCGTCTCGACCAGACGACGGGTAAAGTCAAAGTCGGTTTCGGAGGCGGAGGGGAACGAGACCTCAATCTCTTTGTATCCGAGTTCGCACAGCATCTTGAAGAAACGCCATTTCTCATCACCGTTCTGTCGTGTGTCAGATCTTGCTCATTTGATGGGCAACAATAACCGTTTGTTGCCAAACACCCTGGTAACGAGCGTACCATTGGTTGTTGCAGGCTCTGGTTTCCATCGCGAAGGCATGACGACAGCCAGCGAGGGGGCTTCTCGATGACCCTGTCAGGCCACTTTCGATTCGGGAGACGCAGCGGCTGTACATGTCAGCTCGTGTCACCGGTTTGGGGGTCTGTGGAAGAAGAATTGCTGGCGTACCTTGAAAGCCTGGTATTTCTTCCACGGTTCCTTAAGGCTGGAGGGGAAGATCCATGGTTAGCGGAGTGATCTTTCGCAGGTGCGCGCTAGGCCCACCACGTACAATGGCATATTTGCTGCCTCGCAATAGTCTTTGACGGACGCGGGAGGATCTGGCGACGCTGATGCGCTATACAGGCTGACAGTCAATGTTTTAAGAGCAAGAGCCTAACCGCGACTTTGAGAGGTATGGAAGAACTGCCGGCCTGAACCGGAGGAGAGGTAGTAGAAGGATTTGAGTCACGGTGTGGGGCAGCCATACATTGTCGGGTATTCACTTTCGCTAGTGGGGTGAAGGGGATGTTATGGTACAGCTGAGCATCCACGATACGTTCTTCATGCATGTCTAAGCCGGTGCTTGCCAATGTCACCGTTCACTCAATTAATCATTGCGCCCTCCTGGTGATGAAGGGCGCGCGTGTGACATCACCTAGTACAAGTGGGAGATACGCGGGCAGCATCGCGGGGTGCAGCTTATCGATAAGAAGCTACCGGGTCCACTGGCAACGCGCACGCCGAGATCGCAACGGATACAGCTTCACGATTTCACAAATCACACCAGGAACCTGCCCGAGACTCACAGTCTCCTGCAGCATACAATTGAACAATCCCGGTGATATGCGTATTCGTCCCGCCCCCTGCTACGCTACATACAGCCAATAGTCATGTACGCCGCTTCCTAATGCAGTGGCACCCATTGGCATCTGTTACCCCTGGCCAAGCCGCGGATCCGCTCATCAACGGCTGCAAAGAGTCAAAGAGGAAATGGCGGACATTGGCTTCCTCAGGCTTGCATCCGATCGACCATTTGAACCTCTGTTGGATCCATGAGGGGCAGTCACAGAAGTGTCCGAGATCATAGTGCCCTTTTTGTGCGTACCTGTCAACACCGTTCTTGATGCGACTACAACCATCAAATGCAGAGAAACGAGGGACGAGAACGGCTTGTCGAGTCTCTGACTGCAACACGACGACCTGCCGAATCTGTTGCAATTCGTACAGTACTGTCCCGGGGATAATCTCTCGGCCATTCGAGGAGATGGAATGGCAACCAGCAATGTTGGGAATGTGAGAGGACTGCCGCAGGCGCTCAAATGGGGCACGTAGGCTTACCTGTCTAACTTCCAGTGGACATCCATCTTCCCGCGCGGTCTTATACCCAAGAGTCTCATAGACACCGTGTAGGGTGGCCTCGACGTCGCCATCGACAAGGCTGAAGACCTGTCTGGCTCATGTTTCCTCCGTGAAAGAAAGCAGGATGTATGTGGGCATCTCAAGGACTAATTTCCACATCGTGACAAGGCTTCAGCATCCTGAAGTATTGACATCATTTGCAGATTGAGACCTACTAGGAGCCAGCTGTATGATTTGCCAATGTTCAAGTTGCAAGCGTCCGAAGACGCATTGAGGGAGCCTCTCTTGCCCGTTCGCCTTCTCGACAGTCTGGGTAGGAGCCGCACCCATGCTGGCAAGATTTGGTACATGGGTCAAGCGACGGAAGAGGCAAATGACGATGCTGGTATGGAAGTGGAAGCCGGCTGTCAACGTCCTCGTTAAAGTGACCTGGCTAGATCGGTGAAAGCATCATCACGATGTCTAGCGGCAGAGGTGTTGAGTCAAAAGACTAATGCACTCTTCGTCAGAACTTTGCCCCAAGATCACACCCCCTTTCGGTCGGGTGTGTCATGCCTTCATGGTTAGTTCAGGGGCACACTTCAAAGCCTCGCGCAGGTCACCTAGGCTTCGAGCACATACACGATGATAACATATTGCATTTGCATGCCCACTATATCTAGTTCTTGATACGACAGTTGATGCAACAGTCCCGACTTTAATCTTGATCTTCTGGGGCCAAGGCAGGCGCTTGGCAAACAAGACAAAGAGCGCTGGCTTCTCAGAGCAGTTTAAAGTCCTGATCATACTCCATCTATTCCTTCTTCGCTTCTCTAGAAAATGTGAGGCTTCGCCACCCCTGGAGTCGCATCATCCTGGCTTGCCCCTATTTGCGAACTAGGAGAGGAGCCGGGGAGGTTTCTTCAACATCTCCATCCTCGGTTTCCGCTTGGCCGTCGTAGCTCCATGTTTCTGGACTCAAGCGTTCTCTTGATGATCCGTTCTGGGGCGTATCATGGGGTGAACCGTAGAGAAACATGACGACATCTTCGGGACAGAGAGTCAGGAAAAGGCACAGGCGATACATGTATATATGATATGTACGGCCTTCGTTGGGAAGGGCGCCATCTCGCGGACCATTGCGACGTACGCGCCTTTTCTTGTGAGACTGTTCTCGACTGGCAATTTCCATTGTCGGCGCTGTAGATGTTGTCCGTTGCTTCTCCAGGGGAGTCATGAACGGACTTTCGCTTAACTCAGACTTGGCTTGTCGTTCTGTAGTTCTGTTGCAGGTTTAAATCAAATTCGGGGAGGAGATACACAGGAGTAAGATATATATAAAGACCAGTAGTAGTTTCCCCCCAAACTTATTCATTAAGTGCGCCTTGCTGACTGTTCCTCATTGTCCTCAAGCTTTCACTTACATTGACACCGCCCAAATGCTATCTTGTGCCGGCAAAGTTATTTGCTTCAGTCTCTTTCTAAGTGCGCGGCAATTTCCTTGACCGAAAGCACCTTTGGCGGTTCTTGCATTCCAGAGTGCGAGCAGTCTGCGCGTTGGCGTATGAACGAGCCGAGGAGATGTTGTGTCAAGCCTTATTTGGAGGTGATTTCTTGTATGTGCTGTTCCAAACAGCACCAAAACATGACTGACGTTCGGTTTGGCCAACAAACTGTCAAAGCATGCGGTAATGACTGCCCAACCTTCATTCATTTTGGTATATGGCAACTGGTGTGCTGAGGATTCGCCGTTTGCTGGGTTGCTAAGGAACAGTGACCATCGCCATATTCGCTAACACTACCCTATAGGTGGCCATTAAATTAAATTGTGGTCCGGAATTACAAGCAATCGTGGGGAGCAGGATAAGCACAGAAAACATTCAAGCTACCCTAAGGTAAGCTCGGTGGCCATCTTTGGTCGCCAGGCGATGAACATTGTGAGTTCAAGGCAGCGGCCAATGAACAGTTAAGATGTGACGCGCATCCGTATTTCACAACGAAACACTGGTGGCCACTAATGGTACGATGCGAATTTTGCATTGCCTTAGTGGAAATACCGATCTCGGAGACCGACGAGCTCGGCCCAAACGGTCGAAATTAGTCATTGAGCACGAAGCCGTTGCTTGATTTTGAGGCTAATACTGTGTGACTAAATCAGAGACGGGATGCCGAACTGACAAGTCTTGGCAGCGTCTCGAGCGACGGCAACGTCCGAGGGTGAACAAGATACGCAGGCGCGTCGTCACATGCACGCAGTCATGCCCCAGCCATATGAAGCAGAAATTTATATCAGAACTGCCATTTTCCATCAAATTGTCGCAGGTCGACCTGGTGCGAGGTTGTGGCCGGCTCCGGAGAAGGCGCGCTGACGGGGAGGCGAAGAAGCAAAAACGTGGGAGGAATGACCGGCTCCGAGCCGAGGGGACCTTCCTTCGTCATTTGACGCGAAGTCAGGTGAGAAGAAACGTGAAAGTGCCGCCCCACTATGTGGTCCAAAATGAATGGTCTTGACCAATCACGAGGCTTCCATTCTCAATCTTCACAACTGAAGGACCGAGGAATTCCAAAGGTTTTGCGCAATCCCCCCAGGTCTTTATCAACTTCGCCGAGACCCTCTTTTCCCCGAGCCTGCTGCCTTAAGTTCTTTCTCCTTCCTTTCGCTCCTCCAGTCCTTCCTTTTCTCCAGATTGCCTCTCGAGTTGCCGATATCTCGCGCAGTTTTTTGACCCTGAAGCTTCTCTCACATCACATCGCTTCATCGCTCACTTCCATACAAGGTCAGCCTCTCCGTTTTGCATATATTCGACGTCCATATCTAACAACATTCCAGATGGCTTCCGCCGCTCGCAACTTCTCCCGCGTGGCTACACGCACCACCGCCCGCAATGCCTTTGCGACCAGCGTCCCCCGCCAAGCCTTCCGCCAGCAGGGCTCGCGCTTCTACTCCTCCGGCTCCCAGAAGCAGTCCTCCAGCTCGCCTGCCCTCCTCGCTGTCGCCGCCGCGGCGGCCGGTGGTCTTGGCTACTGGTACTACACTGCTAGCGGTGCCCCTTCCGCCGCCTCGACCAAGATTGTCAGCCCGACAAAGGACGACTACCAGCGCGTGTACAACCAGATTGCCGAGCGCCTCGAGGAGAAGGACGACTACGATGATGGCAGCTTCGGCCCTGTCCTCCTGCGTCTGGCCTGGCACGCCAGCGGTACCTACGACAAGGCTACCGGCACTGGCGGCAGCAACGGTGCCACCATGCGCTTCGCCCCCGAGGGTGACCACGGCGCCAACGCCGGTCTCCTCGCCGCCCGCGACTTCCTCGAGCCCGTGAAGAAGGCCAACCCCTGGATCACCTACTCCGACCTTTGGATCCTGGCTGGTGTTGCCGCCATCCAGGAGATGCAGGGTCCCATTATCCCCTACCGCCCCGGCCGTGAGGACCGTGATGTCTCCTACTGCACCCCCGACGGCCGTCTCCCTGACGCCACTCAGGGAAGCGATCACTTGCGCAACATCTTCTACCGCATGGGCTTCAACGACCAGGAGATTGTCGCTCTGTCTGGTGCCCACGCTCTGGGCCGCTGCCACACCGACCGCTCCGGCTTCGAGGGTCCCTGGACCTTCTCGCCCACCATCCTGACCAACGACTACTACCGCCTGCTCGTCGAGGAGAAGTGGCAGTGGAAGAAGTGGAACGGCCCCAAGCAGTACGAGGACAAGACCACCAAGAGCCTCATGATGCTGCCCACCGACATGGTGCTTGTGCAGGACAAGAAGTTCAAGCCCTGGACCGAGAAGTACGCCAAGGACAACGAAGCCTTCTTCAAGGACTTTTCCAACGTCGTCCTGAAGCTCTTCGAGCTTGGTGTGCCTTTCGCCGAGAGCAGCGAGCGCTGGACCATGAAGCCTACCTGGGACGAGTCCAAATAGATCACATTGATCCCCTCGTGTCTTGATATGTGTGTTACTTGGTGGAGGAACAGGAATACGTTTCTGTTAGACTTACGTCCTCGGTAGAGAGGTACGCAGTGGCATTGGAGTTTGTTGGTTGACCTCTCTTCGTTAGAATTCCTTAGAAAGGCTGGTGCCCCTAGGCATGCGAGCCGTGACATTAGACCATAGGATCAAATCGACAGTGTACAGCTTAGAAACTGCGTCGTTGTGAAGTTTAGCTAGCTTGAATGTTTAAAGACGTGCAATGTGCCGAGACGTGTCGGTCAATTCGCGATTGACATGTTTAAAGCGCGGGAACCCCGAGCGACCCCGAGCGACCCCAAGCAGTGAGGTTCTTGAGCGCGCAAAGGGAGCGGGATGTGCAAGGAATTCGTCGCTGGCAGGAACACGTCTTTTTGCCAGTTGGAGAGGGCGCGTGATTCGGGATTAGTCTTGAAGGCTGGCGATAAACAGAAAAGGAGTTTCATCTGTGAAGAAATGAACCTCCAGTGCTGTCAGACCGAAGTACCTGTACAGGTAGGCATGAAGTACCTGGGGATGACGCAAATGGCCGGATATCGCCAACTAACTTAAGTTAGTCTGCTTACTGCTACATCAACAAAGGTGATCCGGCACCTACAGTCCCTTGCCATCGTGAAATTCATCTGCAAGTTGGACTTTTCATCTGCACACCTCGACGCAACACAAGTCAAGCGATTTTCTCCTGGCCGAACCACCCAAGTACTCATTTGCGCACCTGACTGAGCCGTCGAACCCCACACCATCCGGGATCCAGACCAGCCTCGTCACCAGCTCGCGTAGGGCGCAACCCGCCCCGTCATGGCCGACCGACACGGCGGAGACGGCCAGACAGGCGCGTCTTCCGTGTCGCCCGCGCAGCAAAGCAATTTCAGCCCATCTAGTGGGGGTGAGCAAAACAACAATGGGTTGAACGCCCTGAAGAATCTAGCCGCCAAGCGCTCGTCGCGAGGTTAGTACCATGCTACCAGTCAAATCGAAGCGCAACACAGCTGACGAGTCGCCTTCTCAGCCGACGGATCACAGCCGAAGCGACGAGGCCCGAAACCCGACAGCAAGCCAGCCCTCACGCGACGGCAGGAGCTCAACCGCCAAGCGCAGCGGACGCACCGCGAGCGGAAGGAACTTTACGTCAAGGCGCTGGAGGACGAGGTACTGCGGCTCAAGGAGATCTACAGCAGCGTGTCTCAGGACAAGTCGCGCTTGCACGAGGAGAACAAGAAGCTCAAGCGTCTGCTGGCGGAGAATGGCATCCCCTGGACGTCGGACCGCACGAACGACGATGACGCGGGCGGAGGCGACGACGGCAGCAACAACAATTACAATGCGAGTGTTTCCGGGAAAAGCTACGGGCAGGGCTCGCATGGCATCTTCTCGCCCGACCAGACTTCACAGCCTAGCACGGCGCCGTCTGCCTCGCCGAGTGGAGGGCAGAATCAGCAGCTGATGAGCGGCCAGCAGCTGCGGGACATGACAGCCGTCGCGACGAAGAATAAGGGAGTCGACTATGAACAAGCGGGCATCGAGTTCGTGCTGAAGCTGGAGAGGCCGTGCATGGGCCACTTGCCTTTTCTCATGGAGAGGGCCAACGTGCCCGACGAGGAGACCTATTGTGGCCATGCCATGATGGCGTCCTGCCCACCTCGTCCGCTGGGCCTCGTTAAGGAGAGCACACCATATGGGACATCAAACGTGCCCAGACCCGCAGTGGAGACGGAGGAGACGGGGGCGACGCAGAAGACATGGGAGCTGTCGAGAGCGGACTTGGCAACGCTCATGGATCTAAGTCCCAGGATCGACTTGGACGGCGAGGTCACGCCAATCACGGCGTGGGGCATGATCATGTCGCACCCGAGGTTCGGCGACTTGAGTCTCGCCGACTTTAAGGGGCTGGCTGAGGAACTCGGCAGAAAAGTACGGTGCTATGGGTAAGTTTTCATGCTGGACGCAGATGTATATGTATGGCTGGCTGACAGACACGCTGCAGATTCGGCGCGGTGGCGGAGGAGTTTGAGGTGCGTGATGCCTTGGAAGGGGTGCTTTCCACGCGCGCGATCATGGCTTAGTGTATGGGGTGACCTGTCTGTGGGCAAAGCGGTTTAAAATACGCACGTACATAGTCAGCGGGTGCTGTGTTGATGCCATTGAATATTGTAACCAACTTGTCAAATTGAGTCCTACGATGTGACATTTCTGAGACTGTGGCTGGTGCTGTGGCTGGTGGCGGGGCTTTGGTTGTCAGCCCCACACCCCACCTTGAACCACCACAAATTCGTCGCCAAAAGGCCAAATTCTCCATTGCGGCGCCGCCTCGCCTTAACTCACCACCACCACATCCCTCGAAATGGCTGATTCGCTCGACTACGTGCGCATCTGCGAGAGCTGCCCGCCCAGCGACGGCTGGGGCCCCGCCGTCACCACCGAGACGACCCTCGACGGCGTGCCCTACGCCCCCTTCTCCAAGGGCGACAAGCTCGGCCGCATGGCCGACTGGACCACCGAGGGCAAGGACAACCCGCGCGGCGGACGCCAGCAGTACAACCGCAACTACAGAGGTTCGTACCCGTACCCGGCGCGTGATGACGAATGGAACAGGACACTGACTCGAGAGCAGACCAGCAAGTGTACGGCGCAGGCCACGCAATCACCTTCAACGCCCCTGCCGCCGAGGACGAATCCTCCTTTTCGATTGTCAGCAACGCCCGCGACAGCACAAAGACCCGCTTCGGTCGCGGCGCCGTCTTCACCCGCGGCCGAGGCCAGCGCGGCGGTCGCGGTGATACCCGTGGCGGCCGTGGCACAGCCCAGCGTGGAGGAGGCGGTGGTCGTGGCGGTCACGGCTATGACCGCGGTGGCCGCGGTGGCGGCCGTGGTGGCGGCGGCCGCCGCTTCGGCTGGAAGGACTGGGACAAGCCGACGCGCAACCGCGACGCCAGCATCAACATCCGCGCCGACTGGGAGCTGCTGGAGGAGATTGACTTTAACCGCCTGGGCAAGCTGAACCTGGACGCGGACGAGGGCGAGGACCTTGACGACTACGGCTTCCTGTACTACTATGACCGCTCGTTTGACAAGCCCCAGATCAAGGGCAACGAGCGCAAGCTGACGGCCGTGGACCGCGCCGCGTACAACGTCACCACGTCGAGCGACCCGGTCATCCAGGAGCTCGCCGACAAGGACGAGGCGACCATCTTCGCGACGGACAGCATCCTGTCCATGCTCATGTGCTCGACGCGCTCCGTCTACCCGTGGGACATTGTCATTGTGCGCCAGGGCAACAAGATCTTCCTCGACAAGCGCGACAACGCGACGCTCGACATGGTGACGGTCAACGAGAACGCCGTGGACGCGCCCCTGGATGCCGCCGACGGCAACAAGGACGCCATCAACCAACCCGCGGCGCTCGCCGAGGAGGCCACGTACATCAACCACAACTTCCCTAACCAGGTCGTGTCCGAGTCCGAGTCGACGCGCGTGCAAATGGCGCACGCCAACCCCTTTTACAACGCCTCCGAGGACACGGACCCGCCCGCCTCCAAGGCGTACAAGTACCGCCGCTTCGACCTGTCGACCAACGACGAGGAGCCCGTGTACCTGGTGGTCCGCACCGAGGTGGACGCCGTGCAGAAGAACGCCATTAGCGGCGACGACCAGCTCGTCACCATCAAGGCGCTCAACGAGTTCGACTCCAAGGCGCCCGGTAGTGGCGGCGCGCTCGACTGGCGGAGCAAGCTCGTCACGCAGCGCGGCGCCGTCGTCGCCACCGAGATGAAGAACAACTCGTGCAAGCTGGCCCGCTGGACCGTCCAGAGCATCCTGGCCAACTCGGATGTCATGAAGCTCGGCTTCGTCTCCCGCGCCAGCCCGCGCTCCAACGACAGGCATGTTATTCTTGGCGTCATTGGCTGGAAGCCTCGCGACTTTGCCAACCAGATGAACCTGTCGCTGTCCAACGGCTGGGGTATTGTCCGCACCATCGCCGACATGTGCCTCAAGCGCGACGAGGGCAAGTTTGTGCTCGTCAAGGACCCCAACAAGAGCATCCTGCGTCTGTACGAGGTCGGCGCCAGCCTGGACGAGGAGGATGAGGAGGATGAGGAGGAGCAGCAGGCCGAGGAGGCTGAGGATGAATAAACATGAGTGTCATGAAGGTTGGAATGGAATGGGAGTAGGCGTCTCACGAAATCAAAAGCCATAGAGGTATGCCGCAATGATTCTTATTTCATGATTCTCGTGTCGCCCCACACTGTCTAAGTGAATCAAGTAATGTTGCTGCCACGCCCGTCCTGTGTCTATTCTTGATCCGTGCTCTACTCACTCTCACCCCACCCTGATGATGACAATTCGGATGTGCTAGATACCCCGGCCCGATCCTAGCGAGGCCGGCCATCGGCCTGCTCTAGAGGATATAGGGCGTCTCGCAGTGCCATGACCCATTCCCTGGCCATATTGTCCAACGGATCCAGTCCCAGCTCCCTCGCGGCATGGTAGACGATGGCAGCCAGCCTCACGAGCCGTTCGGATTGCCGCACGGGTGTTAGCAGCCTCAGCGCGTCCTCGTTGTGGGTCAAATCGTGGCCTATTAATGCCACCGTCGCCGGCGGGTATAATACTTGCGGCATTTGGTTTCGCAAGTATATGTCCATGTCGCGCCCGGGATCGGTTCTTTGCTGTTCGTAGACGCCCGCCACGACTTCGCGGAGATCCTCTTCGTACTCAAAGAGGCGGCGTCCTGTGTTGACAGAACGACGGTCTTCGGAGGGGTCGGCGGACACGTCGGTGGACACGTCGGTGACGCTCCTATTGGATCGTGGACTCGTGGATGGCCGATGCTGGTTGTTATGATTGCCGTTGGCTTCATTGACTCCATTGACTCCGTTCACGCCAGGGACTCCGTAGATTGGGTGCGGCGGCACTATGGCACGCGGGCCTGTCAATGGTACTGCCTGCTGCAGCCGCCGTGCACCATGGCCATAGTCGACACCCGGTGTGCCGTCAAATAATGGTGCTGGAGGCGGGCTAGGTATTCGTGACCAATGCGGGATAGGTGTCGGTGGCCGAGGCGGGCCACGCGCTGGCTGAGCCCGAGTGACAGAGCATACTGGTAGTTGTGGTGTTTGTTGTTGCTGTTGTGCCGGATACTCGCTAGATGCTGCAGTCTGTGGTGGAGGCGCCGCCTGTGGCTGCTGCTGAGCGCTTCCTATCTTACGAGGCAGCCTTTGCGGCGGTCTACCGGGATTCTCCTGGGGTCCCAAGGCAAGAGGTTGAGCATGGGAGCCTGGTGTCGAGCGAGGCGGATCGATCAGTTGCTCGCGGCTTGAGCCACCGGGATACGGACTCCAGCGAGCTCTCAAATTCTGGGCACGAATCATTTCTAGTCTCCCTAGGCCTGTTGATGTTGGTGAAGTCTGTCCAGAACGGAATCTCTCTGGGTTCAATGCTTGGAGCAGCCCGTGAACAACGGTGGACTCGGATGCGCTGATGCCCACTCTCGAATCTCCGGTGCCGTCACTGTCCTGCGCTGGAGGCTCGTCCATGTCCTTGTCGGAGCTTGCGTCGCCTCCCTTACTTCCGGCGCCTTGATGACTTCCGTCGCCTTCATGGCTTGTATCGTACTCCATACTGGCATAACCCTCCTCACTGGCATCATCCCCCTGACTGGACTCGTTAGAGGTCGGCGGCTGGCTGTTCATCTTGTCTTCACTGCAGGTTATGGATAATTTCATTGCTGATTTGCACACGTCTGTCACGGAACGACTTGTGCTGCGGTCGTTGTTTACAATGGCAGCGCTGGGCTCGTTGGCGCTCTTGCCTTGGAAAGAGGCATGGCTGAGCTTGCCACTTTCCTCTCTTTCGTGGACGGATGAAGAAGAAGGGACTCTCTTTTTGGCGGTCTCGTCATCCTTCTCCTGTCCTCTCTTGCGTTTTCTGCTGTTGCGAATGAGTCTCCTGTCGTGTCTCTCTGCGTTCACATTGTGATCCTTCGCTTCTGGTACTGTTGCCTCTGGGCTGTGACGGGGTAGGAGGAGCCTGTGGCTGGAAGACGGCTGCTGTTTGCCTTTTGCTGACTTCTGGACCCAATCAACTTTGTCGGCCATGGTGTGCTTATGATCGAGATTTCCGTGGTCTTGGAAAGGCTGGAGATGGGTGACTGAGCGCGCGGTTGTCTGGAAAGTTGCTGTTCGACGTACTGGGATTCAAGTATAATGCCCACGATACAGTTGAGAACAGCGATGCTGATGTTGAAAGTGAAGAAGTGAAATGTGCGTCTTTTTACTCCAGGCCTTGTTGCCAAAAGGACAAATGTTGGCGCAACACAGGTTCACAGCGAGAAGAATCAGACGAGGAGTCACTTGACCCCATCATGGGCAGGCTAGGGCTCCTAGTTCAGCTCGACAAAAGCCAGAGAAAAGATCAGTCGGACTAGCTGTATGGTATGTGATAGACGAGTTTGACGTGGTCAAGAGTCAAGACGTGGTGTCTTGAGCTATTTCAAGCTTGATGTTGGCGGCAGTAGTTCATGGTGATTGCGGTGTTCCGCTATACTAGTTATGGGTGTACGTGATCACATACTGGAGACTTCTACAAGATCACCTCCAAACAAATACTCAATGGTACAAGTTCAGGGCCGCCTCGAAGCGGTCGATGCACTTGGACCACGACGAATCCTCAAAAAGCTCCTTCAGCTCAGGAGGGTTCTCAGGCTGCAGAATTGTCAATTCAGTCCACTTCTTAAGCTCCACCCGGAGAAATGCTCACGTTCAAGTACGACACCTGGAACTCATGAATATACGCCTCCAGGCCGTTCGCGCCACAGACGTCGTCAAAGTCGCTCCAGTCGTAGCCCGAGCCTTCCGCCTGGTTGCAGGGCTCACCGCCATAGGTGTTGTTGGAGGCCACCTTTTTGAGGTAATCCGACCAGGTCTCAATGTCCTCCTCGGGAAAGGTGCCGCCATCATCACCCCCAGGCCCATTGTTGAAGATGCAATCGTTGTGGATGGTGACGTGGCGGTTGCCCTCGAAGCCAAGGATCTCGTGGTCCTGGGGATAGCGCATGGCGATCTTTGGGCCAGCCTCGAGCAGAGCCTCGACGACGGCGCGTTTGACGTCCTGGTTCTCGGACGTTTCCCACTCGCCCTTGCCCGGGCAGAAGTAGCCGCTCTGGGGAAGGTCAGCACTTGTCTCGGACATACTCTGCTACCAGGAGGTTAGTATCGATGCCCATTCTGAAAACTTACGTGCCACTCGCCCCACATGCCCAAGAAGCCAGCCTGGATCACGGGGATTACTATCGTGTCCTCCACGTCCTGGAAGACCTTGACCCAGGTCCGGACATCCTCCAAGATGAGGTCCGCGTCCTCAGGCTCCGACACAATCTCGCCTGACGGGGAGCCGTAGCGCACCCTGGGGATGGCCCTGATGCCCTGCTCGCCGTAGTTGCGCGCTAGGGTCTTGAAGTCGTCAATGATCTTGCTGTGGTCGCTGCCCGCGATGATCTGGATGTAGAGGAAGAGGGTGTCGGAGCGGGTGAGAGGGCTGTACGCAATCTCGCCCGAGTTGTCCCTGTCCGCGCCAATCTCCTTGTAGGTGGCGAATCCAGCGGATGCCACCTGGAGGGCAGCCGCAGTGGCGAGGAGCTGAGTGAGGCGCATTCTGGTCTTGTTTGTGTGGGTGAATATCTTGCAGAATGGGGAGAGCTCTGGAGGCTGGATCAAAGCTGGATCTAATACATTGTGAAGATGAATTTACACGGAGGAGGCTTGCTAATGCTGTAGCTCAGGGGTCCGTCTGTCCTTGACTCCTGTCATGGACCTTGGCCTTTCATTTCAACATGCCTGGCTAGCGCACACGCGTACTCGCCACCGGTTGTCGCTTCTGATCAAGTTGACAAAGCTTCCGATTTCCCCTGTTCTAAAAGCTTGAAACTTTGTTCCCGAGGCGCTGAAACGCGCTTGCTGCTCTTGGCAATCCTGGCGGTCGAGGCTCAAGCATCTCGGTGCCGAGAGGTGGCCGTCTCCGCAGACTGCATGTGTAGCATTGTGAGCAGAGTCAATTTCGGTGCCGATTGTGACCGGACATTGAAAACAGAAAGCGGAAAATGAGGTCAGGCACTGCCTCGAGAGATGTGCGACACGCGAATCTTCCGTGCTCATCTCGGATGTCGGTGACGGTGTTAATGCCCACCGGGGCCTGCGAGATCCGAGCCACGTGCTGCGTGTCGAAAGTTCTCTTAGACGTACTTGGAAATTCCAATGCAATGTTTTCTAATGCTGTCTACTCCGGTGCAGTGCCGTATCAAATACGGCATACCGCTTCGCTTCTCGCGAATCCCTCCTAGACGCTACCCCCCATTCTGGCACACACCATCAAAGTCCCCGTACTTGTCCATCCCCGCGCGGACGATGCCCTGAAAGGTCTCAAAGGGGCAGCTGGCGCCCGGTCCGCTCTGGCACAACGGCAGCGGCCGCGGTGCCGTGTTGGCAATGAACCGCACAAAGTCCTCCTGGCCGCCCTCGCCCCCATTCATGTCCGCCCTGTCACAGGTCATCTTCTCCATGCCGACGTGGCCCAGGAACGGGATCAGATCAGACATTTTCCACGCCCGCACGTGGTTGACGTGCGAGGTGGGGAACTCGTCGCGTCCCTGGTACGAGGAGGAGTTGAAGATGCCCAGCGCCGTGGCCACGAATGGGGGCACCTCGCGATGCGTAAAGTAGAAGAACAAGCGCTGCTCGGATGGCCACTCGATAGGTGTCCCGTTGCCCAGCGCTGCGCCCTCGTCAATGGCCTCGAAAAGCTGGGATTGCGAATGAAGCCAAGGAAAGCCAAGGTAGCTGGACAGAGGGTTGAGCGGGCCGACCATGTGCGCGTACTTCATGTCCCAGGCGTACTCGTACGAGAGCCACTCGGCATCCGAGAAGAAATCACAGATGGCCGAGCGCGCGCCCTGGATGGCCGACTCGTAACCGCAGATGGACTGGAGGGCAAAGACGTCCTTGGGCGCGAGGGCGAAGTCATCCGGGGTGAAGGGACGCAGGCGACGCGAGGTCTGCGTGCCGTAGACCTGGAGGAACTCGAGCTGCTCCTCTGTCCCGGGGGCTTTCGTAAAGTTGGAGCACGCCTTGTGTGGGAGGACAGCCCGCGTGCCGTCGTGGAGCTCCTTCTTGTCGAGGCGGGTGACATCAATGTCGCCGTCGTGGGGGAACGCCTTGAGAAAGGCCCGGGCGGTATCGTATGTCCGGGCTTTGGTGTCGGCCACGACACGCTCCACGGATCCTGCGAGGTGAGGGTAGCGCTTGACGAGATGATGCCCGATCCTGGTCGCGTCCACCTTGCCCGAGGGGGTGACGTCCTCGAGGTGATCCTCGTCAATAGGCGAGGTCCAGTCGTTGAGGATCTCCAGGGGCCCCGAGAAACCCCCGCGGTGCTTGTCTAGCTTGGCGAGGAAAGGCTGGATGTAGTCCTCGTACTCGGCGTCGTTGGCGTAGATGGCCGCATGGCGGATGAGATAGGACGCAGCGGTCACGGTGCACCCGTCGGGCGCGGCGTGGGACAGGCCAAAGCCAACGGCGTCAAAGTAGGGCGAGATGCCTGGCAGGTGAAGGAGAGGATCGAATTGGTATCCTTGCGAGTGGTCCAATGGCCGGATCGGTTGTTGCGCGAACGAGGCGTCTGCGAAAGCCAATGCCACCAGCGACGACGCGGCTACTACCAAGGTAGCCAGGTGGGATGGCATTGTCGTCAGAGCCAATTGTGCTTGAAAGGGAGTGGAGGAGTGAGGTGAAGATGGCAGACCTCGCGTGGTGGCGTTTGCACATGTGTGAATTTGTTTCAATTTCTTGCTCGCGACTGATCTCGATGACGTAGTCCAGGCCAGACCAGACAACAGCCCCTGGCCTTGGGTGAGCAGCAGCACACCATGATGCATCCCGGCATTCAACTCATTGGAAATACGTCCATAAGAAATTATACTCATTCGTTATGGGAGCTGAACAATCTCCACTACAAGCAAGGCCCTATCCCCGTATCAGCAGACCAGAGTCACCAGACCATTTCCTTCCTATCCTTACCTCTCATATCGAGGCCCTGGCCCTCGTGGTCCGGGTCGAACCCAGACGGCCTCGTGTATGCACCCTGGAGATTGTTCATGCTTCCCACAGAGTCGACATTGCAAGCCAACCCGGCGGATGTGATCTGCTCCCACACAATGGGTCGCCAGCAGGTGATCTCAGTGATGGAGTCGCCGAGCAGCACTGTGACCGAGTTCCTCAATTAGTACACTGCTATGTATATTTAGGCCAGGAGAATCGTAGCACACACTGACTTTGACCGCTTACACCGTCGTGCTGGCCGTCAGACAAGCAATAAAGACACCAATGCTGAACGGTTTCATCTTGATGAACTGCGTGACGTTCACGGTCCTGTTCGAGGTCTCAGTGGTTGTGTGAGACTAATGCCCAGTGCTCTTCCTCAAGCGCCTCACTACGGTCTTTTATAAGCTGGGCTTCCCCGCGTCCATGCTCGGCATATACACCGTGCCTTGTCGGGAAGACACTTCAACTGCCGCGTTGCTTTCTCCGAATTGCCCTATTCGGCATGAAAGTGCGGGGATGATCCACGGGGTACATTTTTGTACTCCTCGTCCCATCGTATGGTGCCTTTTCGTCTACGTTTACCCGTTGCATTCAGGCGGGAACGGTGTCCCAAGGCGAGAAATACAGCTCAAGCTTGTCTGGTACTCATGTGCTTCCTCGGACTAACCATCCCATGTGGTCAGCGTCACCGTGTCACCGTGAACACGAACCGTTCTGTCTCGATCTAGATTCGCTGAGGGAAAGCCTTTTTGTGTAAATTCCAGATGACAATGTATCAATTGATAACCCAGCCCTCCCCGCACTCCCTTGTTTGAATACTCGGGGAACGCACGCAGTTTACACGCGCACCAGTGTACTTCACGGTACTTCACGTCAAGGTCTCTTGTCTGGTCTGGTGACACTGTGCCCTCTTTTGTCGCTGGCAGCAACATGAAGCTGCAGCCTGCAGGCTGCCCTTGTGTCACTCGCCGCAGAAGACTTTGAATACCAGGCTTTAGATACGCGGAAAGACTGTCTACATATATATGTATCTAGGTGTTATCTATCGCATAGGCAGGAGTCAATGCACTCCTTTCATTTCACATTCGAGTCTCCTCACTCTCAGGCAAGCCCTCAGCCGTAAATAGATGACCAGTTGGTCAAGGAATGAACAAAGCTTTTCCTGCAAGTGATCATAGTCTGGGTCGAAGGTCTAGCCAGACATCTCCTTGATCAAACGGCAGGCCTTCCGCTTCATGAGTACGTGCCATGTTATGGTGGACGTGGAGAGTCATGTCACTCAAGCATCCAAGAGGAGAAGAATAATATAAAGCAAAAAGACAGAAAGCCAGGCCAGGCCGGAACAACCATACAGAAAAGACACCAGCTCAGAGGAGAAACAGGGTGGCGCCGAGGGCAGCGGTGAGGAGAGTGGCAAGACCTCCCGCGGCCAGGATGTGTACCGCATAGTCCTCATCCTCCGGGCACTCGGCGGGGGGCCATGGACCTCTGCAAGCTTCCTCCAGGTCGTGGGCGTCCATACTCTCCACGGTAGCCTTATCGATCTTGACCTTGCAGGGGTTGGCGGTTGGTGTAGGTGTGGAGGTAGCAAGCACAGCGCACGTCCTTACGGACGCCACGCCTCCTACGTAGTAGGTAGCATTGGCCACCTCGTCGGATACGTCGATCGCCACTCCATCGACTAGGCAGTCGTCGTCGCTGTTGCTCTCTGTCCCAGAGATAAGATCGACCTTTTGGCCGCCCTTTTTAATCTCAAATCTCACGCTAAAGACGCTATCGGGATCGTCTGGAAAAGTATGGAACCCAAGGGTAGTATAGGAATCCTGGCCCATCCGGTCCTCGGTCTCGTTGCACGATTGCCAATCCAGCCACCACCCCATCTTAAGAGGGCCTTCGCCCCGGATGTCGAGATGGTACCAGTAGAGGTAGGGGTCGCTCTGCGCAGCGGTTACATCCCACCATTCAATCGTGGAACCGCCGCGTGAGAGGACATCAACGTCTGTGTAATTGTTGATGTATCCGTTGCTATAAGTCACAGTTCGTTGGGGCTGATTCGTCGTGTTCAGGATGCGCTTGTTGAACGTAAGTTGGAGATGCTCGAGCAGTTGTGAGTTCTGGACGGCAAAGACAATGGGGAACTTCTCCGAGGGCTCGTATGTCGTGTTATTACGCGGAAAGATCAAACTGGCTTCAAGAACACCTGCGGCTGTGGCGACAGCACCTTGGTAGGCACAAAGGCCAGCGACAGCCCACAAAGCGTACGAAACGAAATGCATGGTGACTGCGTTCGAGATGGCGGCCAACCTCGATTGTCCGTTGCTGGTGGTACCCTGGTGGTGAAAGTCCAGCACCCTGCCCGACGACTGGCGATGGGAGATGTAGGCTTGAAAGACGAATCAAGTTGACGCGGGACAAACTTCAGGAGAACATGGGGAACCCCAAATTCCCAATTTCTCGTGTCATCATAACATTTCCGAATACACGTGTGATAAGTGGCATGTTTGGCTCTCGAGTCTGTGTAGGCTTGGCAGGCTTGGCAAATGCGCGCGCCCCTGCATACAAAAGTGCTTCAGCGGGCCAGCGGACCGAAGAAAGACGTTTTTGATGATTGACAGGCCGAAGGATCAGTAAGACAAAAAGAACAAAAAAACATACAACAACCGGTATTCGCTGGTCGTCACCGACCCAACTACTAATCAGTCCCTCAGCGGCTTGACTATGGGAGAGCGGACGGGATCCCGTATTCTCCACTGGGTATGGTCGTATGTAATGGTTGATGCTATCACCAGTGTTTATAGCCACAACACCCACTAAGAAACCAGAGAAAAGGCGTGGAGGCCAAAAAAACATACAACAGCCGGTATTCGCTGGTCGTCACCGACCCAACTACTAATCAGCCCCTCAGCGGCTTGACTATGGGAGAGCGGACGGGATCCCGTATTCTCCACTGGGTATGGTCGTATGTACTAGTCCAGGAGCTTTTTTGACATTATAGACACGAGACACTAGTCAAGAAAGGAAAGAGAAGTCAAGTGATAGCACTATTAAGATCTACCATGTAGTCGGTTACAGGGTTCACTTTTCTATCCAACTATAACCCACGTACACGATAAACTATTTCCTTAGCCCACTGGCTTACCACGCGTATAATGTAAAGAGCCGCCTGAAGAAGGCACCGTCTAGTAACGTTATTAATACGAAATGTGTTATAGTAGCTGACGCCGAAGCCAAGTATACCAAAGACATAGACAACCCTGATTTTCAAAGTGGCCTTATGCGCTAACCCAAGAGGAGATCATTTGTATAAACGGGTGAAGTCCCTCTATCAAGACTCATAGTATGCTATAGCTAGTTATGTTCTTTACTAGTATTATTAGTGTCTCCTCCTAAGCTTATAGTAGCGGGTATCATTAATAAAGAAAAAATAGCTAGTTTATTTGAGATTGACGGTAGCGCCGATGTATTGGAGTATCTAATTGCTAGTAGTGTCATGTGGTTAATCGGTGATTTTAAAAGGGGTATTTTGAAGACGGCAAAGGACGGGTGACTAGTTATTCACAAACTCATCAGCTTCAAACGTACGCCGAGATTGAGACGGATGACGTCGAAAGCTTTACAAATTAGGTTAGTAATTACTCAGAGTGCTTTTAATGATACTCTGTAACTAGGTGACTATAGACTCAGCGTACAAGACTGGAGAATAATAATTAGTAAAGCTAATAAAACTCCGCAGGCTACGTACTACCTTAGGCGCCGCTTGATCTCGGATAGCGTACTACTTCTCCAAGTTACAAGGGATACTCTCCTTTACCTTTAGTATAAAGCTGAGGTATTTTACCTCTCTCTTTACGTACTGGGACTTCTTTAGATCTAGGCAATCGTGCCGAAATACGCTAGATACTTCGATTCCAGAAACTATGCCATTATAAGTACAGAGAAAAGCTACTTCGTCCCCGGTGAAGCTCGTTTCCCGTTTCAGTCTCGAGATTTCGCCTAATCGTTGCACTTAGTGCAAGTTCCGAATGCAAATAGTTACAAAACCCATGCGTCATGGAACTCAAGTCTTTAAAATCAATTCCATTCCTAGTTCCGATATTCGCCCTGGGACTTGTATGCTTCGTACTGCAGATCCGGGTGCCCCTCCCAGTATAGTGTCTCTGGGTCACTTGAATTATCAAATGTGAACTTGGCGCTTTCTTCAGGAATGAGAACCTTAGGGAGCCCGTTTGCCGCCGCAGCTTCGGCTAGAAGCTGGCACTGGCACGCGCGCTCCATGAGAGTCATCAAGAAGCAGGCCTCCTCTACTGTTGTGCCGACTGTGAGAAGACCATGGTTCTGCAAGATCATGCTCTTTCCCTTTGGACCTAGCGTTCACATCAATGGGTTATTCGGCTAAAGCGTTGCGCGTGATGACATACCTAGTGCAGCTCCGATACGGTCGCCCTCCTCCTCGGTGAGGACAACGCCCCCGAAGTCCTAGGGATACTTGTCAGCATACCCCAAGCCTCGACACCAACAGATTGTCCCTTACCTTATACACGGCCTGGGCTTCTCCATACAGATAGGCAGCATCCTGCGTGAGCATCTCCAGTGGTCGCCCAAACGCGCTCCACGCCATGCCATGCGGGCTATGGGTATGACATGCGGCGACAACATCCGGTCGCGCCTTGTGCACAGCACTGTGAATTAGGAACCCAGCCGCGTTGGCGGGCTTGCTCATGTTCCCTGAAGAAATCATCCAATAAGAGTGTGTCCATACTGCGGCAGCTCGAAAACACCTACCACCAATCGGCTTCCCCTGATAGTCAACGAGGATCATATCACTCGCCTTGAGCAGCCCAAAGTGTACGGCCAGAGGGTTCTCGAATGTATCAGCTCCTTTCCTGCACCGGGCTATAGAGTTATATGGGGATTGGTTCTTACTGTCCAAAACGTGTGGGGGTGCTCGGGGTCGCGCACTGAGATGTGGCCGGCCATGCCGTCTGTGTAGCCTTTGCGTGAGAAGACCCGGAAAGCAAGCGCCATCTGCTCAAGAAGCCATTGTCTGTGAGCGTGAAACGTAGGGTGCTTGGGGATGCCCGGAAGGCAAGTGCCCTGAGATATCAACTCCAGGGGCGTCTTTCCGGGCGGTTGCTGTTGGACGGCATCTTCCAGTTGTGCAGAGGGAGCCATGGTGCAATTCCGTTTAACGTATGGTCAACTTGACACAAATCTCTCTTTGGCTCAGTGAAGGAATGAACCTGGGGATCCGAAGACTATATACGTCACGCCGTCAAACACACCAGTATATGTAGAGGTGCCTGGGCATTTCCGATCCTGATTACGCCTAACTCTTTGTGGTAGGCTGGTACGAGGCCACGCCAAACGTGCGTGAGGATGGTTCGCCAAGAGCTCGTATTTTCTCTCCCGAACGGACTTAGCGCAATATCCCAAAGACATGCTACTAGTCCGCACGACTGGCCTCGACGAGAACAAGACAATGTAAAGACTCGCGAGAGGACGCTCAACGCTGCAGGCCCCCGTAGAAAGATTCATCGGAGCTTGGCATGCATGTTTCGCACGTCATCGGGGCGGAATCGGAGAGCATCATCGTATAAATTATCTGTAAACGTTTAGGGGCGAAGACGATCCCAAATTCCTAACAACCTCTTCGGGTCATTGCGTCCGCGAATAGGAACAATAGCGTAGAGGCTCCTCAATGCCTTGCATACTTATATAAACTGGTTTCTCTCCTACTCTCGGCTTTGATGAATTGGGATAATCATGACTCCCTTATCGTACGTCTCGACGCGAACCATGCACAGATCCTCCGCCTCAGTGGCCCATGGCGCCCAGTCATATAGGCGGATCCTGTCTGCCACTCCGTGCCATCCACCTGCGCAAAAGTATATAAATATTGAGAGCAAGGCAAGCTATCATACGGTGGGTTCCCATGGAGAGTCCAAATGTGTGGGGGCCTGACTATCAACTCAGGCCATACCGAATTCAGTTCCAAAGTCGATTCCCCATTTCGATTCTCCCAGACATCGCTCGTTCTTGGCAAGCAATGAGTGGAAGGATACAGCATTCCGGCCAGCTCAACAGCGAAGGATGTATTCCAGCCGAGACGCGTCAAAAGTCTCCATTCCCATCGACGGCCACACAGTCGACTTCTCGGCCGTTCTGCTCCGTGACTCGTGCCAATGCCCTCGATGCGTCCATGAGTCCACGAACCAGCGGTTGTTTTCTGTCGCTGACATCCCTTCCAACATCAAACCTCGCACGGTCCAAGTTGACGCTGCTTCGGACTCTGTCAATATCACATGGCAAAATGACGCTGCTGGTTACATGGCGGACCATACGACGAAGCTAGCCCTCGATGCATTGCGCAACTTCAAGAGCTCTGGTGCACCTTCTGGCTCCCGTCGAGAATCCTTCATACCTCACGCCCTGTGGTCCTTGGAGCCCTTGAATCTGCAGGACTACGACTACAATACGTACATGGTGGACGATGAAGCCCTGTACGCTCTCATGAAGCAGTTACGTACGAGCGGCTTGGCTTTCGTGAAGAACTCTCCTGGCCTCGAGGCGACTCTAGCTACTATTGCGACTCGCATCGGACCTATCAAAGACACATTCTACGGATACACTTGGGATGGTGAGCGTCGCTAAAGACCCACTGGTTCCCATCCCGTTAGGTTAACAGAATACTGCAGTTCGCACCGTTCCGGCCGCCATCAACGCTGCATACACGTCCGGCGACCTGGGTTTCCACACGGATCTTCTCTACTTCGCCCAGCCGCCACATATTCAGCTTCTTCACTGTATCCAATCGGCTTCCACCGGCGGTGCAAGTGTATTTGCAGACGCTTACAAAGCGGCGGTTGACCTATTCCACGAGGACATTGATGCGTTTGAGACCCTCACGACTGTTCCCGTCAACTATCACTACAACCACCCCAACTCCAACGTGTACCGAACAACCAAGCCAGTCATTGGTCTGCGTCCCCTGCGCATTGGCCACAGTACATATACAGACTTGCGGACATACATCAGGGACAGGAAGGCGCTTGGTGCCGCTGGCGGCGGACCAGAGTCAACCCAAGACATCTTGGTGGACTGTTTGGACAAGATCAACTGGGGCCCTCCATTCCTGGCGCCGTTCTCCCTCCATGAGCACGCTATGGAACAGGACGATAATATTGGCCAAGATGCTTTGCCCGTGCTAAACAGCAAGGTCGAAAGGTGGCATGGGGCTGCGCAGAAATTCAACGCTCTGTTACAGCGACCGGAGTACCTGTATGAACGGAAGATGGGCCCCGGGGATTGTGTCTTGTTTGACAACACAAGGACGCTGCACTCCAGGAGAGCCTTTGACGGGGCTGACATCGGGAAGCCAAGGTGGTTGAGGGGCACCTATGTTGACAAGGATCCTTTCTATAGCAAGTTGCGTGTGCTGCGAAACAAGTTCGGGGACGCCTAGAGAAATACTGTTGGCAACAGGAAGCACACGTCCGGCTCCAAAACCCCGAGAGATTCAATCAAAAGGGGGGCGTCTCCGATTTTCAGTCGCTTGGCCGCTTATCCCATCAATTACTGTGACTGCCTCATTTTTTGTGAACTTTATAGGTCTCTGTTTTCTATACTAGGTTTTAACATCACAAGGCCAGCCACAACTGTGCCCCACCCGGGCCACCCGATATAGTGCCAGAAGTTGCCTGAGAGCCGGGCGAGATCTTGTTTGATGATGCGGGGCTTGTCGCCGCACATTCCAATCCCTCCTCCACCCTGCCAACATCGGAAAGCGAACCCAATACATGATACACACTGACGACGTCGATGGACACAACGTCTTCACAAGTCGTGGGAGACCCTCGGCTTAATTTGAAGCAGAAGCGTACACGCAAGAAAGCACCGAAGACACGCCGCGGTTGTTCACGGTGCAAAACCAGACGAGTGAGTCCCCAATGTGGATGAGGAATCATCAATCGCCGTGATGATCTCTAATCCCAATAGATCAAGTGCGACGAACAAAATCCTTCGTGCAGAAACTGTGTTCGAAACGGGGCTTTGTGACCTGGCTATCAGCGAGAATTGCGTTGGTCGCAGAGACATGAACGACTAGCCAAGGCCTCCGTTGATACCGATTCCTCCCAACTCCCAACAGACCATGGCGCTCATGCAGCTCTCCAGACCCCCTGTTTGGCAAACGATGCTGTGGATGGACTTTCACGCGGCTCGTCTGACCCCTTTCCTGTTGACGAAGACCGTTTCTGGGACTTTGCCTCCTCTACTTCACGTGCACCCATCGCTGATGATGTACATCACTATACCATGGAGCGTTTCGAAGGCGTTTTCCCGACAGAGGCGCAGCGCTCCTCGGTGTTTCAGTCACCTCTGGGAACGTTTGATGCACCTGAGCATCTGCCAACAAAGCTGGTAGAACACTGGTTCAGCTACGTCTGTCCCAGCATGTCCACATTCGATTCTGAAATCAATTACAATCGTCGTATTGCTGAAAGCTCGTGGAGCATTTCGAAACCCGTTTTCTTCACCATGCAAGCAATGGCGGCGGCTTGCCTGGTAGACAGCCAGCCTCTCCTTCGCCCCATGTTGCCGTCGTTGAGGCTGGAGGCTGTCACTGCTGTCAACCAGGGCGTGGAATGTGCTCGAAAATTGAAGGGAGCCGGTATTACTGCAGATTTGGTATTCGCACTATTCGCACTCGGATCATCATCGAGTTGGTCCAATTTTCCAGCGGCAGTTTCAGAGCACGCCTGGCTGGATGTCGCTCGAGAAATGCTCGATCTTTGGAAGCCCGAGCTATCAGCACTCGACTTTCTGTTTCACTCATATTTCTGCCAAGCACTATCCTATTGGGAAATGGTAGAGGTTGCCGCTGGGTGTGTAAACGTCTGCCCCAAGCCCACACGGAGGAGGAGGCCGCGGCACCAAATCAATCTTCGCCAGGCACTTGATTCAAAAGAAAGGTCTTCTGATAATCTGATCCTCCATGGTCCTTGGCCTCAAGACTCCGGTCAAAGCCTGCTTGGAACGAAGCCCAACTCGTGGTGCGGTATTTCCAACGAAGTCATTGACATCTTCGGGCAGGTCTTGAACCTGTGTCATACTGCGCGTCATCGCGCCATCGATAGCACCGCTACAAATCTTGCAATGGAGGGTATACCGCTGTGCGACATATCTCTGGCTCAATCGTTGCAGCACGAGCTTATTTCAATGGACTTGCGTGCTTTTATCAGCGCCGAAGAAGCTAGGGGCTTCCCTGTCCTAACGCGGGATAACAATACGCCCGTTGCTCATTTGCTACAAACGGCCGAGGCGTACCGTATCGCCTCTCTCCTACAACTACGTTTGACATTCAGCGACCTCCCTACAATAACTTGGAAGAAACCGGGCGTAGGTGGCAGCCCCAGCTCGAGTCAACATCCAACAACAAGCTTGATCGCAGACGAGCCTATGGTATCCTGCACAGGTTCCTCTCAGAAGATGGCTATAGATCTCGTCAACATCCTCGACCATATCCCTGACCACTCTGGCTCCAAGTCTATACACCCAGTCTTGTACCTTTCCGCGGCCGCGGGTCTAAGACTTGAGCCCCATCCCAGTACCACACCGTTGTCGAGCCATGATCCGCACATGTGGCCAGAAACCCAAGAAGCTACGACTTCCATCCATACGGATGGTGGCCCTTCAATCAAACGCAACAGACCCGACTCAGCGCAAGATCATCACGCCGCGACACTCGAGCTGAACTCGAGCGTGTCGAGAGCGAGAATCGTCACACGCAGGCGTCTCAGTGCTCTTGAGCGTCCTCTGGCCCACAAGGCTCGCAACAACATGCTGCGGGTCGTTGACACTATATGGCATGAGTATGACATCTCACCGCCTGCCTCCGCTGTCCACTGGCTGGATATCACGAGGAAGCATGGGCTCAGCATCACGCTGTGGTAATCGGGGTCGGCAAGAAGCCACATCGCCCTTGGGCACCCCTGTTCCAATGTCGTTGATGACGAGCATAAAATGGCCCAGGTAGTGAACGCATCCCCAGATCGTATGAGATCTCATCGTAACGCTGCTTGCGCAGATGCGTCAGCTCAGTTCCCGATTGGCAATGCAAAGTTTCAAACAGCATCGCAGCGTGGCGATCTGTACCGACATTCGTTGCTGAAATCGATCAAGATCCGAGATTCCCAACTTTCCAGGTTCCAGACACTACCACCATAGCGTTTGCAGGTAGTAAAATCGAATCCTTGAATCCAACAACAATCTGCTTCTCAACACTACGTGCAGCGAGCTCGCTCTGGCACTCGACTATCTTTCCCCAGCGTTGAAACACTGTCATGTTTCGCTGCCTGGCAGATCATTACCTCGTTGTGGAAATTTGTGACCCTGGTCGTGGGTGAGGAGAGTGCCGTTGTAGTAGTCGACTAGCGAGGGATCAAGCGAAACAGGGCGAGGGCGTTGCCACTCGTCTCGTGTGCAAGTATAAAACATCAAAGACGCATGTCACTTGCCTGAACGTGGCCTAGCGGTGAGCAGCTTGCTTGCTTGGTTTGGCCTCGAGTGGGTGGAGAATAACTGGTTTAGATTAGAACGCAACGGTGTCGCATTCACCGTTTAAAACTAAACAAGTGCTCCCAAAGCAAAAGTGGTGTGAGCCACGCGAGCGCAAGATGCCCATCAGACATCACCGGCCCGTCCCTAGTCGCCCTCCTGCCTGCCCATGTCTTCACTATGATGCCCAAAGCGCCTCAACGCAAAAACGGACTGCCATGAAGCACAAAAGACGCCCAGTGGCAGGGTCTCCTCGTCCGCCGCTCTCCCCTCATGTCCAACACGGCCGCCCGCAGACAGCAGGCCAGGTTGATGACGTCTCGCCCTGATACGGAACGGGCCTCCTTGATCTCGTTGTAGAAGCACCGCGAGAACTCCCGTCCGGTGGCCGATGCTATCGGCCACAGAGTGCCGAGCACGGAGCTCGCACCCGAGCAGAGCAGGGCGGTGACGAGGCCCAGCGGTTCGTCCCCCCTGGCGCTGATGCCCTGCGAGGCCGAGTCGCACGCGATGAGCGTGATGTGAGGCCAAGTGGCGAGTTTCAGGCGGAACATGTCCACGACGGAAAGAGAACCGTCCGACAGCACGATCCTCTGGTCTGTCACAGCAGCCCGGTCCACGATGCAGTGCCCGTGAAAGTGGAAGAGGCTCGACGTCTCAATCGAAGCCTTGAACTGGTCGAGGCCCGCACCCCCTCCCGTGATGGCGTCCGCCCCGATGGCAGCGGACAACGTGTCCGCGGACTCGTAGACGCGGACCTGCTCGTCGCGGAGGAAACGAGTACCCGGAGTCTCCTCGTACACCGCCATGACCGTCTTGGGCGTCGGGAGCGCTGGATCCCGCCATGGCCCCAGAGTTTGTCGCCAGCATTGCCAAGCCGTGGTGAGACTCGCGCAGTATACCACCGGGTTCCTCGCGATGACGGGCTCCCCCCTTATCCATAGCGCGTGCAGCGGTATGGAGTGGAGGATACCAGTGGCGCAGAAGACAAGGAGGTCGTTCTCCCCCGAAATCTCCGCAACGGCTTCGACAAGCGCGTCGAGCTGTCGGAGGCAATACTCCGGATCATCCTCCTCCAGCTCAGAGTAATAGAGACTCTCGTCTTCGCCGTCGAGATTGTCCACATAGCGCGTCTTCCACTCTTCCAATGTTCGCAGGGAAATCGAGCAGCGAATGAGCTGGGCTGGGCCGTGGTTTCTGGTGGCGACGACGCAGACCTGTCCGTCTTGTAAGACCCAGTCCACAAACACCACGTCGGTGACAGAAGCTTCCTGTCTTGCCTCTGTAGCCAGGTCCTCGAGTTGACGCCTTGTGACCGGGGTTCCCGCTCGCAGGCTCAGCAGATCTCGCAGAGCCGTGTGCTCACTCATCTCCGCCTGGAGGATGTGGAGTTGGTTGCGAAGGTTGATCCTCGTCGTGCTCTCGCTTGCGCTGATTTTCTGCATCAGCTCGACTTCCCGCTCAAACATGTCCTTGGTCGTCGGGTCATGTTCAATGGCCACCCTCAGATGCTCCGGAACCAGGACACCCAGAGCAAGCAGGTCCGACAAGCCGCGTGCCTTGGACTTTTGAGTCCAAGACCACAGCTCTTCGAGGAGATTCTCGCGCAGACATACTTGCCTTGCCATATCATGGATCCTCTGCACCTTCTCATCGACGCCTCTCTGTTGCCTGCGAGCCATGGCGTCAAACCCCCCCAGAATCGAGAGGTCCACGCACTCGTCGTTCTTTGCCTTCTCCGCCACTGACAGCTGCCTCAATACAAAGTCCGACGTCGCTCTTCCATGGCTCCATGCGACGTAGCCATAGAAGGCGCACCAGTAGGCCGCGGGGCTGGCCATCTCGGTCACGTCCAGGTTCTGGAAGGCTTCGTGCGCAATGTCCGCCAAGTTGTAGGCATCGGTCAGGCGATGGAAGTCTGTCGACTTTTGGAAAATGGAAAAATGAGCCAGGGCCTGCATCAACCTGGTGTTTGCTGCTTGCACGAGACCTCCGGTTCTCAAGTAGAGCGGGACGGCTTTTTCTAGCAGGTTGATCGCTTCCTCTTCAGCACGGCGGCTACCGGGATGGATCCCCGAGTCCTTGGACAACCAAAGAGCCGCCGAGTTTTGGTAAAAACTGGCCAGCTTTGTTTCGGCACCTTCCCCGACAAGGTGAGGCATCAAGCTCTCGATTCGTTGGATGTACTGTTGAGTCCGGCCATCCCGCGTCCGTATGAGGAGAGTGACTATGGCATTCAGCTTCTCAAAGGCAGATCCTGCCATACCATGCTGGATCTCGTCATCAATAATGGTATCCCACTTTTGGAGCAGTTGGTTGCGGTCCGCTTCAAAAGGATTAGAAAGGGCAAGAGACATGAGTACCTGCAGCTCCAATGTGTCTGCCTCAGCCCTCTCGATGCGGATCGTTGGCGTGTATACTGCGCGGCTCTTTTGAATCCACGAGAGGGCCTCGGCGTCTTTCTGAATCTGCAGGTATGCTTTTGCGACAATGTTGGCAATGGTGGCTTTCTGTCTGCGTCCGTTGGTCTCCAGTACGGCGTCGTACAGTGACACACCGGTCTCAATGACACGGGGAGCTCGTCCGGAATGTAAGAGCCAGGTTGCCATCGATTTGGACAAGTAAAGAAGCCGAAACAGATTCGCTCCTGACTTGCTCACAAGTTCGTTGGTCAGGCCGATCAAGTTGAGCTGGAGATCGAAGTACCGGGCATCGGTAAATGATGCCTGCAACGACTGGAGACCATGCTGGACACCGAATAGAAAATTCTGCTGCTCAAACGAGGAAACATGAGCCTGAATGGTCTTCACGGCTGCTTCGACATCCCCCTCATTCCTTCGAAGCCGGCGGCATATTCGGCGGATGTCGACTTCCATGCTGCCAAAGGCGTGGCCAGCTTCGTCGTACATGCGCCTGGCCGCCTCCTCGCGCGGTTCCAGTGCGTCCACCGGATCGAGACTACGCGCAAACTCGCTGGTAAGATCCAAAGCCTTGGCCTTGAATATAGCGGGCATCTCTACTTGGACCAATTTGCTGGCCATGCGGTCCCAGGTGTCGACGCTGAGTTGGAAGAGTTCCGTCCCCAAAGGCGATGACACCGAAGCGGCATACTGACGAGCCGCCATTAATGCGAGCCGATACTCCTTGTTCGATAAGCCGCAATCAAAGGTACTTTCTAGCCAACTGAATGCCTCTGGATTTCTCTGGGGAATATGAAGTTGGCTGACGAGCTGGATAATCTTGCAATATGTGTCTCTGATGAGAACCACATTATCTGATACTTGATATCCCAGTCCCATAAGAGAGAGCTCACCATACAAGCGAGTGGCTTCATCGAAACTTTCCGTGAGGGTGTCAAGATTCTCGCGGACCATGGGCCGAACAAGGCAGACGTGCATGCGGATTCGTAGCACCACCAGCCGGTTTGGTTCGCCATTTGGTCGTGCGTTTAAAAAATCATCCCAGATCTTCAGGCCCTTTGCGAGGCAGCCCTGGCACTGGAGGGTGTAGCCCAGCTCAGCCGCCAGCTGGGCTGGATCGAGTGACTGTACGGCTGCGTCCGATTGAAGAAGTTTCGCACCATCTTCAAAACGGCCTTGCTCGCGAAGCTGCTGGAATCTGTCAAACATTCCGTCTATTGGTCACGGCGTGGTAGCAGATGGAGGCCCGCGTGAATCGCTCATACACGCTCGGCACGGAGCCTGATGCCCATATCACAGGCGACGAGGCGGTCGGTCAGCTGAGCTGAGCTGTGTAGTACCAGTACCAAGAAGCTCGGCCACTCACAGCAGTGCAGCGTGATCAGGCCGCATCAGCCGGGGTGGCTGGTTCATGTTGGGTCGCGACCTATCACCACTTAGCTGATACGCAGGCTCTGCGGCAGATAGCAATTGATTTCTGTGCCGCTCGCCCAGTCGCCGCCTCGGATTCCCCAAAGGGCAGAGCTAGGGAAAACACCAGACCAGACCTCGCCACACGTTGTATTACCATACCAGCGGGGCTTGTTCAGGCACGCCGACTTGAAGGCTCGGCGCACATTGTCACCGCCATGACCGACATGGAACCAGGCACGCTTGACAGATACGCCGTCCTTCGGTCATACGAACCCCGCGATGTGCAAGTCAAAGAAAGCAGCGATTCTGCACATCTCGGGCAGAGAAACTCGGACGATCGGAGCACTAGATCTGTCATAACGCACCTCGACGCCGCCGGGCTGGGCATCATCGGCAGGGTTCTGTCGGTTGTGTACGGGACATGGCACGGTACACCGGCCACGCTCGTGTCGCTCCAGTTTCGATTTCGTAGCAGAGCTGGGAGCCTCCGGTTCCGGACGTCCGAGATCGCGGTCACCTTTGACAAGGCCAGCATCCTTGACTCTGGCGACGACAACGCCGCTCTGGCCGTCCCGCCCGCCGTTGTTTCACTATACCCCAAAGCCCTGGATGGCGGCGAGGGTGGATGCTCCATTAAAGGCTCTTACTGGCTGAAGAAGAACCAAAACTTTGCCAATGAAGTATACTGGAAGATACACGAGAACAGCGCGGAGACCTCTGGCTTACCCGACGAAGTTGGTCTCTGCGTCGTAGTGACAAACCGCGGTCCGTTCTTGGGCGTGGTGGAAGCGGAGGCAACCTTGAAGCTCGCGCCCAAGGCCAGGTTCTCGTTCAGAAACCTCCCATGGTCAAAGGACGATCCTCTCCTCTTTGACGGGAAAACTGCAAAGGGACCTCAAATGGAGCAAACAAGGTTCGACACTCTGACAGATGAGCAATGGGCAAAATGGATAGCTATGCTCCACGGAAGATTGTCCGTTCCACCGTCCATGAAATCCGAGGACACTCTAATGGACACTTCTTCCGGCACATCCTCTACAGAACAAACCGGACGTGCCGACTTGGTGTATCGTGTACGAGGCATCCCTGCAGATTGGTCCGAGGACAAGCTTGTTCTTGAGTTGGCCGCTCTTTTCTCTCTTCAGGCCAACCAACTCTCACTGCTGACGTTTGCACGGAGCGCGTTCGCGCATCGCTCACGTGAGGCTGCGGTTGCGGTCGTCTCGTTCCTTTCTAGACCGCCTCGCGTCCTGGTACCGGAAGGACGACAGTGGTCCTTCTCAATCCCGGGAGCTTCTTCGGGACAGGGAGTCGCCATCGCGACACTGGTGCTTGACCGGAATTTCGAGGGTCTCACGCCGCTTGGACGGATCTCTCCAACCAGCACGCTCTTCTATGCCGAGTAAGTCCCGTACCTATTGCTTCGCGTGTCAAGTGGGCAAGAAGAACTGAGACGCCTTGGCCGTCCTACAGTATAATTGCGGTTCCAGGCGTTGGAGGCCACGCGTACGGATCGTTCAAGGACAGAGGCAGGTCATACATGTGGTTGCAAGACTCTCTGCCAGTGGACCTGCGGCTCTCGGAGTCGAAGTTGGCGCGTGTTCTCATTTATGGCTACGACTCCCATTTGTCGGAAAGTCAATCGTTCCAGAACCTCTGGGACCTGGGCGGCAAGCTGCAGGCCACCATCAGGGAAAGCCGTTCCGTAAGTCCCCCTCCCCCCTTTTCGAGAACATACGAGGTTCATGTAGCTGTTATGTATGTATGAGCCCAAGCAAGCCCACCAACTTACTTTGGGCAACTACAGGATTCTCAACCTCAGCGTCCTATAATCCTTATAGCTCACAGTCTCGGTGGCCTTGTTGTCAGAGAAGTACGACTCCCCTAGTCATACCCTGCCCAAAAGAAAAAGGGGGCTTCTAACGTGAGGGCAGGCGATCATCCGCATGAGCCGGGGTAATGAGCGTGATCGACATGTCTTGAACTGCATTGCGGGCGTGGTGTTCTTCGGAGTGCCTAACAAAGGGATGAACATCACATCTCTGATCCCCATGGTTGGCCACCAGCCTAATCGACCTCTTCTAGATTCCATCTCCTCGGACTCGGAGCTTCTGGGAGAACAGAGCGTGGCGTTTCAGCACGCAGTCTCGCGCATGACCCGGGGGCTCCCGATCTTCTCCATCTATGAGATGGTGCTCTCCCCCACCGCCGTTCAGGTATGGTCTCTCTTCCTTGACAGTTCAGAGCCCCCCGCTTTTCAAAGCGCTGATCCCAGGATGACAGGAGGGATCAAAGTGGAGAATGGCTGGCACGCCTGCCATGCTGGTCGACCGTGACTCGGCAACGCATGGTCGGCCGTTGGACTCTGAGAGCAGGTTTGTGCTGGGCTTAAATAGAAACCACTCAGATCTCGTCAAGTTTGAACGCAATTGCGATGATTATGAGCTTGTGCTGGCGTTCTTGAAAGAGATACTGACAGGCTACCTGGCACGTACAGCGGATGGCGGGTGACTTTCAGGCTCCGACTCTATGGTAGCATCGAGCATGTACGTCTAGCGAGGTTATAATGTCGTATAAATCATAAAATGTCTCTTGGATATTCCCAAAGGGCGACGAATGAACCGACGTGCCGTCCGAGGAGCAGGTGGCCTCGTTGAGGGACCTGACCGAGACTTGAACCCAAGACTCGGCCGACGACTCGGATGCAGGTGCCTCAGATCGCGTTTCTGCTTGAGGACCTCTTCGGCCTAACAAGCACTAGAAATCCATCTAAAAACGTAATGATGCCTACGGCCAACGGAATTGCCTGTCCCGCCTTCGTCATGTCCACCGCGGGCGTCAGGTGGTTGTACTTGATCGTCATCTCCACCAAGGCGATTGTGATTGCCAAAAGACCAGGGATCATGACGCAGAGCACTATCCAAATTAACCTCCTAAGGTCCGACAATGGCTCATCATCTTCTTCGGGACGTGAGCCATGCCAGTAGCTGTTGATACAAAGCTTCATTACCTTCCAGAGGACTGGCAGGAATGTGAATAAGTTGAGGACGCTCGTGACGGTCATGACGAGCGAAAATATGCGAAACCAGCCGTCAATATCGACCTGCACAAAGAACCAGGTCTTATTCGGCGTACCCAAGCTTGGAAGCAACCGGTAGAGCTTCGCCCAGAAAGCAAGCATCGCAACATCGCGCCACGCTACAGCAATAGCGATTGCCAGGATCCCAGTGCCCTCACCAACGGTAGCGTTGGATGCAAACGAGGCCATGACAGCAGGAGCACCAGGCACACTAGCGATAGTGTGGATCGCCAGCGCCTCAGCCGGGCTGATGGAGTCGCGACTGACAAGTATAGACCACGAGGCCAGCATCGCGATCATGAGGCCGGAGCTTGTGAGCTTGGTTCCACCTGCTTGGGAGCGAAGGATATAAAAGTAGGTGCCGAAGGCCTGGAGGTAGATTCCGACCCGCACGCCCAGGCCATAAAGGTCCGAAGCGGCTTCAGGGTTTCCCACCTCGCTGTCGCGGGGCCCAATGACCATTGGGAGTTGATGTTGACTGTGAAGTCGATGGGCGAAATTGCAAACTCGAGCGTGTAAGAGGAATATCCCAGATTCTGTTGTGGTGGAGGTTGGGGGTGAAGGGAAGTACGACTTCGAACGTTGCGAGCTCTCTTTTTACTTTATACTTTATGAAATAGTGAATGACAAGAGTAGTTGCAGATGCCTACATGCATGTCTTTGAGCTCATGCAGCCACTGGGTTAAGGCTGAGAGGTCGTTACTCCGTACAGTGTATGCCGTCCACGCCACTGCGCAGAGCTATGAGCAGCTTCGCCCCAATTGCTCCATTTAGTCGAGACCACCCACTGCTGGGGGCTGGGGCTAGGGCTGGGGCTGAGGCCCGGGCTAGGTCTAGTGCAGTTCAATATTTCAGCTCCTGCTGGAATAAGTAAAGGTTCTCGAATGCATGGGGGCTTGTCTAAGGGATCCTCAGCCGCACCGCTGCTAGGAAGCACTGCCACCAGCGGCTGCGCCTGAGCCGAGCCTGTTTTGACCCAGTCGTCCCTATCGTCCACTATATGAATTCGAAGGTGTGGTCAGCCTCGTGCAAGGCTGTTCCCATCTGTAAGATCCAGGACTGGAAATTGGATGCACCCGAGAGGACATGCGCTTCTGTGCTGTTCGACCCGGTGTTATTCTTCTTGATACTTCGATGCCGACGAGCCTTGCTCTCTCGGTTGTGAGCTCACGGATGCCGAGTCATGCGTTGAGCAAACTTTCGTACAGTGCCTCATTCGGACCAAGCTCTGCTTTTCTGAATGCGTCGCTCATCTCAGTTTGCTGATGAAGCACACTCGTTCGTGAGCCGCCAAAGATTGGCTTCCCGTTGTAAGTCGCAAACCACGCCACTATGGACAGCGTCGGAGTTGAACTCATCTCCCGGAACATCTGAAAGCCTTCTGCCATTGGATTCTCGCACTCGTCGAGGAGTCTCGGATGTGTAGGTGGATGTTGAGCAATTCCCCTTTATCCCCAATACCCAAATGCAGCTCCTGCAGGATCGTGATTCTCAAGCCCGCTGCAACTGGATATGAGGGTAATCCGAGATATTCCAGACTGGCGAGTGTGGCGAGCAGGTCCAGCGAATCATTTGTGGCATCATGTAGCCACAAGAGACTTGTTGATGGTGCATTTTTGTAATTCTCAATATTCCGGACAAGGCTCTCGAGCTTATCAGTGGCTTCCTAGAGCCGTTCTGCTTCAAGGGCCTTCTGAAGCACAGAATCGAGCTGCTTGATCGATCCCGCTTGAAGCTTGGCGTAATTCGGTTTCCGAGCCTTGAACAGGCTGTCCATTACCTTGGTGCCAATCCATGCAAACGCTTCCTTGGCGATCGCGGTTGCAACAACCGCCAATGTGAAAGGTTCAGCCATAGTTCGTTCCTGGCTGAACTTGGCAGTTGCTTTCGTGATGATCCAGGCGAGCTAACGTGCTACAATAAGGGCAGATCAACGCAACGTTATATGTAGACTGTAACCGAACTAGGAACCGGTATTGGTTTGTGTCCAGGATAGCTTAGGGATTGGGCCAATATATTCCCACGCTTGTCTTGGATGGTAGGCCAGCCAGCTGGGGTCTAGACTTAAAATTCTAGAGTCCAGTCTAGTTGAAGGCGGGGAAACAACTCTGCATGTCTGTGCTCGTTGTCAGTAACCCAGAACACGAAGACAGCACATGCATTGGCATGACATGGCAAGGGTCTGGATTCTGGTCTAACCATACTCCCAACCCCGAGCCATCCGACCATTCTCTCCATGAAACGGTCGATCTGACATCTCCCACGGCTTTGGCCAGTCTGGTCAACGACGTTGGTAAAAGAATACAGACGTTCCGCCTTTGTCGCGTCCAATAACACTGTCCATACGATGTGACACGGCGGTGTGGCGGCAGCCCGCTGATTCGACAGAAGCGGTGGCAGTTGCACGGAGATGATTGTCCACGGAGTTTCTACGCCTGTGGATATAGACCGCTAAACATGATCCGAAGGCCTTTTAGATAGGAGAAAAGACGGCTAAGGAGGGAGACCTGAGGGCATGCTAACAAATTGACCGTCAACGATGCTCCGGCCTATGCTGACGGTTGGGGTTTCATGTCAGTGGCGAGCAGGGACATAGTCATGGGCTTCGTGATGCCAAGGTATTTCAGCGCATTGAGTGGTCCGAAGAGGTCGAGAACCGTCAAGGCTGTGCTGGGAAGAGAACGGCTGCGATGCGCAGAGGATCTTTGGCTTTTGGTCAGCATGGCAAGGGATCATGGCATGATCAGGTTATGTCATTGGGTTTGGTCCTTACTTGTGGCGTTGGTCATTATGGCTTCCTGTGAATGCGCACAGGTTTCTGATTGTGTGATTCTTCAGGAATGCCACAGGGTCTTCGTCGTCCAAGTCCGTCTTGTATCCCATTCCCAGGCGATCCATGGTTTCCCATTCTGATGCGTCCGGAGCAAGGCGGTACGCCTATGTGTAAGGAATCAGCAAGTGAAGCTTGGACGAACAGAAGATAGAGAACGCCAGGATGAAGGCGCCGATCCCAAAGCCACCCTGAATGTCTTGCCTGGCAACGGTCCACGAGACAGAGGTCACCAGACAGATGGCAAACCCGACGGAAGCAAACGCGAACACTGCTTTCGGGCTCACTCCCCCTACGAACTGGACGCCCCAGCCGATCGAGACGCCCTTGACGGGACACGGCGAGAGCTTGCGGTTGCGTCGGATAGGGATGCGCCTCAGCAGAATAGGTAGGACGTGGGCGTGGTCCGGACTCGCGAGGAGATGCATCGCCATACTAGGCCCAATCGGTGGGTCCATGTCCGGCATCTCATAGTGGTACTCTTGCCTCGAGTCGAGCGACGGCATGGAGGGTGAGCACCTGATGCTGACGAGATCATCGTCGTACATTTCAAACCAGACCGTCACGTCAGTGCCGCGCTGCAGTGTCCAGTCTGTAGTGGCCTACCTGAACAAAGTCAAGCCGCCGAATGGCCTGGAGCCACGACCAGCGCATGTTCCTGCGGTGCTGTGTATAAGAGCGGCGCAAGAGCATGAACAAGTCACGGTCCGAGTGCAGGCGGCAGACGTCCGGCCGACCATAACTGGCGCAGTAGTCTATTGCGTGTCTGTAGGATAGGCAGCGGCAAGCAGAGTACACTTCGACCCATCGGTAACACATGTCGAGTAAGCCAAGGCGCCGGGACACTCCGGAGTTAATTGCATTAGGCGTTCTATTCGAGTCGACGTGATGGCTAACATCCATGTCCCACGCCCATGCACTCCGATAAGCGGGGAAAATGCACTTTGCCCATCTGCGTGGTCCTCGTTTTTACCCGCATGCAGTCCGACGGGCTCGGCGGTCTCGAGGCCCTCGATGATGCTCGCTGCCGTGATCTGTACATCGTGTCACGTCATCAAAGCCAGAAAGTAGCTTTGTCATGTTGACAGTAGGCCAAGTTCCGTGCATGTATAGGCACTACCGACAGTCCATCATGGTACACAATGTGAGGGTCGTTGCCTGTCTTAATGGGATTTGTGAACGCAGAGACCAAAGAGGTGCCTAGGCCTGCGAAAACGAAGTGTACACGTAATTATACAGTATACTTGATATATTTGAGCGTGTTCGCCCGCCTCTCGATGTAGCTTATGCTTGGGTGCCGAGGGGATCGATCTCGTCCTCGCCGGCCGTGGCACCGTCATGCGATAGGTGAGCGTCGACTTCGCTTTGGGAGCCTGGGACGCGTTTTCCCTGCATTTTCGTCCTCGGAGCTGGTCTCTAGGCTCATCTCGGCCTCGTCCCTTGGGGAATGCGGTCACGTGGAAATAAAGCTGCAGGCCATGATGGCAGTACAGTCACGTGGAAGGCTGTGCTGTAGGAGGTGACCCTCATGTTGAAGCTGATGCGCCAGCTGATTTGAAAAGCATCTTGAGTGCTTCAATGCTGAATCATTAGACAGATTCCATCAAATTTTCACATACTGACACGGGGCTTCTCTTGAGAGACTGCGCTACGAGTACCAGGCTAGAGCGGGCCATCAGCCATGGCCGAACCCGTAGGCACCACGTTGGGCGCCCTTGGCATCCTCGGGCTACTGAGCGTCTCGCTGGATTGCTTCAATTTCATTCAGGATGGCATGTCCCTCGGCAAGGACTTTGCGCATATTGATGGTCAGCTGAGCACCCTGCGGATCCGCCTGTATGCCTGGGCCAAGGCCTGTGGCTTCCTGCGTGGCCAAGGGTACGACAAACGACTGGATAGTCCGGAATGGCAGGCACACATCCGGACACAGCTGAGCAGCATCTCCTTGCTGTTTCTGGACGCGGGCAAGATAGTGAACAAGTATCATGTCGGGCAGACGTACGAGTGGCGGACAACCAACCAGCACTTTGTCGACCAGGGCCTGCGAGACTACCTGGCCCGCGTGGCCATGACCAAGACGAAGGCGGGTTTGGCGGGCCAATTTCAGTGGGCTTTGGTCTACAGAAGGCGCATGACGGAGCTGGTCCAGCGGCTGCGGGAATGTATCGAGGCTCTGGAGCTCGTCTCCCGGTATCCGGATCTCTTTGAGACACGAGACTTGATGGTCCGGCAGGAGGTAGGGATGTTGGACGACGTGCGAAGCCTCCGAAACATGATTACGGCGGAATCAGGCGCGGGCGTTGTGTCGGACGCTGCGAGTGAACGACTCTCTCAGCTTGAGCGCAGTATACCTTCAACCAACCGTGCCTCGTCGTCAAACTGCGCCTCACCACCAGACTCCGAGTCGTCATCGGATGGCGAATCATCAAGCAATGGATTTCCGGCCACACGCGAAGATGTAAACGTTGTCGGAGTGACTTTAGCGCCGTTCTCTGAGACCGTCAACGAGGTCACAAGGGCCAGAACACGCTCAGGGGCGACCAGGAAGGTGGTGACTGTACCCACACTCCCTGAAGCTGTGAGAAAGGCGCACGTGAAATTGGCGAAGAAGCGTCGCTCTCCTCGTCAGACATGGAACCAGCTGGACCCGGTGTCCAAGCAAGTGCTGCAGCAGACTGTCGCGGATACAGTCCTCGGGAATTGGGACTGGCCTGCCAAGGACAACTGGCCTGCCGAGAACATGCCGCAAGGTCCGTTTAGCTCGTTGAAATACCTGTTGTCCTCAAGGAGTGGGACGTTTGACCGTCACGGTATTATGAGCCGATTTGAACAGGATCTGCCGGGTGAAGATCCAGATGTGCTCTTCCAAGGGACACTAGCCGAGATGGACATACCCACTGAGGATGAGCTGTGGGCGTCGATGCAGCCGCTATTTCACACTCTCGTTCAAGCGCAGCAGTGGCCTCAGGACGGTGTAGACATGTTGAGATGTCAGGTGGCGGAGCTCCAGGCCCCGTTCAAGATTCGGCAGCACTGTTGCTTGTTGCTGCAAGAACTAGCAAAGGGGGATCTTCGTCAAAGTCCTTGGGGCCAGTTTGTACAGCACGACGAGTACGTATCATTCCGACCAAGAGACAAGGAGACTGGCCATGTCTTGGCCATGGGCTGGCTGCAGGCGTTCGCGACGTCCACCATGCAGCTGGAGCTCATGAGCCCGACGCAGCCTAGTGATGGCTCGTCGGCGCTGTCGGACGCACAACGGCTGTACTTGAAGGACTTGGATACGGCCGAGGTGGAAAGGCTGGTCACCTGCTTCGTGGACGTATACGCAAGCGTGATGATGACGGTGAAGCTGAAAACCTGGGCCACCGACTTAAAGAAGCTGCTGCTCCCAGAATGGGCATGTGAAGAGAAACGCGCCCCAGAGCAGCAAGTGAGGGTCATGGCGGAGCTGAGCCTGGGTCGATCCCCAGATGCTTTCGTGCCCCGGCTCGACGGGAGCGACTGGGGCACGAGGCTGGCGCCGATGCTGCGGTCGGATCTAACCTGGCTTTCCGAGAACCCGCAGTGGCTCACTAGCTTCCGGGGCCACTTTGGAAAGCAAATGTGTCTGGTGCGTCTCGCGGGGGAGCTCCGACGCTGGCGGGACGGACGGCCCGCCTTTGTGTCGTTGAGGCCGTTGCGACTCGCGGTCAAGGGCTCCTGCAGCTTCCGGATCTCGTTCGAGGGGCCTCCCCAAAGCCCTTACCAGTCAGGTATATTTCACCTCCTTTGCGACTACCCCCTGGACTATCCAGCGGCGCCACCGAAAATCCGCTTCCTCACACGGGTCTATCACCCCAACATCAGTCCGGACGGACAAGTATGCATCGACATTCTGAGCGGCAATTGGTCACCAGCGTTGATTAGCGAGGCTGTCGTCATTTCCATCTTGTCCTTGCTCTCCGACCCCGAAACCGTCGATCCACTCGTCCCCGAGATTGCGGCCACGTTCCTCCAGGATCGACCGTTGTATGAGCGCAACGCGAGGCTATACACGATGAAACATGCTGGCGTGGACCAGGAGTATGCAGATTACCAAGTTGTGCCCTTCCATATGCTGCACGAGAATGCCAATGCAGCAGAGTCAATGGCATGAACCTCGTTTATGACCAAATCAGGCCGGCCTTTTGAAGAGCGGGAATCGCCTGCTGCTCCGTCCACTCTGTACACTTCCTTAACGGAGTACGCGCTTCTCCAGGCTCGTAAAAGGTCACCGGGTTCCAAGACTTGACAGGCTCCGTCTTCAAAGTTTTCGTATTGAAAGCCTTCTGCTTTGGAGGTGGAGGAAGGGTTTTGAGCAGATTCTCAAACTTGGTGGAAAAGTCTGAGGCAGACGTGTAGCCGAGGAGCTCTTTGGAATGAAGCGTTTCGGATGTTAAAGGGTAATGGCATGCCTCGGACTCGTAGTGCATGCCTTGAACAATGTCGCCAGTGACGTGATACTTCACACCGCCTTGGGCAGTGGTCTCGACGAAAATGACGGTGTGGAAGCGAGGACTGGGCATATCAGGGTCCTGCATAGCAAGATGGGACTTGAGCTTATAAACAGCGTAAGACGCAGGCATGTTGAAATAATGATGCTGGTCCAAGAGAATCAGTAAAGAGGGATAGAAAGCAGCAAATATGGGAGTGAAGGAAGGCGAAATGAAACATCAATCTCAGAGAGCGAGGTTTGGATCTGTCTTTTATAAACATGAGTTCCCATGACGTTGACATCTATGGTTTTCTATTTACCGTCTTCACTTCCAGCTTCGGCGCCAACAAAGCTAATAATAACATCTTCACCGGATCCAACGGGCTTGTCACTTTCAACAATAGGCTCCTGAATGTCAGATCTTGTTTTAGACCTGTGGAATAGTGTTGGTTGTTGATGAAAAATAAGAGGGCACCAATTGCATCTCTGCTCTCGCCGCCCTGCAGCAAGTTGAGCTTTCTTTAGTTTTCCTGGAATCCTGGACCATGAACATAGACATGTGACAGTTTCTTTGTACTATTATTGGGGTCGAGGACTCGAGGTTAGGCCTACTTCCTTCGCATTAGGTCAGGCAGGCCCGGGTGCAGGGTATTCCGAGACTACGGCTGACTAAATTGAGAGATCTGATTCGTTCAGAATCCGGGGAAGTGGCACACGGGGATTCAGGGGACCATGTCTAAAACAATACATGTCCCAGACAGGTTTATTATTCCGATTTTAGTACTAGACTTATTTCTCAGTTGCACATGAACCTGCGAGACTTCAAGCTATGCTATTGCTACCTTGGTTAAGATAGCAATGGCCCTAGCCATCTCCTCTCGCTGGCGACTATGACATCCATCCATGCAATCAATCATCGATTGTACTCAAGCTTACATCAAGACAGTATTGCGATTGTATCAAGCGAACAAATGGCCCAAACTTGTACTTTGATCCCCATGCAATGCATTCAGAATAGACCAGTCGCCTCTCCTACACAAGCGCTCCGAGTCACGATACGCGCCCGCCCAGCCCCAGCTGCGTTTGGCGCCCCTTTGTTGTCACGGAATCTGAAACGATGCGCACGTTTGGAAAGGTCATGGTCGACCAAGACGACGGCAACAACGAGTGAGACGACGGCCTGTCAGAAGGGCTGCATTTCACGTTCAAAAAGATCCGCTGTCCCCCCTTCTTGACGCTCTCGTCGTGTCTGCATCTTCATCTTCAACCGCAGTGCCGTTTATACTTTCTCAGTCACAGAGACGACAGGTCGTCCAGACTCATTCTTCATTCATCTTCCGTTCTCTCTTCACTCTTGTTACGACTCGTTCCTTTTCACTACACATACGCAATGCAGCTCTTTAACTATCTTCCCGTGGCCTTGCTGGCTTGTAAGTTCATCATTCCCAACCCAAAGAACCTCCGCCAATGAATATCACCTCACACCGTACCCCTTTACAGACGCCACAGGGATTGCCGCCGCCCCCGATCATGATTCTGGCGATCACTCCTCCGCCACCGACGGCGACTCAGCCGACTTCACACCCGCCGTCAACTGCCGCAACGACATTTGTTACTCCGCCGTCGTCCCAGAGGCCACCGCCAGCTCCGACTCGGGACCCATCTGGTTCCAGATCTACGCCCCGACCAAGTTCGCCTGGGTCGCTCTCGGCACCGGCAGCACCATGTCCGATGCCAACATGTTCATCATCTACCAAGACGGCGACGGCAACGTCACGCTGTCTCACCGCCAGGCCAGCGGCCACACCATGCCCCAGGTCCCAGCGAACAGCCCCGTGACCACTACGCTCTTGCCTGGCACGGGTGTGAGCGACGGGTTCATGGTGGCCAACTTTCGGTGTGACAACTGCACCACCTGGAAGAGTGGCGAAAGCCTGGACTTCTCGTCGGCTGGCACGCCCATGATTGGCGCGTGGCAGGAGGGTGACCCCCTTGATTCGACCGATGTCGAGGCGAGAATTGGGAAGCACACGGGCAGCCCGCGCATCTTCTCCCTCGATCTGTCTAGTGCCATCAAGGCGACTGCTGGCAATCCTTTCGTGGACGACTTTGCTGTCCCTGAGGAGGCTAATGACGGCGGTTCCGAGGATGCCGATGCGGAGGACGACAGTGCAGGTGACGGTGCTGATGGCGAGAGCGCCGGTGTTGGCAGGTCCTCCCTTGTTTCTGGGGGTGTTGCTGCTGCTGCTATGATGATGGGCTTCTCTCTCCGTAAGTTTCCTGGTGTGTGACGCGGTTTCAGAGCGTTAATACTAACCGCCATCTAGTCATGTAATTTATCATGTGCATCGACTTGAGGGACAAGGGTCGGGTAGTCCTTTAGGCCTCTATCATGGGTTGAGACTGGAAGGGAATCTCCCCAAGCTGGAACGCGAGATCTATCTGTGATAGTATCATGTCGTCGTCGGGCTGTGCAAGTGGCACGGCTGTCATAATTAAGCGAATGCATTGTCTTCTCAACAGACCAACATAAACGGCCATGCGTTGACACCATGATCTGCGCGCGAGTGTGTTCCAGTCAATGCAGCCTCACCTGATCAGGATGTACTCCCAGCCGTCTTTCCACGTTATGAGTAGGGTGTCGTACCTATGTGGTCGGATCTTTGTCGTCCTCGCCTGACAACTGTTTAGCGTCGCAGAAATGCAGACAATGCGCGTCCAGAGAAGACTGAGGACGAGACGGGATCCCGTCAGTATTTTCTACTGGGTACATGTATGTATGGTCGTATGTGCTAGTTAGTGATCACCATCGCTGTAAGGTTCTGTACATGTACGCCGATCGCTCCCACTCAGAAAACGCACTGAAAATGCAGGCTCCGATCCCTCTGCTTGCCGCTGCTCTCGTGGCCCTCAGCCAGCAGGCGTATCTTCTCCCGCATCCGGTACTTCAACAAAGCACACAGCAGGCCAACGCATATCGAGGCGACAGTTTCCCCCGCGAGCGACATCGTATTTCCCTTGACGTACCGCGACGCGTCGTGGGATGGGTAAATCTAGGACGAGACAAGTCCGGACGCATTCGCCAGCGACATGAGGAGCGCTATCGTAATGGACCGCTTCGGGTCGGGCTGCGTGTTGTTGGCCACCCACGTCACCAGGACCCTGTGTAGGAGACACACGGCGCGCCTGCTGAGTAGATCGGAGACGAACGTATTGATGGCCGTCGAGATGGACGCAGAAATGTACACGGGGATGCTGAGATAGTTGGATTCCAAGGCCGTGCACCTTATTCCCCTGAGTGAGGAGTGTCGGGGGCGGGAGGTATCAAAGTCAAACAGGGCGATCATCGGGAGGAGGAGAACAGGGCAGCAGAGGCGGGATACAAAAAGGGGTCCTTCAAAGCCATGGCCACCTGGAGCACATCCAGCGACGTCGTCCCCTCCTAAGGGTGGTTCCGCTCCTGGATGCGCATGACAATGCGCTTCTCCTCGCTGAGGAACCAAGCCGTCTCGGGCGAGGCCGGAAGGCTGACCCAGCACACGAGTCTCAGGGCCAGAGATATGATGCCCTCGAAAATAAAGAGCCAGCGCCAGGCGTAAAGCCCGAAAACGCGAGCGTTGCCATAGAATGTTGGTGCGGTCGGGATAGCCGAGCAATACCAGCAGGGCCATCTGCGGCATGACAAACCTGTCGAATTTCGACAGCACATTAGTCTGCTCTGGTTCATCTGCTAAGAGCGTCGTGGCGACCTCGTTCAGGCTGCTGTCGTCGTGGGGACGAGTTTGTAACTCGGAGTCCTTGTCAAAGGGGAGCATTTCGTTCAACAACGCCGCTGGCTTTGGATATGAGCAAGATGAGAGCCTAGGCTTACTGTTACAAGTGCCGAGCATACTATGAAAGAGCCTATGCGATGGACGCCGGCTGCGCCATTACGTGCACGCTCTTCTGCCAAACTGCCGCCGACGTGGTGGTCGAAGGATCACGTATCCTCGCTCTCCCCGCCAAACCATGGCAGACCGACAGAGGGCGCCTTTATCATTGACTGTCTTGACCTGGATCGCCATCTTCTCTTCTGTATCGAAGCTTCTACAACGATAAAGATGTAGTGCTGCCCGCATATATAAGCTGTCTCGCTGCAGCTGGGTGGAACCCCTGAATCCTAATAGTACATCGGATGTCTGGTCATGCTGTCCGCGGACGACATCTGACGCCAGACTCTTTGATGACCGACTGGCCGTCTGCCGGCAGACAAGTAGGTTGGGGTAGATCCTACGGGCAGGCTGGTTTCTCAAATAGGAATGTAGCGTAGAACGTCTCACCATAGGTTCTCTGACAAGCTCGTCCGGTACCACAATCAACCAGGAGAATCTGGCCAGCTCTCTGCACGAGAGTTGCCAGTTTGGTGCCGCTCATCGATGGGGCAAGTGATTTTGACCTGCGATCCTCCTTGAAAGGCTTTGGGAAACTGCCATCTCCCGCAGGAAGCACTGAAACAACGGGCATAGCCCGTCTGGCTCTGGACGACACAGACAAGCAGGCCAAGGACTGGCTGATGGATCAAACCAAGACACTCGGCCTCCAGGTTTTTTTCGATGAGATGGGCAATCAGTTTATTGTGCGGGCCTGGAGAACACAGGATATGCCACCCGTCATGATGGGATCCAATCTCGACACACAGCCTACTGGTGGGCGGTACGACGGCATCCTGGCGTCATTTCAGGCCTCTAAGCTCTGCACCACTAGTATGTAGTGCCTACGAAACAGAAGGGCCCATTGGCCTGCTCAACTGGACAAAGTAGCTGGTAATCCTTGCAGTACTTTTGTCTTCCTCATCAGACACTGACCGAGGACCCAACAGGAAAGGCCCCGCTTCCTCAAGATGGCCGTGTCCTCCGGCGTCTGGGCTGGGGCCGTACCACTGCAGACAGCTTGGGATCTCCGCGAATTCCTTGCCAAAAACGGCGCGCCCAAATCCATGGAGGAGCTCGACCGCATCGGCTACTGCGGTGACCACAAGGCGTCATATAAGTCCAACCCTTTGCTGGGCACGACAGCCGCTATACCAATATGCGGTTGCCTACGAGCATGATCTTCACTCAGGTCAGGCATCAGCCATAACCATACCGAGTACTTGTCGCCGGAAGACGGGTACGTTTGTTCAAGACTGTACGAGTTGCCGTTGCTAACCACCAACGGTGCCTTGGGGGCCAACGTATTCCTTGGTGCTGTGCTTCGATATGGCAAGCAGCGAGCCAGGTAGAGCACATATTCATAGCCATGTAAATACACACACGTTTAGAAGCATACAAAATGCCACGACAGCACGAGGCTGTCTTGTCCCCATTGACGAAGCAAGTATAATAAACACAAAACGCCAAGCCCTGATGATAACCTCGGGTCATTCAATGACCTTCTACACCGCATTCCCCTCACGAAGCAGCCACCTTGCGCACCAGGTTGCTCGGCACAAAGGGCATCTTGGTCACGACACCCTTCCTCTTTCGGCCCCGGACCACAACGTCCACCTCGGTCCCGGACTTGTGCTGGCCATCCTTCACGTAGCCCATGGCAATGTTCTTGCCCAGCGTCGGGCTGGGGCATCCGCTCGTGATGACACCAATCTTCTCTCCATTGGCCTGGATCTCGGCACCTTCACGTGCAGGCGCGCCCTCGACGACGAGACCGATGCGGCGACGCTGCACGCCAGCGCCGCCCTTGGAGCGAGGCGTGAGCTGGGGAATGATCACCTCGGCGCCATGGAAGCCACCCGCCTTGCGACGCTCGGGCGGGATAATCCAGCCCAGGGCAGCCTCGGGGGGCGTGGTGGTGTCGTCCAAGTCGTGTCCGTACAGACACATGCCGGCCTCGAGACGTAGCGAGTCACGAGCACCCAGACCGGCCAGCGCCAGTCTCTCGGGGCCAGCAGCGTCGAGCATGGCCTCGGCGATGGAGGGCGTCGTCTCGAGAGCAGGGTACTTGTCCCCCTGCAGGGAGATCTCGAAGCCATCCTCGCCCGTGTACCCAGCACGGCTGATCAGGACGGGATGCGAGGCGCCGCCATCCTTGAGCTTGAGCTGCGCCCAGAACGACTGTCCAAAGTAGATCTTGCTGAGGTCGATATCCGAGGCGAGGACCTGCTGCAGGATCTCCAGGCTCTTGGGGCCCTGGAGCGCCACGAGTCCCGAATTCTCCATCCGCGTCCACTGCACATCGCCTCCAAACTTGCCAAGCTCCTCGTCGAGGTACTTGTTGTCCTTGTCGTAGCAGGCGCCGTTGGTGACGACATAGTACTCGTCCTCGCCCACCCTCGTAATCACCGAGTCGTCCACGATGCCACCGGTCCCGGGCCACAGAAAGGTGGTCAGTTTTCCCTGCATGGCCTCCATGCCGCTCCACGCGCTGGGCGTCACCTTCTCCAGAAAGGCTGCGGCGGCGGGTCCCTTGAGGGTGTGCTGCACCATGTGGCTGACGTCGAACAGCGAGGCGCTGTTGCGTGTAAAGGTGTGCGATTGCGCCAGCGGGGCCGAGGCATACTGCACGGGCATGTGGTACCCGGCAAAGGGGACCATCTTGCCCCCGCGCGCGACGTGGAAGTCGTAGAGCGGTGTCTTCTTGAGCTCACCACCTGGGGCGAGCTCGGAGCCATGCCGCAGCGTGGTCTTGGAGGTGAGCTGCTTGGGAGAGCACAGCGTTGCTCGGGGACGGGCAGAAGCCAGGGCGCCCGGTAGGCGGGCTGTTGCTCGGAAAGACATGGCAGCTCAAAGACTGAATCAATGGAAAATTATTACAGATCTGGGTGTAAATGTTGAGGGAAGCTCTCACTCTCTCTGATAAGAGCGACATGGAGGTTGACGCAACAAGCTCCAGCCATCTCCACCAATCAGAGTGGCCAATCGCAGCGTGTGGAGCACGGCTACCGCCGGACCAGCTCCGACGATGCCAACGCTCGACTCGGCATCTATCCGAAGCTTATTCGATGGTTGGAGGGCAATCATTTACGTAGGAGCAATGATTCTCAGCCTAGGATGGCATGCGCACTAGATAGATACAGGCGGTTACTTATCATGATCAGTGGTTCTCGAATTGTGACGGCTCTACTTCGAGATCTCCCCTGGGCACAACTGCCAGAAGTACTCGTACTCCTTTCAAAAAAACAAAAGGGGTCTACAATAACGGTGTAGCACACCTCAACCTCCTTCGGCCACCAACAATTAGATGGACATCTCCTCAAATGAGTACTTCAGCCATCCTCCCAAGGCCCTCAGACTCTCCCAGCGGACGTTCTCGTCCTCTGACTGCATGAGCTCCATGATCCGCCTCTTCAACCCAACCTTCTCCAACTGGTGCCGCTTCTCAGGCACCTCCTTGACCAGGTTCCCGACATCGCTGCACGCAATCGCCAGGACCTGCTTGTCATTGTCCCACGACTGCTGCATAATCTCGGCCAGTTTGCGAGGAATGACCCCGTTCTCAAAGTCGAGAATCTTGCGTGCATTCTCCGCCCAGAAGACGGAGCTGCGGTGGGGCGGCGACCAGCGCAGGTGGCCGGACTGCACCTCCGCGACGTACTCATCAAACGTGGTCTTGGTCTTTGTGTACTCGTCCAGCATCTCCTTCAGGGCCTCGAGATCCTCCAGCAGGTCCGGGTCGGTCAGGTGGCGGCTGGTCAGGTTCTCCAGGGTGCTGGGCAGTCTGGCGAGCACGGCTGTGGGGAGGAGTGACTTTTGGTTCTTCTCGAGCAGGTTGTACAGTGTTGACACGATGAGGCGCGTGGTCTTCTCCTTGGGCGAAAGACGCAGTAATTGTGTGTAGAGGATGATCATATCATACTCGCTGTGTCATGTTAGCAAAAAGGTACGGGATCTCTTGACAGGCACTCACTCATTCAGCTCGTCGCCCATCTCTGCCGCCTCAAAGCTCATCTGCCAGACCACGAGAAGGACATGGTACAGCAGCTGCAGACCAACACCTCCACCCAATGAGCCCTCGAACCCAGTGCTGCGCACGCTGGCGTTGCCACTCCAGAGGCTAGCGGACGAGTTGCCGTTGCTGCCAACGCCGGCGGCGGTCTGTAGGATCTTGATCAGCGGCGCAATGGTCTCGCTGCGGTGGTCCCAGAACTGATGGCGGGACACGTGGCCAAAGAGCAGCGAGGAGTACTCCAGCACCGCAATATCTTGCAGTCCCGCGTCCGTGCTCTTGGCGAGGCTGCTAAGGTAGCTGAACATCATCGGGAGGGCCTGGTGTGTGGCTTGCGACTCGTCGCGGGCGGTCGCCATGAGGCTGGCGAGGGCGTGTGCAGTCAGGAGCGGAATGGCGTCTTCGGTGTTGCTGGATTTGAGGAGAGGCAAGAAGTGGCGGTAAGGGTCTGTGTTGTCCTTGAAGAGAGCTTTGGCGAGCGACGGGACATCTGATAGGGGAGGGGTGTCAGCGTCTGGACATTGGGCCTTGAGGTTCGGGAAGCATTCCAGTCCGCCCTCCGAGTAGAATTCCTAGGAGAACACTCACCGTCGAGAAGATCTGAGAGAAGGACGAGGATGTACTGGATGACGTTTGCATGCTGAGCAGCCGACTCGATCACGCTGGGCTTGCCCGCGCCGCCAACAAACAGCAGTCGGTATCCGTCAAGATCGCCTTGGACAATCTCCTTTCTCTGCTCTGGCTTCTTGGCCTTGTCGACGGCCCGGATCTTGGTGTAGTGGTCCTCGCTCAGGGTGCCCGCGCGGACGGCGCCATCCCACGGAATGGGCCTCTGGCGAATGTTGCTCTGGAGCGACGCCAGGTATGTCGGAGGGTCGAGCGACATGATGGCGAAGACGGCGCCGCTGCTGTAAACGCTGCGGATTGGGGGGAGGGGAGGTCGTCGTCGTGTGTCGTCGCTGGGATGGCAATGATGGAACGGAGGGCTAGAGGCTAGAGCTCAGGCTGGTGGCCGAACGGGGTCAAGGCAGGCCAGTGATGCAGCGTCACCAGGCGTCTGAGCTCCCTCCACTCGGCTCGGGGGGCTTGGATGGTGCGGCTGATTGTGCACCAGCCACATGCACGAGCCACACGAGTCCGAGCGGCTGCTGACATAAGGAAAGTGGGGCGGGACAGTCCGACGCCGACAAGCTTGGACCATGTGCCGCACTTGGGAACACTTTCCAGCCACTCGATTAATTTGGCTTCAGGTCTTTGATCTTCAGCAGAGACTTCCCGATCGGACCCTTCGTTTCAAGTCATGTCCGCTGCAGGTACGCGCCATAGTCAGATTCTTCAATCGCAAACAGAAAAGCCACATCTCTTTAGTTGTCAACGCGTGCTCAAAGTTGAGTGGTGAGGATTTGTTGTCGATAGTGTCTGCCCCGCGCGAGGCCCGCGGCGGCCCGAAACTTCGCGGCGACTGACTGGCGGGTGCGTTGGCAAGCCTCGCATTGAACCTGGAAATTCGATGATGTCGACAATCTTGTCCAAGACTGCGCCAATGCTCATGGGGATTGCTCGTGATAGTCTGTCACTTCAATTGTAACCGCTCCACCTCCACAAAGACCCAGACCGTTGTCACCAATTAGCCGGCAGTAATGGCGAGGTTGGTTGGGTTGCGTGAGGCGGTCGAGTTGAGGTGTAAGTGAGACGGATGGATGAAAGTGGGAGGCTGGGACCAAGGCACACCACATCACGCCCTCCACCCACTGCGGCACGATTCCCAACCATCTAATTAATAAAAGTCTTGTCACCACTGCCTCGCGCCTCGTGTATTTCCATTCCTTTTTGCATTCTTCACCTAAGTGACTCCTTGGACGTATTGCTCTTGGCACCTTCGACGAGTCGACGACTGACGACACGCATCACTGAGAAAGCCAGCACAACACAACCCCACTGATCGGGTACCTCAGCACAATTGCAGAGTCGGCGCGAGAGAAGCTGCCAAGCCGATCACGGCGTTGAGCACCGCTTGGTGACTCTTCCAAGGATTTTTTGTCGCCTTGCGATTTTCGAGCTCACCGTTCCCTCCCGTCTTCCCGCATTCCTCACGAGCCGAGACAACCCAACTCTTCGCGACACCACACAATGCGCTCGCACACCTCAATAAGGCGGTCTCCCCTGCTGTGTGCACTCCTCCTGGGCGCCGCGCACCTCACGACCGCCACGCCGTACCCACGCGACATCCTGCACGATGCGGGCTACTCATACCTGATGAACTACGACTGCGAGTCCTATTGTGGCTCCAACAATGAGCTTTGCTGCCAAAAGGGCGCAGTGTGTGAGACCCCCGAGGGCGCCGTCCCAACCTGCGTCGGAAACCACAAGAAGCGAGGCGAAGAATGGGGCGCCATCACGACGACCTGGACGGAGACGAGGACCTTCACCAGCACCATCATGACCCACTGGATTCCTGCGCCAGAGCCGACAGAGGGCGTGGACTGCATACCCAAGGCCGCGGAGCAGGAGGCCTGTGGCGAGATCTGCTGCGCTGGGTGGCAGACGTGTGCGTACGATGGTCAATGCTCGGCGAAACCTGGCTACCAAGAACCCACGGCCATCATCGTCACCACGGATGGCAAGACCACGACGCAGTACTCGGCGCCATACCGCATCACCGGCACCACGACCATTGTCAACAGTGGAGGCTACGCGACGGCCACGGTCACCGAGACCGCGTCCGAGACGGAAACCGGCGACGGCGAGCCTACCGAGACTAGTGACAGTGGTAACATCGGCGCCGGCAGTGACAGTGGTGACGGCGGTCTCAGCGCAGGTGCCATTGCCGGCATTGTCATCGGCTCCATCGCCGGAGCCATGCTTCTCCTCCTCCTCGCCTTCTGCTGCATCGCCCGCGGTCTTTGGAAGGCATGCTTCGGACGAAAGCACAAGGAGACCGTCGACGTCTACGATGAGCGCTACTCGCGTCACGGGAGCCGCCCCCCTCCACCCCACGCCGGACGCAACTCGCACGGCGGGTGGTTTGGACGATTTGGCGGCGGTGGCGGTGATGCCGGCGAGAAGAAGTCGGGCGGTGGAAAGTGGCTTGGGCTCGCTGGACTCGCGGCTGGTCTGCTCGCGCTTCTCAACATGAAGAAGGACAAGAAGCCTGTGCGCCGGCCTACTTCGCGGTACAGCGGCTCCTACTACTCGTACTCAGACACTAGTCGTGGCGCTGGTAAGTGACTCCGTCTCAAAACCTGATAACAAGCAATGCTAACGACACAACAGGGTCTTCTAGTTCGGGCCGCAGAACCCAGCGCAGCCGTCGCACGGGAGGTGGGAGCAGAGGACCACCCAAGTCTTACTATAGTGAGAGCAGGGACTCACGTTCTCGCTCTCGCCTATAGAGCGGTGTGGCCGCTTTTTTTTTTTTTTTTTTCTTCTTTGCATATTTTGTCTATGGCAACATTGGATCGACGAGGTGAACGATTATGATGTGGCTCTCAACGATTTGCTCTGAACATTCCACGACACGAAGGCATTGGCGTTTTAGGCAAAACAATCTCATGTGGCCAGCCAACCATGATTTACTTGGCTTGGCCCTGTTAGACGAGAAAAGGATTTGACGATTTGACTGATATTTTGGCGATGGTACTCAGGGATGCACCATTTTGCTATGGGGGGAATTCCCATACGATAGAGATTAAGTAAACGCACATTTGACAATGAAGAAATGATTACAATTATCTTACCGAATTTTCTGATAACGGTGAATATTTTCTGAGTTTTTCAATTAGAACAGGCTCTTGTTTATCTCGCAGCTTTTGAGAAAAACGACTTCAACAAGCCATCCCTAGAAAGCTGCAGGGTAAGCTCGAGCTAGAGAGTAACTTATCTGCCGTTCCAAGCTCATGTGAGAATGTCCTACATTCGTCTGCGATAACGCTACTCAAACGCTCACGATGCAAAGCATGGGTTCAATAAATGTCATTACTCGTCTCCCTTCTCCTCCCCAGGCGCTACGAGAGCCGACCAATGTGCACCGCGAGACAGATCACGCCACCGTCTGGGATACAAATATGTAAGGTCAGAGAAAAAATCATCTCCTGGCTTTTTGAATTCGTTTTAGTAGCAACCCTTGCTACTGACATGCATTGATGACCCTTCGCCACTCCGAGACCCAGAAACGCAAAAAGAAACAAACATTCCGTCGTTCTCCATGTCTATTCCTCGTTGACGACGTTGCCCTTCTCGGAAACGTACAGACCGTCCAAGAACTAAAGAATGATTGTCAGTATGCACGTCCAACAGCACTGCGCAGAGCGCAGTTTCCTTTCACGGAAAAACCAACCTTTCGGATATCCTTGTTCCTCACACGGCAAGCCTGCTGAATGTCCGCAGCACTTTGCGAGACGTTCTCGAGCGAGTTGCCGGTCAGGACGAGCTCGTCCTTCTGGTTGGTGGAGATCTCGACGTCGACACCCTCCTGCATCATGACCCGGCGGACGTACTTCTCGCCGATAAAGTTCCGGATCTCCACCTCGTAGAGGCCAGTCTCGGCCTGCTTGTCCAGGTTGACGTTGATGGGAAAATGGGCGTAGACGTAGCGCATCTTGTACTTGAAGCCCTTGGTGACACCGATGATGAGGTTGTTGATGATGGACTTGACGGTGCGGAGGGCGGCGACGTTCTTGCGGTTGCCGTGGTGGATCTCAATGGAGATGGTGTTCTTGGCCGGCTGGCCGAAGACGACGGCCAAGTGGCCGAGGTCCTTGACGAGCTTTCCTGTGTCCAACATGTCAGAAACTCCGGTTCCCGTCTAGCGTGGCATCCTCGTCCCTCGCGCGTGGCGGGACGGATCGTGGGAGTTCGCGCGTACCTCGGGGGCCCTCAACGGTGACGATACGGGTCTTGATGTGCACCTTGACTGTTGAGAGAAAAATGTCAGCGATTTCGAATTCAGCCGATCATAATTGCGACAGTGCCATCCATGTGCCGCTTGCCCCGACCAGACACAAATTTGCTGTTGCTCTGAAAATTCTCCCCATGCTCGTAAATTGCAGGTCCTTCGTGGGCAAGTTCGCAAATTCGTCTGGGTCGGGAGTCGGCGGCACGAGTCGGTGGAATTGTCGCAAACGGGCGAGAAAGTCGGCACATACCACCCTCGGGGATGTCAAGAGTCTCCGAACTGTGAATGTATCTCATCCTGGCGGTGTTGGCGGGGGTTAGTTGTCGGAGGTGGTCGAGGGTATCTTTTGCGGCGGCACGGGGATCACGACGATGAGGTTGGGCGAATTTCGTGTGGGCGAAAAGTTCTAGGGCTGGCATCCACACGTGAGGGCAGAGAGTGTGCAGCCGGGGTTCAGCCGTTGATTTTTTTTTTCTACGGCAGTGGGGTTGCTCAACACGTGACGAGCTGCTGGCTGGTGTCAAGCCACCACGGCACCAGCCACACCACGGCTCAGTCAGTCGAGGGGCATTAGCCCGCATCCCATCATGCAATTGACGCGGATAATCCGTCAAACCCAAGTACATGTAAACAATTGTATATCGAGCGTAGTCTCACCATGAGATTTTGAATTGATTGTGCGTATCTACAACTTCCACCGTGTACGTCTCACACTTGCAGTCACAATTGGGCTGAGACGCTACAGACTGAACAGCAGCAACCGTCTGCCTGGCGGCTGCACGGAAGTGGGGAGCTCGGCCGTTCTCCAACTCGTTGCTCCGCCTGGAGCTTGAAGGCTGGAGCCACGCGCCCGATACGTCAGCGTTCAACGACGAGGCATCACCGCGCAGCCACCCGGACAACCTTTGGGACCGGCTCTCTGTCTCCACGACATCAATTGGTACTCATTTCTGGGTCGGATCCTCCGCAGTCAGCCATCATGTCGTACTTCTTCACGACACCGGTCGACATCGACGTCGTCCTCGAGGACACGGATGACCGGTCCATGGTCGACGTCAAGCTTGACAAGAACAGGCGCGAGAAGGCGCCGCTTTTCATGGACGGCGAGTCGGTCAAGGGCGCAGTCACAGTCCGACCAAAGGATGGGAAGCGCTTAGAGCACACGGGCATCAAGGTCCAGTTCATCGGCACCATAGGTACCACAGATTCCCCCGACACCTTGCGCTACATACGCACGCATTGCGCATGCATGCTGACCCGAGTGCCCTGCGCCTAGAGATGTTCTTCGACCGTGGCAACCACTACGAATTCCTCTCCCTCAACCAGGAGCTCGCCGCGCCCGGCGAGCTGCAGCACCCCCAGACCTTTGACTTCAACTTCAAAAACGTCGAGAAGCAGTACGAGTCCTACAACGGCATCAACGTCAAGCTGCGCTACTTTGTCCGCGTCACCGTCTCCCGCCGCATGGCCGACGTGATCCGTGAAAAGGACATTTGGGTGTACAGCTACCGCATCCCTCCTGAGGTCAACAGCTCTATCAAGATGGACGTCGGTATCGAGGACTGTTTGCACATTGAATTTGAGTATTCCAAGAGCAAGTACCATCTGAAAGACGTTATTGTTGGCCGCATCTACTTTTTGCTGGTGCGCCTCAAAATCAAGCACATGGAGCTGTCCATCATCCGGCGAGAGACGACGGGCGCCGCGCCAAACCAGTACAATGAGAGCGAGACGCTAGTGCGGTTCGAGATCATGGACGGATCACCATCCCGAGGCGAAACGATCCCCATTCGGCTGTTCCTTGGTGGCTTCGACCTGACACCCACGTTCCGGGACGTGAACAAGAAATTCTCCACACGATACTACTTGAGTCTTGTGCTCATAGACGAGGGTGAGTCTTGCGGGAGGTTGTTGCTCCGACGTGACAGTGCTAACGTACACAGATGCTCGCCGCTACTTCAAGCAGTCAGAGATCATCCTCTACCGCCAATCGCCCGACGCACCCCAGCTGCAAGGCGCAGGCACCCACTCTCTCCCAGAGAATACAGAGAATAAGCTTGCTGCTGTCCAGGCGCCAGCCTGATTGGGCCACCTAGCCTATTGGTGAAAGCCACCGGTCCGTGTCGACCGGTGTTTCTGTTTTGCGTTTCTAATTTAGCATAGGGTACTGGCGTCACGGAGGGATGTTGTATACCAGAAAGCAGATAGCCGTTCTTACACTTGTAGTAGCCCGTGAAAAAGAGCGTTTCAAGTGTCGTGAATCGATCCCCAATTTGTGTGACCTGATGTCCATCTCGAAAGGTATCTAAACCCGCCTAAGCTACAATATGACAATCCCATACATCCGATGCTCTATGCGTCACAGCACTCTCCACTCATGAGACTCATGTGAGTTCCATCACGTCGTCCTCTGCAAATTCAAATTGGTTGTTCTGGATGGAGGCGATCCTGTCCAGCTCGTCCTGATATTGCTTGCGAATGTCGGCCAGGGACACCACCGTCCTCTTGGCGGGCAGCCCCGCAGCAGTGCCTTCCGATACCCCTTCGTCGTACACCCAGGCTTCCTTTGCCTCGACACAGTTCAAAGCGTTGATTAACAGCAGGTACTGCTTTGTGACGGGTGTGTCAAGCACGTCGTCCCCGGTGATCTTGTCGCCCTCTCCGGCAATCTTGAGCTTCTGTATGCGATCCAGCAAAACAGACGCAGCTCCGCGGAAGTTTCCGTGCCGTATCCGCCACGAGTAGAGCACTTGGTGGTAGGGGAACCCGTCCAAGACGTCGAACGAGGTTTGGCACCGCTGCGTGAGAATGTCATCGACATCCTGCTGCATGGCGGGGAATGAGAGTGCCACAAGCTCATTGCTGTGGCATGTTGCGCACATCCTGTCGACGAGCTTTCGTAGGTTGGAATGTCTCATAGCACCATCCTGCAGCGACAGCAGAGTCGTATGCGCGAGCTGGAATTGCGAAGTGGCCACAGCGGCGTTGAACAAGCGGCTCAGCATGTCTGTCCTTGTCAAATCATTGCCAGATTCTTTGCCGTGAAATTGGACTGCTAGGCGGGCAAAGTCCACGACGTAGGAGTAGGCCCTTTGCTGCTCGTACAGGGCAACAATGTGTGAATAGTATTTGCCCGGTCCGTTGTTGAGAAGTTTCCAGTCCGTCTCGTTCAATAAACCGACGCTTTGGCGGGACAGTTTGTGCTTGGTAGAACCTGCCATCATTAGTCCTTGCGTCTAATCCGAGGGAATGCATAACTTACTCAGCCCAATAGCTGCTTTCCTAAATTGCGTGGCCGCGGCGTTGAAGTCCTGCAGCGCGAGGAACACGCGTCCCTGGACATACACAGAGAAAGGTTCGTGGTCACAGAAGGGAGCCGTCTCCAGAGCCAGATCCGCCCTTTGGTGGCGCAAGAAGTTGCACTGGATGAGTGTTGGGACGATATCGATCTCGCTGTCAATGGCGCACATATCCGCCACTAGGTCGGTCAGATTGGCGGCTAGTGACCCCTTCTTCACCAAGCGCAAGTCGAAGAGCTGGCCTACATTCGCTTCCAAGGCCGTTATGACGGGAGGCTCCTCTGCGTTCCTCTTCGACGCCGCACCGGACATACCCTTATCCTTGATTTCGGGCACGCTTAGATCGGTACGTCCAAGCCATCTGAGGAGCTCCAGGCGCCTGAGGGCAGTCAACATACGTCGGTAGAACTGTCCGATGGCTATGCGGTTATGCAGTGCATCCTCCTCGTTGTCGAACTCGAACTCCATGTGGACAAGCAGAATCAGTTGGCTGAAGCAGACCCTCCAGTACAGCTCGACACTGTCCTCTACGCCTTTGAGCGCCAACTTGTGTCCAAATTCGCTCAAAGGCACCTGGGCGCGTTTGTGTGAGTCACTGGGCGTTCTGATCAAGTCCAAAACATCCCCACACAGGTCCTCGGTGACAATCTTGAAATTGTCACCCAGGGCATCCACAACCTGGGCACAGTCATCATCGGTGATGCCTCGCCAGAACCCTGACTTGTCTGAGAAATACTGAATCCTTTCCAAGTCGGTCTTTGACGATTCCTCAAAGAGCTCTGAGCGCAAGGCAGCCTCTGACAGCTGGACAAAGTTGTCGGAGAACCCATCAACAAATGACAGCCCTACGTTGATGAGCGTTGTAAGGTCTTCCTGTCCCTCCTCAGGTGTACCGGCATTGTAATACAACCTCTCCAACGCACTGCAATCGTGGACCACCGAGACAAGATCGGCACATATCACCCAAGCCGTGTCCAGCTCGTGATCGACAGACAAGCTGATGGCCTCGCCTCGTTGCCTGTCGAGCTCCACTAGGAGCCTGTAGAATCTCCGCCACTGTGTTTCGTTGGACGATCGGAATTGCTCGTAGTCAATGGATCCTGAAGGGCCCCTTTCCAAGGATGCTGTCGAGCCTAGAACTGTGCAGATAGCCTCTGCAATGCCCCTGCCTTTGACGTTCTCCTTTGACGTGCCCAGACCATGCTCGTAAATTGCCAGAGCGGTGTTGAGAGTCGCCTTGGTGAACGCTCCTGGCTGAAGGATGGTGCGCAACCACTTTTCGGTGACATCAGTTGGATCGTTTGGCCCTGATGAAGCCGGTGGCCACGCGCTTGTGTCCAGGAACACTCCTTCCCAGCTCTCCTCCCACGAACGTGCCATGTTCTTCCTATCGAGTGGCAGTCGCTGCACCTTGTACGTCATGTTGTTCTTCCAGAGCGTCCACAAGTTCATAATGCCCTCGGCGGGCGAGGACAAGACGAAGTCGGCCAGCGTCCACACGTCCGAGGACGGCAATACAGGGACAAGGCTGACGTCGGGAAAAAGATCGACCACGTCTACGCTGTGGGTTCCCTTTGCAACAATCTTCCAGAACTTGAACTCTCCTGCCCCGATGGGTGAGTAGGTGGCGCATATCCTCTGGCCCCGGGTGCGGCCAACGATTTGAACAAGGTTGGATTGCGCAGGGTCAATGACCCATTTGCCCACATCCTGAGGCTCGCGGTCTACATCGAGGATGTCGCCGGTGTGCAGGATTTGACCGTCGCCGACGTTCCAGATGCGCAGTCGATGGTCGAGACAAACGGTCACTACGTACAGACAGTCTTCGACGCCTAGTGACGTGACTTTGAGAGCGGTTGCTGCGCTGTACTCCATGTTGACTTTGCCGTGTCGAATGGTGTGCTTGCCTTGAAATGGGAGAAGACTCCTCAGGTTTTGTTTCCAGCCCTGTACATTGAAAAATGACTCCCTCCACAAGGGCCCGGCAGCTGCTCATTGTCAGTTTGCAATCTTCTCCCGCCACAGGTTCTTTAGTGCTCACCGGAATCAGATACAGACCGGTCAAAGCGAATCATTCCTCCATCATTCACCGTGACCAGCAGCATATTCGAATCGACGGCCACCATGCGATGAGGATACTTGGTCGACAGCCCTGCAGGTGCCTGGCGCTTCGCGACATCTGCCAACGCAGCGTCAACGGCTGTCCGCCGCCGCAAAGTGTCAGGTCTCAACGTCAGAGTCCATAGCACCCGCGCCTCGTCGATCACAAAGATACACAGCGCATCGTGCTCTTTCGGATCGGCTAGCGCCACGCAATTTGGTAGAATCGGCGTCGCGAAATTGAAGTTCAGGACCAGTGACACATCGGGCGTATTCTTGTCCCGCCGCGCAACATCAACAACCCGGATGCTCAGCGTGGTTCCGTCATCTAGGATGCGCCACAAGAAGCTGCGTGGTGAATGGTGGTATTTTCTGTGATAGATTGTCGAGGCACTTGCGAGATTCCTGGCTCGAAAAGTCGACTCGTCTTCGGCCGTGGCCCTCGTGGGCTTGTGGTTCGCTGGGACGCAGACGCTGACAATAGATGCGGCGGATGGAGGCTCGAGGTTTAGACGGGTCTCTTTGAAGAGATACTGTGTCTCGCCAGTGTCCATTTCGCCTCCATGTAGCGAGGGGACAATTGCGTCGAGAAAGGGCGAGAAGATGGGAAGTAGAGTGCGTAAAGGCGTGAGTTGATGTTTTGCGGTCGCGTTGGAGGTCAATGGCGGCAGAATTTAGACCAAACCGTGCTCCAAACGACACGCTAACCCAACACGGCAATCAGCTAAACTTCAACTTTCGAGCCTCAATATTTGTCCGCATCACATAGTTGCATTTCTTGTACCGATCCTTGAGACACCAATATAAGGGGGGGGGGGGGGGGATTTCACGATCAATTTCAAAGCGGTGTATTTTGCAAATTATCGGTCCCAGGGAAAACACCCTACACAGAACGCCGCAAGCCATGCAGTACAAACACAATGTCATCAACCGTTCATTACATCGGAGACAACGAAATATCATCGATGGCTCAGTCCTTCTCCACATCCTTGGGAGCAGGGTCCGTAATGCCCTCTTCGCTGATTGCAAATAATGTGTCAGCCTCGGGAAGGCAGGGACTGTCGTAAATCTTCGCAATGCGGGTCTCACCACGTCCCTTCTTCAGACTGATTCGTGTCGTACTGGCGTGAGCGATAATGTTGCCTCCGATTGGCTTCTTCGGATCAGGGTTGAACATTGCACTCGGTCCACCGTCGACCTGAGCAACGACTTGATTGGTGATGACGACAGCGATGCCAAACTCGTCAGCCAGGCGCTGCAACGTGCGCATGAACTTGGCAAGATGAGTTTGGCGGTTCGAGAGTTCACCTCGGCCGCAAAAGTCGGTTCTGTACAGCGATGTGGCACTGTCGACGATGAGGAGAGAGAATCGTGTCTCGCACATCATGGCCGATGCTTGGTTGAGGAGCTGGAGCTGATGATCCGAATTGTAGGCACGAGCGTAGGCAACATTATCGAGGACTTCTTCTCCGGACAAACCAAAGCGATTGGCTACGGCCAACATACGAACAGGTCGGAACGTGCCCTCGGTATCAATGTACAGGCATTTTCCCTCGCCGCCACCCATGTCAAATGGCAATTGGCAAGTAACCGCGAGGGTATGGCAAATCTGACTCTTTCCCGTTCTGAACTCGCCAAATAGCTCGGTCACGGAGCCGGTCTCGATACCACCGGCAAGAAGCGTGTCTAAGTTCTTCGATCCTGTAGTGATGGAAATGAGCACACTTCGACGCTGGTGCATCTCGGTAGCCGTGGTGAAGCCCATTGGGACCAGCTTGGAGGCTGTTCATAGTCAGCATGTGATCGTGCATTTAACTGAGCTGCCTCGCCTTCTCCAAGAATCTTGGCAGCCTTTTGCTCCGAAATGCCTTTGATCTGCTCAAGCGTTCGTCGTGGTGTGTAAGCAACCGACTCCACAGTGTTGAAGCCACCATCGACTACAAGCTGGATGTCACGTTTGGTGAGACCAGCGACTCCCTTAAACAACACACGTTAGCACACGTCGGGGTTCCTGAGATTGGTCGCTGTTTACCTCGAGGGCCGAGAGTGGCGTGGGCGCGCCGGGGCCGTCCATGGCTTCCTCACCGGCCTGAGCCTCTTCATATTCTTCGCTCATTGCGACGGATGGAAAGACCTGCGTAATAAAACAGTGGGCTTAACGTGATTCAACGGAGTCAAAATGAGTGATGTGAATGAGGGGTGAGGAGTCAAGATAGAAGGAGAGTCATGGTGCTGACAGTCGCGTGGACGCGCCGTGGGGCAGGAACTATCGCCACACGTCAACGCCAACTCACGTGACATAAATAGACCGTAAAGCCATCCGCGTGTCCATCATCATCAATGGAAGATGTGAACAAACAGAAGTTAAGAGCTGGAGACTGATTACATGTTTGAATGACTCCTTATTTTTCTACTTGATATTCATCACATGAACGAAGCAAAATCGTGTGAAGTTCTTGAATTGATGTACAGAGCTAGCTAGTATTGGAGGAGCAAAGTGTGCCGGCGAAGACGACCGATCCCATTAATGTCTTGCCCAAACTCAATTCCGGCAGAAAGGAGAGTATGTCGCAGTAACGCCTCGCAATGCTGATGACTGTGTTCTTGGATGAAAATGATGCACTTGTCGATTCTTGGGCCGCCCCTTTACTGAATAGCAATGCGGCGCGCCTCGTGCTTCTTGGCCTTGGGCACCGTGATGTTCAGGATGCCGTCGCTGAGGTTAGCGGTGACGCCGTCCTGGTCCACGCGCGCGGGGAAGTTGAAGGTGCGCGAGAACTCGCCAATGCTGCGCTCAGACAGCCAGTACTTGGCGCGGTCGGGCTGGGTCGTGGCTGACTTCTGGACAGCCCGGGACTCTCCGGTGTGGCCCGCATCAGACTGATCGACGGAAGTGAAGCCGTCCTCCTCCTGTCCAGCGTCCTCGACAGTAGCCTTGTGCGACTTGGGCGACTCGGTACCGCTAGAAATGGTCTTCTGGTCGGGCTTGTTCTCCACGGCAGGTGTGCCAGTGGGCGAGGTGCCGGCAGTGTAGGTGCGCTCAACCTTGCCGCGGATGAGCATGTTCTGGGGGTCTGTGAACTCGATGTTGACATTTTGCTTGGTCATGCCGGGGAGTTCGCCATGGAGCTCGTACGCTTCGGCAGTCTCGCGAATGTCAAACTTGGGTGCAAAGGGAGCGAGCTGCGAGCGAGGTCGAGAAGGGTGGCTGCCATCGTTGGCGTTTTGACGGCTGTAGCTGTCGAAGTCGTCAAGAAGGCGGAAGAGAGGAGTGAAGGAGGAGTCGTTGGGGGTGGTGTAGAGGTTGCGTGGGAAGAAGGCCATTGTGTTGGTTGTTGGTTTGAGTGGTTGATTGAGTGCAGAGTGTGGTTGGTGAATAGCGTTCAAAAGCTTCCCAGTAGTTGTTTTGAGAAATTCGGGCTTGTGACTGTTGTTCTGGAGAGGAAGAAAGAGTTAATTGAGAGGGCTCACTGCGTTGCTATATACTTGAAGCCATCGCCAGTCGAAGCAGCTGGAAATCGCAGGAAGAAGCCGTGATTGTCATCTGAGCTACACCAATTCACTGTGGTATAATCTAGAACTTACGAGCACGCTCCAAAGATTCGGGTCATATGATACTTTGCTTTGCATGCTGCCCTGAGCGAGCGTGCTGGGTGCGACCAGAATGTGGTGGAATATTCTGGCACCACCGCGAAAACTCACAGCTGCAACGATTCGAGCACCCAGCGCAAAGCACTCAGTTCCATGCGCAATTAGACATGAAGAAATACGTTCGATAAGAGCATTCGACTAGCTCTTGATAACTACGGCGCAACTAATGCGACGATAACGTTCTCAGCATGTTCGCGGAGTCGCGCAGGTAGGAGTTGATGTATCGAAGTCGAAAGTTGCACTAGGCCGCAAGTAGTTCGCGATTCCCCAGCCCATACGTAGATCAGTCAGTGATCTACAGCCTACTTTAAGTACCTTTACCAGCTACATGATCTCCTCTAATTAATAATTGTAGAATACTTTGACATGAAATTCATCACTAGTTACGGACTGTTAGAAACTGTCATCGATCTCGGTGGGCTTCATAAAAAGTTGGTCTAAACCATCCAAGTTTCAAGGGCCCCAATACGCTCTGCCAGTCCTTTGGGTTATTCCCCGGACACTGAGCACCCCCTATTGACCAGTAAGAAATAAAAGGTGTACATGTAACAATTTCTGACCGCGAACAAGCTGCAGTAAGAAATGACGTGAGTGCACTGGTGATTGCGCAGCTCGCTGTACACGTATTGCTTTCTGCTTTTCTTAATTTGATGGTATGATTATCGGCTGCCTTCCCCACAAGGCACTCGCAACGACATCATATAATCGCGCGATCCAGACGTATGACGACACTGACGCCCACCTGCAGAGTCGTGCTCGTCAGTCGATCGACATCATGCCATGTCGCCTATTCCTGGTCATCAGGCGTAGTGGACTTGAACCTCGCTGCTGTAGGCGCGACGGCCACGATACACGTACGTAGGTAGCGCGATACGCAGCTGTCGAAACTTGGCATATTCCACATCAGATCCCGTACGCTCCCAAGGCCTTCACCAATGTGCGTCACATACCACGCATAGCACACGCCGCCTTTGGGGGGCCACGGCACAGTTGTTATCATTTATCCGTCGCGATGAGACGAGACACTGTCTCATCTCAACAGTACCTCGATACGAACGTCAGGGATCCTCAGTGAGACAAGTTTGCAGGCGCCACGAACCACAATAGCGGTCACCGACTCGCCAGCCTCTGTTTCCCACGCTGTGCGGCAAAGTGTCCGAGGAGACAAAGACAAGTCGAGATTGAGTTGTAAATCAAGTTTATATTCCGTGTATCTACAGGTTTGTGGTATCGTGTACGTATTGTGTTTGCAATGCAGTCAACCGGTACCCTCATACAACGCCTAACTCACATTCGTTTCAAGCCGTACAATGCTCCGACGATTCAAGACCTTCCCATCATAACCATGGAAGCCGGACCATGCTCTTGCAAAGAAAGACCAGTAACGCGTAGGGTCTTGCCGTTGTACCTCCGCGATGACGCTTCGTGTATGGCTTCCTTCACCTCCATGCTGCGCTGTGCTTCGTTCAGGACCCATACAGTCTCATCTGGGGGTACGCAGGTACCATTCCCATAGGCGCCCTCATGGGCTGTCCGTAGTGTGTATGACTCGGGAAACGGTTGAAATATCCTATGAGCTTTCTGCCCACGGCAGGCTCCAGCTCTGTTCCATCTCTTGCAATCTTCACTTCCCGACTCGAGTTCCATGGGTTACGCAACCCCCTTGCTCGGTAGAAGGGGAGTCGGTTTGTAGAAAGCCACTCTAGCTTGAATGGCTTACCCCACGTCTTCTGGTCCTCCTCCTCGTCTGTTTCTTTGTTTTGTGTCTCATCTTCTTCATCCTCTGCTTCGTCGTGTTCAACCTCCCAGAATATCGTGCCACGCGCAGAATCGTCGATTATCCGTCCCTTCGGTGCATGTTCGGTCGCCTCGGTCGGGATAGCTTTTGGCAAATCTGTGTCGGTTGTCATTTGCGCTTTCGGGGCAAATTCAATGGCGGCGTCGGGGTCTTGATTAATTTCTGATGCCATTCGAGCATATCCAAAGTATTCGCCAGACTTGTTCGCTGAGAAGACCAGATATACGTTGTCCGTCGTCTGGGACTAGTCAGCATTTGAAAGTAAAACAGAGCTTGGGTCACATACCTTAAAAGCATTGTTGAGTGTGTCCTCGTTGTGAGATTGTGTCGCCCACATGCCAGTCTTTACACTTCGTTCAAGGTCCTCCACGGTCAAGCTCTTCAAGATGAAGAATTTGTCTTGCTGTCCTCCATCGACCACGACTTGCCGCAGACGTGCAGTCTGAGCCTCCTCCCCGGTGGGATCTTCGGATGTCTCGGTCACGACAGTAGATTTGTCTTCGTTCGTTGGCACGGTTGACGTGGAGGCTGTACTCAAACCTGCTGGGCCCGTTGGTGCCGTCGCTCCAGTGGCACCCTCAACCGTGCTCTTGCGCAGTCGGCTGACGAGTCTGACAGATTGAAACTTGGAGTCGTGTAATTTCTGCTGCGCAGCCGCGCATGTTGCATCGTCTTTGAAGTTAGCAAAAGCGCAGTTGCTCTTGGAAATCAGGAACAACGACTCGAGCCCCGGAGCTTCCTTGCATACATGATGCACGAGGCTCATGAGCTCAGTTTGTGGTGGCAGGTTGCCGACCCAGATCGCGTGGCCTTGCCATCGTCAACATTGTGGAATTGGTCATAGATAGATAGACAATCTCACCACTCTGTCTAGGTTTCCTTGGAGGCCCGCGCACAGCGCTCGTCTGCTGCCGATCCTGCTCATCTGCGATGATGTTAATCCTCTGTGACTGTCCGTTTGCCCAAGCGCTCCTACCTGGGCCTCTCCTGTCCTGTCCCAGCCAGCGAGGGTCGGGGTGATGATCGATTTGTGCTCGTAGACCATTCGCCGTCGTCGGACTCGTGGGCATGTACTGGCCCGAAAATATGGAAGCTTGCATGTTTTGGTTTGGCGGCGCGTACTGGACATTCTGCGGATAGTAGTACCCTGGCTGCGACTGCCCCATAAGCATGTGGTTCTGATAGTAGTTCATATTATGTCGATGGGCAGGCACAGGAGGCATGGGGCCTCCCCCATAGTATTGGGATACATGGGGCTGCTGTGACCCGTAGTATGCATGGTTGCTCAGATTCATGGGCGAGGACGGGCCATATTGCCCCATGTGGTCCATCTGGTGCATCATAGGGGGCGATGTGGTCGGTACAAAGCGCTGTTGGCCATTCTGTGAGAATTGTTGCCCGCCTCGATGACCCCCTCGCGGTAAGGCGCTGGCCATGGGCGCCATACTGTAGAGAGGCTGCTGCTGAGATCCGTGAGACACATGGCCAACATGCGGTTGATTGGCAAAAGCAGCGGGATCAGCTTGGGTGCAATGTGCTACCGTAGAGAGTGATTCTTTCTCGGTGGGGTGAATACCGCCGAAAGTCTTGTCGGCATCCAAAATGGTTGCTGCTGATGGTTCGTCGTGCTCGGTACCGAGAGTCGGTCCGGATGTCGCGAGATCTCCCATCACGCCTTGCAGGTTACGTTCAGGGGAGCTGTAAAATTGGTGCTCGCGCAACTCGAAACGTCAGTGTATAGCTTTTAGACTATACTAAGGAGCAATGAGATAAGCTGAGGGTTTGGGTGCAGACAGGGGCCCGACTTTCACCAAAGCTCTCAGTAAGTCCGCAGGCAGGGTGGAAGAGAAATGTTGCTGTTGTCTAGCAACAATTGCCAGACGGACACAGCGCCACAGCAAGTGGGCAAGATGTTCCGACTGGGGATATTGAAGTATCGGATGGAAGAAAGGCGCGGCGTGCTCGAGGCGGAGTGTGCTTCTGCAGCAGTGCTGTATTGTGCTCGGCTGCAGGTCTATAACCCTGGAAGCTGGTCTGGAGCTCGGGGGTTTGTCAAACAACAACAGCAAGATCAGTCTCTTGCTCGCCGGTCAACGACGCAAGTCCGGCCCTGAGCAGGGCAGTAGGCGCTGAGCTTTTCGACTGTTCACAGAGTCTCGTAAGAAAGTCAGCGATAACTGTGAAGGGGTGTGGGGACTTACCACGCTGTGCTACGATTGAAGGGTTCTGCTGCTCGGAAAAGCTTGAAATCACTGGGTAGGCAAAGAGGGTGAGGTAGCAGTGTGTATAGATTCGAGATCCTAGGATGAGGCGAGTGTGAGGGAGCCTAGATCGTGAGAGGAAATGCCAAGTGATATAATTGGCGTGTTGACGAACCTAATGGCGATCGTGGCCTGCGTCCTGCCCGTGTACAAGTGACTGGAATCATGCAGCCCAGGATCATAAACGATGACCCTTGCGTCTTGATGATGTGATGTGGTTCAGTGGCGCACCAACGCAAGTTGAAGACGGCACACGATGGTGTCTAAGCAACTAGCCGTCGAAACAACTTCTCGAATTTACACTTGTGAAACGTTTGTAAAGGAGAAAAGGTATTTAAGCAGGATGCAACGAGGATGATCCAGGAGGTAGGTACCGCACAGTGTCCCGTCCAGAATGACAGTGTATCTAGCTGGAGGCCACAAGTTTACAGTATGTAGGACGAGAAGATGGGTTTTATTAGCCAAGCCACATGTTCCTGGAGAATATTTATGGGAGGCAAATGCCATCTCGAGCTTGGAGAGGCCCTAGCCAACGAACGCCACTGGTCCACGCTCGGCATCCGCAGGGCTACTGGGCAAGCTATCCAAGAGGCTGCTATTAGTGGCCAATTCAACTCGTTGAAGCTGGTGTCCCATAGCTAGGCAGGTCGAAAGAACCTTCCGGCCAGCATGCCAAGATGCTCCATGCTGCAATGGAGGCGGACAGTGGAGGCTGATGTGCATGTAGCCCTCCAAAACCCCAATCCAGGACCGGCATGTCCAACAATTGCTCGCACTCACCAGGGGCGTGGGTGGATGTGGTCCCCGTGGAAGCGCGCCGAAGGGACTTGGGCACTTTAGGATCTGAACAGAGCAGATTTCGAAAAGCGAGCATCCACAATACCACCCCAGCGGCGGAAACTAGGGGATCCAGGGGTGGTGGGTGGTGTGGACCGAGCGGACCGGCTGACGACTGAACCTTGAACGTCCTCGAGGCAACTGGACATCATCGCCAGGAATGAACATTCGCCACTGAAATCAAGGGTCCCTGCCAAGCTACTGTACGTTGCACTACGTACTTGCAGTGAACACTTGGCTCTTGGGCAGCGACCCTTGACGCCTCCATGTGGCGCAGAAAGTCATGGATTGATACCTGATCAGCTGCTCCAATCCAACGCGCGCCCGGCCGAAGCGCTTCGGTCTCGACTTATTATTGGAGACGAGTCCGTCACAAGCCACATTTCCATCCTGCAGTTCGCACGATAATTATTACAGCATTGGCATCTGGGCGGGGGCTTGGTCGTGGCGGCGGATCTAGAACTTGAATTTGACGACAGGGGCCGTCTCTCTCCCACTGTCGTGGGCAATAAGGGACGGTCTGCGAACATCCTCACCCAACCAATTTTCCCCAACAGTGCCTACAGGCAAGCGCCTTTGTGGCAAATAGTAGGCAAGGCGCTGTCTGGTTGCCTGCAGTGATAGCGACTGCTACCAAATTAGCTCGAAATGTCCCCAGCCAGGACTACGACAGAGCCTGAGCACAGTATCAATCCACCACGTTGCATACCCTGGCAAAGAGAAAACACTCCCATTTGTCATCGTATACCCTCTTGCACAACACAAGCCACCACGGGCTTCACAAAAGTCGGCTGCAGTGCGCGTCCACAGCGAGGCTGCTCAATTCGCAAGGTGACGTTGCGGCACATGGGCGAGTGGGGAGGCAATGGGAGATGATCGGCGTTGGCCCTTCGCCAATCCGAATGGCTGTGATCAAAGTTCGATTTCTCAGAAAATCGAGGAAATTGTTTCACCGATCGCAAACCACCATCTCCAGGATCCCCCTCCCCTGCGCCACGACGTCATCACTACAACTGCCATTGTGCGCAACGCCCGTCGTACACTTCGTACAGTGCAAGGTCCGGCATCTCGTGACGAGTGCGTATACTCTACCACAACTGCGAGGACAATCGCATGAAGTTTACCTATACCGTGAAGTAAACAATTTCATTATACGAACCTGGGATGCTTGTGAGATCTTGCATAGTGCTCGCACGCCCGGAATTTCGGCGTTACGGTTGTGTGCGCTGAAGTTATCCCACACCAAGTACGTTCTCGACTGCGCTCTGCGCATGAGCCACCCTACTGATCCACTTTTCTCCGGGGCAGCATCCCACCAATTCGTCGAGAGTTGAAATGTCAGGTGCCGCGGCAGGGATACCATCGCACCGGCTGGAAATGCATCAGTTCTCTGGAGCAGACCATCGCCACGACCCCATAAGTCACTGGGGTCCAGCCTACTGTACTTGCTACCGCTGTAACAAGGGCAATTCGTGCGCTCTGCTCCGTGCGCCGATATCTCCTATTGTGCAAAGCTACAATATGTAAGACACTCCAGATTCGTTCCGTCGACTTCCTTCTAATGCCGGCTTAAGTTGTACACTTCAACATCGAAACAACCTTCTAACGTTGTTTGTTCGGATGCCCTAGCGCCAGCCTCTAGCAAGCGAGACGCACTATCGACAGCTGTACATGCACGACTGGAGTCTCGGCTGTACGGAGTACGTGTACCGCAGTGGGCTCAGCGTAAGCCCATGACGTTTCGCTCCGAAAATGAATATTGACCCTGTGATTGTGAACGATAGGTCGCGATCCTCGTAAACTGGACCTGCTTTTGTTGGATCTGTTCATGTGTCACGTGTTCCCTGCACTGCACGTCGCCGGCAATCAGACAGTGCTTTTATTAAATGAACGGCTAGAAGTCTGCATGCCTCAGGTGAGCATCCACAAGGGGAAGCGGTGAAAGCCTCATCTCAACATAATACTACCCACGAGCAGCCTGACGACATACCAGTGCGTATTCAAGTTGTGGATTATCACCGCAATAACTCAACTGCGTTGTCGCCCAGGCTTGTGGGGCATGTCTGCCCGAAAAAGGACTAGAGCCCGAAAGACCCTTGATGTGTGATGACGACATACAGCTGTCAGTGACGACCTAACGGCATTCGGGACGCAGAGTACCGCGAGCACTGATCATGATACGCTGCGATCTGGGACTTGGGGACAGTGTTCAAGTGCATCCTTGAATCACGATCACAGAGGAGTCTCCCACCTGCGCTACGTTGTGCGTCCTCCGGTCCACCTCAGGTTATTGTGGTTGACTGTAAGGATGGATTGTGACCTCATCTTGGAGGTGCCTAACAATGCGGTCATCAAAGGCCTCGAAAGAATATTACATTGACGGGACTCGCAGGAGTGGCTATGGTTTCACAGTGTCGATACGCCACAGGAATTGACTCTCTTTTGATATGTACATAGCATCCAATGATGTTTTACCGCAGCGCAGCTTCGCCTGCAAAACACTTGGAGTACTTACGTACTTGCGGGCTGAGATAGAGCTACACCCAAGGCCAGCTGTAAATGCACTGCCGCTTTCCTTTGGCTTGTCTCGCAATCGTGGCAAGCTCAAACCGGTGAGGGCATCAGTAGCCGGGGAATCGATGTGTAGCCGCCTCATGGAAACTGATAGTTTTGTGTCCCCCCTGGTCGAGAATTAGGTGATTGAATAACTAGTGCATCTACTACGCACGGGTCATCTATGAAACCCCAAATCACCTCAGGTATAAAAATGGAATCAGTGTATCTCTTAGCAAGCCCAATAATTAATTGATGGCTTTATAGACTGCCCACGAGGGAGACGCTAGACCCATTTCGGTGACATCAATCCTTTTCATGGGGGGATAGGGTAGGTCGCGCCGTTGAAGCGGTGTCTGGGGAGTTGGAATGCTAGAGGTCCGCTCCAGTCTCCAGCCACATTCCCACTAGTAAACGTCGAACATTTGCCTCACCTTATTACCTAGTCTTCACCGCTGCCCGATGTTCTGCATGCCTACTGTCCCGGGTTCGACGACCCTGACCAATTATGTATTTTCCTGTCGTGTGCGCATCTCCTCGAGCTTACACGTAGATGTCAAATGTTACGAAAGGGGACCCATCGGCCACCGCCGCCGAGGCTCTTGCCCCGATTCTGTCCAAGACTCCAAGACTCCAAGACCATGTGCAACAAAGGCGTAAGTAATTAAGTCGTATTGCTCGGTGGCAAAAACAGATTCCGATGTTTGGGCCTCGCGAAAGCTGCCGAGTTCGTAAGCCTAGCTCGTGACCCTCATGAGTTTGTGCCGTTGATCACATTGCCGTCTTCCAGTGACCGCCAGCACATTTGCCACTGTCACGCGGTTCGACAAACCTCTCCCGAGCCATCGCGCAAAGACGAGCTCGTAGCTTGCGGCTCATCACTGTCCCGTCTTGGTAGACTCTTGTCCCCCCACCAAACACGGAAGTTTATCATTTTTAGAGTTTGAAAGCGATGGCATCCGCCTAAATAATAAATTCCCGACACTCCGTCAAGGCTGGCAACATGTCCTCCTCACGGTGGTTGAGATTGAGATGCGGCTGTTTCTCCATGTGGCCGGCTGAACAGTCTTCGCGAACTCAATTTGAGTGGTAGCGATGCACCGGCATTTCACGAGATCGCGTATAATCTCTTCTGTACGCAAACACATCGCCACTCTGCTGTGCTTGGTCTCCAATTGGCAAAATGGTCTGTCTGGCCCAAACCACTCATCTTTGGAAGGCTGCTTCACCACGTGTAAACCACAATGTGCTCTCCGCAGTTTGACCAAGCCCTTGAGCGTGACCTGCGTGGAGCCAGTCAGACTGGATGTAGGGAAGCTGCAGTCATCAAAATACTTCGTTATTGAGTCATGCCTGATTGGGTTCCAACTAAGCTCTAGTCTTTCTTCAGAGGCAACATAATCTCCTCAATGCCATCCTTTGTTATGACCATCATCTGCAAGTTGTCACCGACCTCAATGTGACGCTCAACTGCACCGTCAAACGCATCCTTGACGATTGTCTCTACCACAGGCCTGGAGAGAGGGTGGCGCTCCCGCTCCTTGAGCTCATGGCCTACTCCGCTACCCGGCACGTACTGGTTCTTGAAGTTGACGTTGCTGTCGAGGAAGGGCATGATCAAACTGGCGGCAGCACCACCAGCACGGCACTGCTCCCGCTCATAACTGCCCACCGGGTCGTACGAGTAGACCGCACCCTTGCCCTCCTCGTCGAGACCACCCAGCATAGCGTGCGTGTAGTAGGGAAAGAAGCGCTTGTTGTACAGGATGGTGGAGAGGCGCTTGGCGCAGGCGTGGACGCTCATGGGCTTGCCATGACGATAGCGATAGATTTTGCAGACAGTGTCAAGCTGGTCGCGCAGGGCATTGCCGTCGGCAGCGAAGCCACAGACGGACAAGGCAATCGTGGCGTCAGACTGATCAGAGTTGCTGCCGCCGATGCGGAATACCTTTGGGGACATGCGAGAGTTGATGCTGTAGCCGCTGGTGTGTCGGGTGTCGCCTGCCATGATGCAGAAGTCCGCACCGGCAATAGCTAGCGTAGAGCCACCGTTGTCAGAGTAGCTTTGGCACGGTTAGCTGAATGCAGCTACGCACGGCAAGGGAGTGCTCTCACGGGTTGAATCGGTGCTCTCGAAACTCTCCATTGTTGGTTCGTGGGGCATCGGAGAACGAGTAGTTGGGCCCGTTCATCACTGGGTTTTGGCTGAACATGGCTGACATGGTGTGCCAGTATTGTACTAATCAAACTCGAGTCGTGGAAGAGTGACGGACTTGCGGTGTGGTCGAACGAGTGCGATCCCTTGGGCTTTAGGCAACAGTTGACGTTGGAGGTCGAGATGGGACGCAGCGAAGCTATGAGGCTGCCGCAAGCACGCGTCAAGCTTGGCCGCCTTGAGGTTGGGGTAGCTGAAATGACTAAGCGGATATTGGTCCACTTTTGCTTGGCCATGAGTGATTGAAGGTCCGTCCCTCTCCTGAACGGTCGCCATCTCGAAACTACAAATACGTCTGCCAAAGGTAGCCTGGCTAGGCGCGGACAAGCCAGGACTATTCTCCTTCTTTCTACCGTTTGAAGCGTTCTGTTTGATTTGTTCGTTCAGCTCACCACGATGACGCGCGATATCCGCGCTCAGGCGCTGCTGAAGATTGCCTCGCTCTCCGCGGGAAGCTCGTCACCAGCCGATCGTTCGGACCTGGACAGACTTTGCCGCGCATGTCATGCCACGGGCAAGGCAAGGGATTATTCCCATAGCGGTAAAACCGCGACCTCACTTGGCAAAGTACCCATGGTTAGTCTGGCTGTGCAGAAAGGTTCGGGCTTGGGGGCGCTAATATTCCCGTAGTCCATTCGCGAATTCGAGGTTCTCCTAGCATTGTGCAAGACAGCGCCCAACATCCAAAACGCTCAAAGTGCGCAGCGACTGTCGTATCAGCTCACACCATATATCCTCGAGGCGCCGGTCCAGGCTTTTATCCCATCGCCATTCTTCCGAAAGATTGATCCCTCTCCGACCGAATCGCTTACCTTCCATGTGACGGGGGCCTTACTGTCGCTAGGATCAACTTATAGCGAGCTTCAAGGAGCTGTCACAGACAGTGTTTGGTCGTTCCTAAATACCTGTACTAGGGCTACAGACACAGTTCTATCATCGCCGTATGCGGACCCCGACGATGTCCAACTCGACGAAGCTATTCGCACCGTGACCATTGTTGTTGCATTGCTTGGGTTTATGGATGCCGCGTCCGCACAGGCTGACTTCTGGAGGTCTAATGGGCGACTGGCTCTTGTGCAAAAAGTGCGACATATCTTGTCCGAGCGCTTCCTAGTAGCTGTGAACGCCGCCCTGTCCACAATTCGCAATTCGCACAGCCATGAGAGAGAGGTGCGAGAATGGAGACGCCTTATTCGCCATTACTCGCACTTGGACCGGCCCTTGGGCGCCATGCTTCTGCAACGCAGCTTCATGTCTCTTCTGGCAACAAGCACCTCGCTTCTGGTCGCCAACACTGCCGAGCTCCAGTATACGCACATCCTGGATGTTTTGATGTCGCGCGGTAGCAAAATCTTCCAGGAATTTCCCCCGAACACTGAAGACGACCTGGCCTCGGTGGAAGTGTTCGCAGCTTTCACCATCGAGCAAATGGCCCATTTGGAAAATAACGAGGATTACCTACGAATGAGCAGCCCTTCTGAGCAGCGTCTCGCGTATGCCTCCAAGGCCGCAGCGCTGGTTTCATTCCTGAATTGTTCTCTCCTGAATGAGGAGGTTGCCGACGTGGACACGCTGCTAGCCTGGCTGCAAGAATCCTTGGGGGAGCCAGAGCAAGTGGACGACCACCTTCTGGCATCCGTCGTGGTTCGATCACTGGCCATTATCTGCCACATTTCCCCATCCTTTACGCCGACAATTAGTCGACTGTTGCCAAAATTCTTGGTCCAGAGTGCCCCCCCCAGTGAAACCGTCGCTGTCGCCTCAAAATCGCTTGCGTATGTTTTGAAGTCTCTATCGAAGGACGCGGTCATTAGCACTCTATACTCGCTTGGCAACATTTTGAGTCCCGAAGCAGAGGCGAGCCTGTCCAATGGTCAAATTAATGGGACTGCTGGAGGCGATGCCAATCTTGGCCCAATGTATGCCAATCGCCAATCTGTCGGCAGCACCATCTCCTTTGCAGGGTTCGGCGAGGACGGGAGCATCATGGCGTATGAGAACGTTGTTCACGCTATTTGCTGCATTGCCGAGACTTGTCAAGACGATAAGATCACCGCATTGGCTCAGTCAATGCTTGTACAGAAGTACAACAAGGTCAATCCTGGCGCCGATGTTCACATTATGTCTGGTGCAGCGATCCTGGCGTTGAATGGGGGCCAGCTGGAATTCAAATCACTGCTCAAGTGGTATACGCGAACGTGTCACGAGAGCATCGCTGAGAACAAGGAGTACCTGAAGGCCGCGGTACTGAAGGCGCGCACGTACATATCGGCCAACGTCAGCCGCAATTCGCCGCTGTTTGACATTTATTGGGAGCATTTGCTGGAAACAATCATCTCCTTCGGCGACGCAGGCTACCATGGACACACGAAAGAGGCCGATGTGCAGCTTGCCGCTGAGGAGATTGCCGAGATGCTGCCCCCTGTTGCAGTGTTCATGTCTCGCAATGATTTCGCCGCTGAGCCCGTGGAAAACGACGAAACGGCGCAGATGTTGCGCGATGCCTGGTTCAACATCGTCGTCCACGGGTTTACGACCGCCAGCGCTATGGGCAACTTTTATATCGAAGATCTTCGTACCATTGCGGTGCACTCCCCACCATTGGTCGCTGAGAAGCGTAGCGAGCAGCTGGAGAGTGACATTGAGCTCAACACGGTGCTCAGACGCGGAAACAGCAGCGAGCGCGAGGCTGCCCAGAAGAAGCAGCTGTGCGAACTGATTCCCGCCAAGGCCGGAGACATTAGGGGTCTGAGCTACCGAAAGGTCATCTTTCTACAGTCGGCGTATTTGGTCGAGAGCCTTCGCACAGATGTTGGTGATTGCACGAAAGTGCTGTCGTACTTCTTGGAGCCCAGCATGCGCAAGGGTGACGTGAGCAGCGCCATGGAGGGAATCGCTTCCACGGTGGTTGACAGATTCGTCAGGAAGACACTCAACGGCACGGACCCCCTGTTCTCTGCGCAGTACGCGGCAAAGCAGCTCATGGAAATCTTCCGAGGTTGCTGCCATCGCATCGAACGCGTCCAACAAGCTGCGCTGCTGTGTGCTGATCGAATCATTCACGACATCCCTTCAGCTTTATGCAGCCGCACATCCCTCTTTGCACTCCTCGAATTGCTGTCGTTGATGTGGACTAGCTGCCTTGAGGCCGAGACCGATCTATATGCGCCTCGCGCCGTGTTCAGGTCGCAGCTCGGCGGCGTCACGGTAGAGCTTTCCGACAACTACGAATTCAGACGCCGGACACTGGACACCCTCAACAAGAAGGCTAAGATCTGGGTTAACACAGCCATCAATCTAGCGCCTCTAGATGTTAAGGGCCTGCTGCAGACCTATCTCTCCGAGTTCAGCGACGACGGTGCCTACGGACATGTTTCCCTCGGAAGATCCTTCGCACTGGAACTCGGATCTGTCATTCCATCGACAGATCAGCGACTGCAGTCCTTGGGCAGGGTCGGCGACTGCGACATTAACACTGCTTCGGATCTCATTGCTCAATACACTACTCGCCAGGAATACCGGTACGGGGAGACCTTGCCAGATCGTGGTAACGAATTGATGAGCTTCATGACCCACGGTCTTAGGCAGTCTATCAGACCTCCTACCCTCGCTGAGAGCGCCAATGCTTCCACCGCGCTTGCTCACGTCGAAGCTCGAATCCTTAGTAAGAAGACGACCTCGCTAAACGAGATCAGGGATATTTTGCGAAGGGCAGCCGCGCTTCTCTGCCGCAGCCATGTGGACGAGTCCGCCGTGGCTCGCTATCTCGTGAGCATCCCATTCTCCCTCTTCACCAAGCAGTCCATGAAGCTGGGGGTGTCCTTGTGGCTTGGGGTCATCAACGAGAACCCGCGCCTGGAGTCGAAGCTGGTGAATGAGATTGCGCAGCAGTGGGAGTTCTCCATCACTCGTCGCGTTGGACTTTTCAATCCTGTGCTGTCGCATCCGGATCCTTTCTTTCTGAAAGAGGAGTTTGCTCCCAGTGAGCTGGAGGCGCTGGCCAAGCGCAAGCAGCTTGTACACGACATGCTGTCACCCCATGCACGCCTATTGCAGTTCTTTGCGAGCCACTTCAACGCCACGCGACTCGGCAGTATCGACACACGGAGGAGTCTTCTACGCATGCTAAACTTGACACTGGTTGCTCTGACCGATGCGGCTCCCCACCCTATGGCGAGAGAGCTACGTTTCCTTGTGATCCTGTTCGGGCTCAGGGTCCTGCGCGCGAGTCCTATGATCGGAACTGAAGCTCAGTGGCGACTCAAAGACAAGATTCTTTTGGCGGGTTTGAGCTGGTTCAAACATTCACCCAAGTGGTCCTTTGGTAGCAACTTGCTTCAGCTGCGGACAGAGGTACGCCTCATCACCGATGTCCTCGCGGCATTGAAGGTGGTGTCGTTCATCGGGGCCAACCATGTGGGTAGTAGCGAGTCTTTGCAACGCAAGGAGCAGCTCTTCCAACTTCTTCTTGAGAATGAGCAGACTCGTCTGTGTGTCTGGATCAGTCCTCTGTCTGCTTCCGCTTTCCACATGCCCCATCACTCACACAAGTCTGCTGCTGAATCAGCTCTGGCTTCTCAGGTCCGCACTGCATGGGGGCTTGACCCGGCTATTGCGATCGAACTAGCCACGCGGTACCATTCGCCTCGCATCCACAAAGAGATCCGGTCTTTGCTTCTGGCGAACCCTGAGCGAGCCGTCGATCTGCCAGAAGCAATACCCCTCATATTTAATGGCGGATTGCCCAGTGATGCTGCGCCAGCGCTAAAGTACATGCTCTATTGGGAACCGGTCAACCCGATCACGGCCGTGTCCATGTTCACGCCGGGGTACAAAGACCATCCATTCTTGGTTCAGTACGCCATGCGTGCCTTGGAATCCCACGATGTCGGTGTGACGTTCTTCTACGTTCCGCAGATTGTGCAGACCCTTCGTTACGATCGCATGGGCTATGCCGAGCGCTACATTCTGGAGACGGCGCAGTTTTCGCAGCTATTCGCTCACCAAATCATTTGGAACATGAAGGCCAACTCCTACAAGGACGACGACGCGCAGGTGCCCGATGAGATCAAAACTGACCTGGACCGCGTCATGGGGAAGATGGTGGACAGTTTCACTCCATCTGACCGAACCTTTTACGAGCGTGAGTTTGCCTTCTTTGACGAAGTGACGGACATTTCTGGCAAGCTCAAGCCGATCCGTGAACGACCCAAGGACGAAAAGAAGCAGAAGATTGAGGAGGAGCTCCGCAAAATCCAGATGGATGTCGGTGTCTATCTGCCCAGTAACCCCGAAGGCGTTGTCATTGGGATCGACCGCAAGTCGGGCAAACCTCTACAGAGCCATGCCAAGTGTCCCTTTATGGCGACCTTCCGCATCAAGAAACCCAAGAACGGAGTGGAGGAGACCAACAACATGCTCGCGGACATCAACGACGCGCCTCAAGAATCAGTAGAGAATGGTCTGCCCGCCGAAACCACCATAGAGGCCTGGCAGTCTGCGATCTTTAAGGTCGGCGACGATTGTCGGCAGGACGTTCTAGCCCTGCAGATGATCTCCGCCTTTAGGGGTATCTTCCACAATGTGGGCTTGGATGTGTGGGTGTTCCCATACCGCGTCACCGCCACTGGCCCTGGCTGTGGTGTCATCGACGTGCTGCCCAACTCCATCTCTCGCGATATGCTCGGCCGCGAGGCCGTCAACAAGTTGTACGACTACTTCGTTTCGAAATACGGTAACGAGGATTCGCTGCGCTTCCAGCAGGCGCGCAACAACTTTGTCAAGTCCATGGCCGCCTACTCAGTCATCTCCTTCCTCCTGCAGTTCAAGGATCGCCACAATGGCAACATTATGATTGACGATGGCGGTCACATCATCCACATTGATTTTGGCTTCTGCTTCGACATTGCCCCCGGAGGCATCAAGTTTGAGCGAGCGCCGTTCAAGCTGACACAAGAAATGCTGGCCGTCATGGGCGGCTCCACGGACCACCAGAGCTTCAAGTGGTTCGAGGAGCTGTGTGTTAAGGCCTTCCTCGCCAGCCGCCAGCACTGCGAGAAGCTCTGTCAAATGGTGTCGCTCATGATAGACAGCGGCCTGCCCTGCTTCAAGCCGGAGAGTCTCAAGAACTTCCGGGACAGGTTTGTCCTGGAGAAGAGCGAGCGCGAGGCGGCGGATTTCATGAGGGATCTCATCAAGAAGAGCGCCTCGAGCTACAGCACGGGTGTGTACGACCAATTTCAGCTTCTTACCAACGGCATCCCCTACTAGATACGGGGGTCGTTGATGACACTTGCAATATCTTGACTTTGTTGATTCATGCATGCAAATTAGACTAGGCGCGCAATAATTGCATATAACATTTGTTCCATTCGCTTTGGTGCTAAATTGCATGGCTATTCAAACGACATTCCCTCCCCGGCTCATGGCAGCTCACGTCACGAAGACGACGACTGCTTGAGCATGTGTGTCGGCGCATTGTAACTTGTATAGTCTACATGCACAAACGCTCTGTCCACAATCGGGACCCCCTCAAGGAAGTACGTCAACACCTCGCTGAGGTCGTGGCTGTCCTTGAGGGGCATGCTCGCGTCCAGCACAATGTCCACCTCGACAAAGAGCTTGTCGCCGGCATGGTACGCGCGCAAGTTCTGGATGCGGCGAATCGCCGTGGCGAAGCGCATAGTGAGGTAGAGCAGCAGGTTGCGCTCGTCGGGCTGGGCGGAGAACCCAGTCAGGTTGCGGACGTGATGGGCTGATGTCTTGGACCACTGAAGGATGACAAACAGAGAGAGAAGGAGACCACCTGTTGCGTCTAGCCACCATATGTGTCCGTAGAATCCAACTTCGACACAGTGTCAGCATATTATCATCTCATTCTTCTACGGTGGCGAACTCACTGATAGGAAAAAGTATAGAGCCAAAGTTGAATACCATGTCAGTTTTGCAGTCTTCGGCTCTACGGGGAGGGAGGAGAGACAGTTAGCTGAGGGGCCAGGAGCTGAATAGGGTGTGTGAGCGACTCACAATGCACGCACGCTGGAATTCTTTACAAGACGACACCAAAGCCACACGGCGCCTTTGATGAGGATGGTGCCGGCCATAATACCAATAGCCGCCGGGCCGAGCTGTAGCACCTTGTGCTCTGGTCCCGCGAGCCGCTGGATGCACTCGAGCAGGACCTGGCAGAAACTGGTGATCATGATGACCGAAAAAACCAAGACGCCCACTGGCTCCAAGCGTCGCCGGCCGACGGGATACGTGAACTGGTCCGACTGGCTGGCGAGGATGAGCCGCGTGGTCAACCAGACAATGGCTGTACTCAGGAAGTCGAGAACGGCGTCGACGAGACTGGCTAGGACAGACATGGAGGGCGTCCATATGACGACGACGAGCTTGGCGGCAAGCAGAATGGCGTTGGCGATGAAGTTGATCCAGATGGCGAGGGTGACAATGGGGCTCTCGCTGTCAAGGTCGGCATCCTCAAGCCACGGGAGATTGGGTTTTGGTCCAGGGGTGGAGGTGGCTGTCCTGGTGGGTGTTACGGGGCCGTGGTCATCCTCGCCATCGTCGGCGTGCATGAGGAGGGGGAGTGACTCGGAGGAGCGGAAGATGTCCTTTGGCGTGCGCTTCTGGAGAGGCGTTGGGTTCACGTTGGATGTAATGGGCATCGTCGTGCCATAGGAGCCGTTGGCCGGTGGAGAACTGGCGATGGGTGGTGATTGTGATGCTGATGTTGATGGCTCATCTTCCAGGATTGTGTCTGGGACGTCGACAGAGCGGTAGGCTGAAGCATGGAGCTCGGCCGAGTACTCGTTGAGCAGCTCATGTGGAATGGTCGAGTCCAGCAGACGGTCAATGTAGAGGTACTGCTGGATAAGATCATTTGTCCTCTCATAGTATTTGCGGCTGTCGTTGGTATCAAACGTTAGCCACCTTCAGGGGTGAGTGATATCTCGAGGGTGTGCTCAGCGCAGTGGAGCAGCACTTGGTCTGACTTACATTGGCTTCGACATGGCAGCTAGCTCTTGGTCGCTTTTCCAGTATCGGTCCCATCGGTATCTGGGATTGCTTTTGCCAATGAGGCTCATGCTTCTCTGCTGCGGGCCATGGAGAATCTGGCTGAGGCGGTGCTCGTCCATGAGCAGCCGCCCAAGGTCCTCCTCATCGTCACGATTCCATCCAGGACGGGGACCGGCTTCCTCATCCTGCTGCGACTTGGGCCTATGCAAATTGTTGAGACTGGTGGCAGAGCGGGAGCGAAGAAGCGAGGCAAGATGGCCGCTGCGTGTCGGCAGTGGCGTCGAGTCCTCCGTCAAAATCAAGAAAGACGGTGTTGATGGCCGCCTTGGCCGAGCAGCAGGCGAGCTCATCCTCGCTAAAGACGTTCCACCTGAGGAGCCGGACGATGGCAAAGAAGGAACAAGACAAGTCACCACATGTTTCTTGTGAGTCGATAGAATGCGCGCGACCGCGCTTGGTCGCTTTTGGCAAAGCTGAGTCGATTGGCCAATGATACAGAGGCAGAGCAGAGATACTCAGGGTCGCAGTCAATTGATAGCGGAGACGATGTCCACGATAGTAGTGTTGAAGCAGCAGGAGTCACGCCTATAAGTCGATCAGAGCTAATAGTCCACACTTCTGTTTGTCGAGCAAGTAGGCGCAACTCTCGAGATGCTACTAACAGCTCTGTTCGAACAGTTGGGCCACTCACTCCCCTGCTGCCGCTATAAGGTTAGTGCACGATTACGTCAAGTCATTGCCGTCCGTCCGCTTAGTCATTGGAAAGAGTATAGCTGGGTTACCCTATACAGTCTGGCTTTCCCGTTTTAGGCCAACAGTTATTTTAAACCGAAAAGCTATTACCAACTCGTTTCTTATTTGACGACGGTGGATGGAAAAAATGAAGTCCATCTGACTTGACTCGTCATTGTGAAATTCATTGTCGTTCTTGCCAGTGGCGTGAAGTAGACATTGCATTGATCTTTATTTACTTGTATTCTGGATAAAGGTGAAACCAGATTCCTACTGGATTGCTCACAATACCGTCGTAATTCAAACCAGAGTGCCAGACATCGAGTTTGTGTATGTGTATTTCGCTGGAATTGTCCCATTGAAGACCGATCGCGATGAACAAGAGCGCCCGCGATTGTACAGCACCGGGTACGGAGCACAGCATAAGAAGCAATAGAACCCGGATCGCCAGGAAGGCTGATGCTTGTCATTGTCGTCGGATACGAGCGTCAGGGGTAGGCACGGCCACACGCCTCGGATGCAGCCACTGGCCCAGTAACAGATGCGTCGCAAGGGTGACTGACGGTACTGCCGGTGGAGCGTGCAGGGGGTTGTATTTTCTTTTCATTAGGATTCCTCTACATCTGATTTGATCTTGTGGAATGGATGCATTGCCTTGATCACAATTATCAGTCCGATAAAATCATCCATCGTATCCATGGTAGCAAGATTTGGAAGGTTATGACCGCACCGAGCGCGGGTTCCGCCTTGTTTGTTGGTCTTCATGCATCCCTGTGTGGCGCGAGGTCCAGCCGATCAAAGCCGCCAGATAACATGAATGGGCTGCCTCAAAATACGTACCTGAGGTATGGATGACGCCAATCCGCCCATGTGTGTGGTGGGTTTCCCTGACGATCAACTTGCTTGTTCCATTGCGCAAGCAGGCTGTCGCGGCATTCCAGCTCTCAGCCTTTGTTGAAGCGCTAAATAGAAAAAATTGGTGACGGAGATGAGGCCATCCCGAAACCGAAATCGCGAGAAAGAAAGTCATGCACAGCACCATCCGAACCCCGGGCGCCGCCGCCCCCACCGAGATCCATCGGATCCAGGGTCGAGACTACTGTGCGATGGTGGATATAAGCTTGGAGCACTCAGTGGGCTGCGCTGAAGAGGTTCTTGTTGTGCTGACGCGAGTGAGTGAGCAAAACAAATGAGAAAAAGGGCAATAGGGTACGTCGACATCTGAGGACAAAAATATCCGTCGATTGTAGGCATATCTGGTGGAAGGGCATTGTGGACGCGTTGCCCTTTGATCATATTGCTCTGAATCTGATCGCTGGCGCCCTGAGCAATTTCGCAGCTCCTCAGTTTGTGTCATAATCCCGGCCGAATGTGGTGATCATTGATCCACATATGGTGCAGCGACTTGCGAGTTTGAGCCTGATAGCTGTCCAAGTCGAACAACAAGACCTACGATACAAACCGTCGACACGCGCAGGATTTGGACGGGCGGTTGGAATGAGATCTGGGCGTGCCAGAGCCACGTTGAAATGCTGGACCGCATGCATCCGTCGTCGAGGAGACCAGCGGAAGCGGATGGTCCTCAAGGTAAGGTACGTTAGAAACACGGTTGCCAGTTTGGTGCTGGCTTTCTCCCGCCCGCCCGCTGAGTAGCCCCAATCCGGCTGTTTGGCGAGACACCGAGCATTGTGATACCCACAGGAGCTCCTAAGCGGTGCTTCCTCCACATCCATCAACGGGACGAGATGTGGTCGTGGACCTTGAGTTTCTGTTTGTGTAGAGGCTTCGCGTCGTGGAAAGCAGTGCATTGCTGCGTCATTGAGCGAATACATCATGTCTGCTAATTAGAACCACTCGTGTTCTAAAAATTATCTTCCCTCTGCCAGCAGTGCTTTAGGTTCATGCAGTGCCCCATGATTACGAGATCAACGTGGGAGCCCGACCCGGCGCAACATGGGCCCAGCCCACTGCCCACAGTCCACATGCTGTATGTCTTGGACTCCTGTCAGTCATGTCCAGTCGCTCAGTCGCTGACTGGAGCACGCGGCTAAGCCCCAGTGGAACGCGCTACTGTGCTAAGGTACTGATGATTGTTACAGCACGGGCAATCACAAGCCAAGAGGACTGGACGGCTTGGCCGACGCTGGGTCAGCATCGACCTGAGCGCCTAATTACAGCACTTGCTTGGCGCCATTGCGCAGATGCAATGACCGGCGGTGCTGAGGGATAGATGGATGGACCATAATTGGAAGAATCATACAGTATTTTCACCCTTGGTTCTGCGCTGCGTTTACCGTCCTGTGCTTGCTGACCTGCGGGAGCGTGCCTTATGCGAGCACAGCGCTAAAGACTGGACCTACTTTAGCTGAACGAGTCCCTGACCACCCGCCCCAGGGACTGGATCCATTCGCCAATACGGTCCCGTGGCTAGGCCCCGTCCCTGCCCGTCCACCAACAAGTCTCCATCTTCCACTTCCCGGCCTGTCCCTTTTCCCTCCTCGCCTCGTAATTACTACCTTACTCACTCACAAATCTCCCCGGTCCTGACCAGTCCGCTCAACTGGACCACGTTTCGCTCGTTATCGACGTTCGCTTCATCGGTTGTTGCTGCCCTGCTGCCCTGCTGCATTGCCTTGCGTTGTCTTGCCTATCCTGCGTCCCCCTCGGCTTGTGTCAGGCTTGTTTGTCACCCCGGCTACATACTCTACAAGTACGAATACGGACCCTCGCCTCAGCCCCCAACCCTCCTCTCCTGATAGACAGCGTCTTTTTTTTCCCTCGACTCAATCGGCTGTTCTTGCTCGACAGAGATCCTACTTCAGCTCGTCAGACTTCCCGCTAGTTGGAAGGAAAGAGAGCAGTATCATAGCTTTGTTGTAGCTTTGGACGGATTTTGCGAGTCGCACGATCCGAGCGACACCAGAAGCATCATCATCATCATTTCCAGCATCTAGCATTTGATCACTTCTGCATTCGCGGCAACAACATATTCCCTATCGATATTCCACCAAGAATCAAGGCCTAACCTAATCTCTCATACTTGCCCCTGGAACTTAATGTGAGTACTTCACCCGCTCCCGGACAACCCTCCAGACGCATTGCACCGCACGCACGCAACCATGACCAACGAAGGTCGGCTGCCATGTCTCAGCGTCACCACCTGCCGAGTGGTGTTGGCTTCCCCTAGCCGCCCCTTCACCTGCTGCTATTCTCACAGCTGGCAGCCCTGGCCATTGAGCTTTGACCGGTTGCCGCTTTCATCCTGGTTCCGTGATCTAACTTGCGAACACTCCACATACTGACTTCCGTCCTCGTGTAGTCAAGCGTGTTTGTGATTGTAAACCCTTTTGCCATCGATTGTACAGCGGCAACATATTCTTTCTTCCTCGTTGAGCCCAGCGCGCAGACGCAGCATCATACTCCGAGAAACAGCAACCCGCGTCGACTCTTCATATTACTACCATCTATATGCCTAGCAGGTTTTCAGCCGCCTTTCGGCGCAAATCCGCGACAAACTCCGAGGACCTCCAGCTTCATTCCTCTACTGCCGAACCGTCATTTCGCGTCCTGGAGCGTGGCCAACCCCAAGAGGGGCGCACCTTTGATGGCGGCGTCAGGATGGCGAGAGCATCGGCTCACATGGCACACAAGGTCACCAACTCAGAGTCTGAGGTGGAAGACAACATGTTTGCAGGGCTGAACGCCTACAGGTACGTGAAAAACACTCTAGGAGCTTCCTGTAACCCCACTGACCTAACAAGAGGCAGCGGTGGCTCAAACACCACCAAAGCTACATCCACTGACACTTCCTCCCGGCACAGCAACGCATCGACCGCGCCCTCATCAGCCGACGTAGCCCACCCGAATGACGATCCACGACCAGCGAAACGAGCAATCACCTCGTACGAGCCGACGCCGCCAAGTCGCTCGTCGCAGAAGACTGCCAGTAGTTTCCTGGATCGGGCAGGAAGGACCTTTTCGTTCGGCATGCAAAAGAAGAGCCAGGCTCCGCCAGTCAAGGACGACGTACCTGATGTGCCGCCTCTGCCTACGTTGCAACGCGAGGACGAGTACGGGCGGACACGGGCCATGACAGCGTCGACGACCAGCACAGCGACCACAGCGACGCCACCTCGACTTGACGGCAGCAGTGGGCTGGACATGGGGGGAGATTTCGGGTCAATGTTCTCGACATTCGATAAACGAGCGAGTCAGGCCACGTTGCGAAACGATTTACAACGACAGGCGCAACCGGCGCCCTTGAAGCTCGACAAGACGAATCCCATCGACATTGACCCTGCGCCCCGATCGTGGAATAGCAACAAGTCCAGTGATGAACTCATGAACTCGCCAAAGCTTTCACCCCCTCTCGTGCCGCGGCATCAGCCATCTTTCGAATATCGTACGTCGACAAGCCCGACCGGGGTTGTTGACGACGAAGACGCGAGGCTGCTGGCCGACTCGGTAGCTGCTACAAAGTTCCTGACACAGCCAACTGCCCAGGGTCGCGGAGGTCGACGCGCGGAGGTTGACGACCGAGTTGCAATCAATCTGCGAGAACCAGCCACTGCAGACGAAGGCGAGGACAATTTGTTTGCAGGGACAACGACTCGCTTCTCCAAACCCGCGCAGAGACCGACGAGGCCCGCAAGTCCACCTCGCGGAAGCAAAGTCATGACCGCGGCCGAATTCGAGCGCTATGAGAAGGAGAAGAATCGCCAGCATATGGAACGCTCCGTGTACGGTCGATCTGCCGAAGACGAAGATGACGAGGACGACATCAACTACGATGACGAGGAGGACGCGGAAGAGAAGGCCAAGGAAGCAGCCAAGCGCAGCCGCAACAAGCAAGCGCAGATGCAAGCCTACCGGCAGAAGAACCTGAAGACGACGGGCGGTGGCACCGGAAGCATCTCCCCCCTCTCTTCCAGTCGGCCAACCTTCGCAGCATCCTTGAGTACACCACATCTAGGCGTTGCCAAAACGCCATCCCCGGAGCTTGCGCGCCCAGCCGAAGACGATGAGGATGATGAGGTGCCCCTTGCTATTCTCCAGGCCCACGGCTTTCCCCATAAGAACCTCAGCGCGAGCCGACTGAGCACAGCTGGCTCGAATCCTAACCTGCGTGTCACATCTCAAGCTCATGATAGTCGACCCCAATCTATGGCGGGCGAGACGTCGGCTTTCAACGCCAAGCGATCGTCGACCCTGCCGGCATTCGCCCGAGGTCTGCCGCAGGATCCTTTTGCAGGACCTGGCGCTGCCCGACCAGCCGTGAGGGAGTCTCTTTCCTTCGGAGGCGGCAGCCCCAACCTGGATCGACTCACTCCTCAAGTACCGCAGCATCAATCTGGGCACCCCGGTGGTCTCGTTGGTGTCATTGCAAGTGAGGAGCGCGCCCGCGCCATGCGACGTGGAAGTCCCAACGTGGAGAGCCAGCGGTTAGGTGGTGGCGGCGCAGGCGGTCAGAACCTGGATCCCATGGCTGGCATCCCGTCTCACATGATGTACGGGGCTGGCCAGCAGAATGTGGCTCAGAACAGACTGTCTCAGCAGCCCCTGACGGCTGCAGACCAAGCTCAGGTGCACATGTCACAGCAAATGAGTCAGTTCATGCAGATGCAGATGCAGTTTATGCAGATGATGGCGAATAACCAGCCGGGTGGTCAGATGCCGCAAATGCCCATGCCCTACGGCATGCCCCATATTCCCCAGATGCAACAACACCAGCAGCCACCATATGGCATGCACGCAGCAACGCAGTCGGTTGCAGATTTCCCCTCGGGGCAGTCCACGTATGGCCAGCAGCCGATGCCACGGCGACGAGACGCAGGCTCACGCACGATGAGCATGGTTCAGCCGAACACTGGACCTCAAACGTTGCATGGGGGGATGGGAAGCCCTGCTTTTGGCTACACTCCTTCCATTGCACCATCCGAGCGCAGCAATGTCGGTCTTCCTGGCCGATACAGGCCAGTGTCTCAGGTGCCACAGCTGGACGTGCCTATCCACCACCGGGCCTCGTCGATTTCCGGTGCCTTGTCGATGACTCCCACAGAGGACAGCAAGAGCCGGTCAACGTCCACAATCAAGCTGATCAGCAAGACGAAGAACAACGCCGGGTCGGATGACGATGACGAGGAGGGCTGGGAGAGCATGCGAGCCAAGCGTGACCAGAAGAAGTCTCGATGGAGGTTGAGGAAGGGGAACGACCACTAGATTGATTGAAGAATGAAAGAAGGAGACGGATGATACGACGAGACGGGAAACTTGTTTTGAGTACGGCGGTGTGAATCGGCGCTTTTGTCTATGGGTGCCAATGAACTTGGGTATACACTGCTAATTGGGTGACTGAGGGAGCATTTGTTTGGATAATATCATCATCGTCATCACCATGACAGAGCACATTCTCCGAAATAGACAACTTTGCGGTTGTAATGGAAAAATGGTACACATCATGCTGGATCTACGCAACAACATTACCGCCCCTGGCCCCAGGTGAATGTTAACTTTTTCTTTCTTATTCAACAATTCGCTGTCTCGCAATGGACGCCTTCATCGTCTAGCCCTCAATCTTGCCCGATGCCCACTCTTGCCTCTTGACACCCATCTCCACGGCCGCCGAGCCCCAATCTTCGCCGTGGTTGTGTCCCTTGCCGTCAATGCCGGCGCGGGCCTTGGCCTGGTCCTCGTTGAGGACAGTCAGGATTCCCAGGATGACGGGGATGCCCGTGTCGAGCTGGGCGCGCATCAGGCCGTGCACGGCGGCATCGGCAATGTACTCAAAGTGCATGGTCTCGCCCTTGATGAGGACGCCGACCGCAATGACGGCGTCAAAGGGACCCGAGGCGGTGGAGGTCACCGAGAGGTCGGCTGTCGACGAGGCGAGCAGGTCGGTCGCCGAGGGCGCGCCGGTGGCATTGGACTGGATGGTCGAGGCGGAGACGAGGCTAGACTGATGTTAGCTTTCTTTCTCCGGACCATGTACGTTGTCCCCCGTAAAGCGCCATCGGCGCAAAGGAAGGTGGCACTAACCGCTGAACGGCAATGGGTAGCTCCCAGGACCCGGGGCAGGATTGCGTGACAATATTCTCCTCCTTGACGCCCGCCTCGAGGAGCTTCTTGCGCGCGCCGGCGACGAGGGGCTCGATGACGGTGGCGTTCCAGCGGGCGTGGACGATGGCGACGCGCAGGCCGGAGCCGTCGTTGTGCTGGGGATTGGGGCCCTTGAGGGACATGATGCGTTGCTTGGCGATTTTGAGGTTCTTTGCTGGGGATGGTGGAATGATGTGCTTCGTAAGTCTCGCGAGGGACGCAGCTCGCTGGCAGTGCGCGATCGGTGGTGGGGTGTTGCCTGGACGGATCTGTCCGAGTCTGGTGACAAGCGGGGTAAACCGATTAGTGTAGTGCAGGGTAGCACATTTGATGCAGGGTTTTCTGGGAAAGAGCACTTCTGGGCCCTGAGGCGGGCCCTCGATGTTGCTGTTTTGAGAATTGGAGGTTCTTGCATCAGAAAAGAGACGATAGGGACGCTCTTTCCTCAGAGTAGAAAAATCATTCATTGCTGCCTAGTGCCACTGTGCTAAAATTTCCAGCTACCATGGCAACCTTACTCTCACGTCCCCCTCGGGCTTTCTCCTGTCATCAGCTTCATCTGTTCCGGATTGAAGACATTTGAGCGAAGTCGATCACACGTATCCATCTATCCACCCATGCTCTGAATTCTGCACACGAATATGACTATAGCGAAGCTGAATTTCGATACCGTGCGCTTACTCGGCTCCTCTGTCACGATCTCCGACCCCCCATCTCTTGTGAAGGAGCTTCTCGATAACGCGATTGATGCCGGCGCAACGACTATAGAGGTGCTGATCTCGCCCAACACCGCCGACAGGATCCATGTGCGGGACAATGGCGCGGGTATACCGGCTGAGGACCTCGCCTCGCTGGGCAAGAGAGCGCACACGAGCAAGCTACGTTGCTTCGAAGACCTGGTGGGAACGCGGACGTTGGGATTCCGTGGAGAGGCACTCGCAAGTGCCAATGCCGTGTCGAAAGGAGGCTTGAAGATCACGACAAAGACCAGTGCGGATAGCGTCGCTACGAAAGTGACGCTCAACTCGCGAGGGGGCGGCGTGGCAGAACAGAAGCCAGTCCCGGCGCCGCAAGGGACCACGGTACTTGTGGAGGGATTATTCGACAACATTGCAGTTCGAAAGCAGCAGGCCATCAGAGAGAGCCGAAAGGCCTTGGCAAGAACAAGGGACCTGTTGCTGTCTTATGCCCTGGCTAGACCTCATGTGAAGATGAACCTCAAGGTCCCAGGAGAACCGAAGCAACAATGGTCGTATTCGCCTGGACCAAAACCCACGGCAAAGCACGCCGTCATGCAGCTTCTGAGCAAAGAAGCGAGCGCGCAGTGTGCTGTTGTCCAGAAGAAGTGGGTTCTTGAAACAGCTGGCTCTACGAAACCGGATGAGCAACCTACCATCTCTGTCGACGCAGTACTCCCAAGTACAGGTTGTGACGAGGCGGCGATCAGAGGAAAAGGCGCATTCATGTGTATTGACTCACGTCCCATGACTTCTGTACGAGGCACCGGTCGCAAAATTAACAGTCTCTTCAAGAGTCATTTCAACAAAGCCATGGGGAGGAGCGTCGCAGCCCCCTTTATGCAGCTTAGTATCCAATGCGCTGTTGGGGCTTACGACCCTAATATTGCCCCCTTGAAGGACGAGGTTCTGTTCACGAACGAGCAGAAAATTCTGGACTGCCTAGAAGAGCTCTTTTCCAGCTTTTACAGAGCGTCTCCTTTAGTACCCGCACAGGAAAGCACAACTAAGGCCGACGTTTGCGTACCATCCGCTTTTCAAGTCACAGGTACAAGCGAAAACTCGGAGAGTCAACAGGACCGGTGTGAGCATTTTGACGTGGAATTCAATAATTTGTTTGGCACTGATCCGCTGGTCGATCCTGACAGCGAGGCCGAGCTTCTGCGCCTGCTGGATATTGAACCAGCAGCGAGCCTAACGGAAACGCCACAGAGCAGAGGATCGCTCATTAGTACGTCGGATCAGCCAGCAGAAAGTTGTAAAACAAGCCAAGATGACCTCTCGATAATCGCAGAAGCCTTGATTAAAGACGAAGATGCAACAGCAAATGCTAGTGACGCTGCGGAATCGATTGAGGCGGACATGCGAGTGGATCCCAAGGTCAACATGGCCCGAAACATCAGCGATGCGACGGACGAGGAATGCCTGGTCGACGTGCAGTCCGTCCGAGTGCCAGCAATTCCTGTTCAGGGTAACGCGTGTAAAATGAGCACCGAAAAGGCCAAAAAGCAATCAAGAATAGCGGGCCAGACTGAAGGTATCCATCGATACTTCAAGTCGGACAGCCAACCGAGCTTTCACATTGCAACTAATGATACGGCAACGGAAGGTCAAGAACTACATTCTGGTGTGGGTTCTGTCCAGACTCAGAGTGATCATCAAAATCGTCATGCTCTTCAGCCACTGCAATCTACGCGGTCCAACGAGGCTCCCGAGGAAAGCGATGAGGCCATGAGCCTGGACGTGGACTTGGATATCCTGTTACAGCCTTCTGCACCGCCGGGCGATCTACAGCTTCCACTCAACAGAACAATGACCGCGGGCGCAGCCACTCGCGGTGCTACAAGAAACCGCGGCGCTGCAAGAAACTCAGAGGCCAGCTTTTTCCTTCCAACACCATGGACACCTCGCCCCCGACGGGAGCGCCCGAATCGACGCGAGATATCCGCATCCATGAGCCCGGCACTTTCTCTCTCTGAATCGCCTCCAATGCAGACACCGCCAGCAACCGAGTACAGACCTCATGCTGCCGCGGCATACAGTCCAGCTTATAGAGCGCCAAGTCTGGCCCTTGATGGCTCTAGGGCTCGCAATGAGCGAAGTGTCAGCTCCGATCTGTTCGTGAGGTCCGTTTCACCTCCACCAAGAGTTAGGGTTTCGGTGCCAGCAAGACGTGGCGAGTTCGTGCGTCCGCGCCCCAGCGAAGATAAGGTTTTCGGCGGCCAAAGGTTCTCAGGATCCTCCCACACAGATAAATTTGGCAGCGTCCGCTCTTTTCAACCTGCCAGCGGCTAGCATCCGTTTGGCCCGGTTCATCCGCCGACTGCAAGCAAACAGAAAAACCTATCGACATCACGGACTCTTGGTGCAGCCATGGCGACATCGGGTGAGGACAAACACGCCGCGGGAGGTGCATGGTCTCACAATGCGCAAAACCTGCTGATGAGAACAACCGGTCCAGAACGTGAAGTAGAGCCCCAGCGCGGTTTGACTGACGAAATGGACATCGAACGCGAACCTCTCCAACAAGGTCACAAGAGATATTGTGATGCGCCATCCGATGTCGACGAGCACGGCCTCGGGCAGAAGAGACAGCGGACCAAGGAGCCCCTCAAAACCACCTATAATGCGCAAGACCATGGGAGTCATCAGCAAGTATACTTTGAGACGGATACAAATCCAGCCACGGCGCTCGTTCCCGTTCTGAGGAGAAGGGACACACCTCGTAGCGAGAGACCGGAATCACTGCGCGACGCATACCAACGCCAACGATTGGGGAACGCATCACACCATCAGGAGGCGCCTTCTCTAGACCTTCCCACCACAGCTCGCGTGGAGCGAAACATGGCATCTGGTCTAGGAGAGATGCAGCCGCTGACAGAGCGGCGTGCTTCTGAGCCGCTGCCGCTTGAGTTTTTGTGCGCAGACTTGGGGACGTGGCGCCTAGAGACAACAGTCAGGCAAGAAGCAGAAACAATCATGCGAGACATGGCTGCTTTACTGAATGGCCAGGAAACACCGAATGAGTTCTTAAGAGCGCGCCACTTGGAATGGACGGACGACCTGGAGCATAATGTTCGATTATATGAGATTATTCAAATGCTCCTGGATGAGTCTCCGGTCGACTGACGACATGGAGGCCGATGCATCTTTTGAGAAGCCACGGAGCATACTGCAAGCGAAGAAACCGACAGGGTTTCTTATGGGAAGTTAGGCTGTACGTACTTGTTTTTCGTCGTGCTTGCGGTGTTTGGTGTTTGGGATGATCTTAAATGGGAATGATCTGGCGCGCATAGCTGGGGAGTATGGGAACAAACTGCACTCGGAATGTTTCTATCAACTACTCCGTAATACTAATGCTACTCTTTATTGCGCAACACATCAGCCAAAGACTGGAGCGTAACGATGTGAATCGGACATTGATGATGATGGACGTTCTGGACCAATAGTGGGTCAAAGAAGACGCTGCAGTCCCCAGACATGCCGTGGATCTGCAACCGAAAATAGCAGCATCAGGTGGGGCTGATCTAGGAGCTACGTCGCGAGCCCCAGGGTAATCAATCAGGGAGTTCGCGTTAACGTTAGGTTTGTTCGTGTTCACGAAGATTTGGGGCGGCTGTGGCTATTAAAGGAAATTTGCTTCCACCATGTCTTGTTTGACACGTCGTCGTTCTGGCGCAGAATTTGCGCTGATGCTTCTCATTTCAATAAGCCTGAGGGATCAGCGACGGAACATGTGAAAATACTTGGCCAGGGTTCTAACATACTTTCTGGGCATGGTGTACATAGTGTGGCTGTGTGCGACGTGTAGCATAGTATGGTGAGTCGTGACGAGGGCTACGGTCGGTGCGCCACGCCAAGCAACTTAAGGGCATGGCATGAAGGGATCGTGAGTATCCTCGTTGACTAAGCTACGAGTATCATCAACGTCAATACGTATACGTGTACGTAGATTGGATCTGACCCGTTTAGCTTCAGTTTGTACGATTGTGGATCGTGAGGAGCCCCTGACAGTAACCGCAGTTCATCTTGTGCCTCCAGTCGCCGTCGTGGCACCAGAGAGAAGAAGCGCGACCCAGACCCATTATCCCCTTTCGACAGTGCCTTCTTGGTGCTTGAATGAGATGCGTAGATCCGAGATACTGTATCAACGGTGGGAGTCAGGGCTAAAGCTGTAGCTGTAGCTGGAGCTGCCTGCACCTGAAGCTAAATTGGAGCTGGAACTGTGTCGAGTCATTGTTCGGGCGTAAATTAAACGGTAATGCTATGGCAACTGGCGGTAGATGCACAACCCTTTGTGTACGGCATGCGTGACACAGTTTGGGTGCTCATCAACATGATGGATTGATGTCCAAGACGGCATTGTGTCTTTGCTGGTGAGGCGCAGTACGGAATAAGCGTGATAGCAAGCCCAAGTGGGCACCCAGCTGCATCTGGACTGATGAGATCGGGTGGGACTGGCTGGACCTACCTGCCTGGCCTTCCCAGTAATCGTAATCCAGGTCATGTCATCCTGATTTCCAGTCCCATTTTCTTTTCCCTTGGCCCTTGGACTGCCGCGCTCACCTTACCACCTTCACTTTATTCTGCTCCCACGCCTAATATCTCTTTCTTTGTGAGAACCCTTCCGCGTTGCCAGTATCTGGTCGCCAGTCACTCGCTCTCTTGTTTTGCCGCTACTTCGAATTGACAAACGCGCACCCCCAAACAACGATCCCTTCCCTGTTCCCCAACCTTGGAAACCCGCCACTCCTCGTATTCGATTCGATCCCTTGTTTTTCTGTGAACGAGACGCGCGACGACCGCCAGTGCCAGATCGCAACCCATGATGCACGTCTGCCCATCGCACCTAGATGCCTGAGGCCTTTCGCCCCCCTCCTTTTGTGCCTGTGCGAGTTCGCGCCAACACGCTGCTTGGGAGACCGCATATCCGTGATGGCGACTGTTCCGCTTGCTGCTGAGCCCTGTTGCCTCCACTGCCAGCGTTGCCAAGGTCGACCCAATGTCGTCGCCCCCTCGACCATGACCGAATCGCAAGCACAGCTTCGCAGAACGAATGATGGCCCATCGTCGATGACTCCCTCGCGTCTAGAATCCGGGCATCGACAGAGCGACTCGTCGCAGCGAAAACAACAATCGTGGGCAATACCTCGACCTTCAACATTGATATTTTCTATAATACTGGCCTTTTCTGCTATCACACCTATTAAAGCGGTTCGAATACCATTTCAGAACTGCTTGCCCGACTCATATCGACTTAATGATCCAACACCTTTGCAATGGAACCCTTTATACGCTGATGCCGTATTCGACACCCAGGATGACAGCCATAATCTCCGGGTAGTTGTCTGGGGCAACGTCTCTGGATCACGTACCAATCGTGAACTGCCACCACCCGACAGTCCACATTGGCGAGACCCTGAGCAGACCGACGGCAAGATCATCCAGAATCCCGAACCGGACTCGGCCAATCCCAAGGCGACGACACTATATTCGCGTGTAAATGTCCTCACGTTCGAGCCATGGAGCCATGTGTCGGACTTTTGCAATGACGGATTGACGAATCTACAGTGTCCCCTCGGGCCTGTTTTCAACACGAGCAACATGTACGTATCTGCTGGTCAGGAACCTATCATGTCTTGTTGCACGGTGCTAACATGAATCCAGCGATCTGGAAGATCTCCCAGCTGTCAACCTCAGCCACGACTTTTTCGATTCCTACGCCTTTTCCACATTCTCGACCACGGTTCTGATCATTAACGGTGATTCAGAGGCTACTAACATTGGATGCATCTCCACCAACATTACGCCTGACATGGGAGGCTATGCGCAACTACTTCGATTCCTACCGCTGCTCATCCTGCTGTTGACCGGCTTTGCCGTCATTTTCGCCGCGATATGGAGCCCTTGGGGCAGCACGGATGTGTTCCATTGGACGTCGAATTATGGCCGAGACGCTGATCTCCTGCGCCTAGTTACACCTGGTTTCGGCGACTGTCTTCAGTACATCCAGTTCATTGTGCTGACCGGAGGCCTGAGCCTGAACTACCCGGGCTTTTACCAGCCGATTGTCAGCCAGGCTTCCTGGTCATCTCTCATCTTCAACCAGAGCTTTGTGACCAACAGCGAGCCCTGGCAAAGCGTCGTGGACGGGATCTATGTGAAGAACGGGACGTATGGCCTCGAAGAGATTGGGCAGTTGGTTGGAATTGCGAGACCCGAGGATGTCTGGGCCGGTATGATGGTATGGCTCCTCGTCATCATCGCTGCCGTCTCGGTCTTTGCGCAAATCGGCTTTTTGTTCCAGTGGGTGCTCAGGACCCTCTCAGGCACACCAGAGGAGGACCTGCGGTCGAAGAACGTGCCCTTCTCCGTCGGCAACGTCATTCGCATAGTCTACAACTACTTCTTGCTCCCCATCATTTCAATTTCGGCCTTCCAGCTCGTCATTGCCGACCGCTCACCAGCCTACACCATTGGGCTGGCCGTTGTCACAATCGTCTTTCTCATTGTGCCCGCGGCCTGGACGCTTCGACTGATCATCAAGACGCGACCCAAGTCTGTTCTCTTCGACGATCTACCCAATGTGCTACGTTACGGCCCACTGTACAACACATACTCGGACCACTCTGCTGCTTTTGCTCTCATCCCAGTTCTGCTGACGTTCATTCGAGGCATTGCAATTGGTGCTGTGCAAGACAGCGGTATTGCACAGGTCATCCTGCTGGCGATCTGTGAGGTCATCCAGGTCCTCACGATCCACGCCTTCCGGCCCTTCAATCCACCGACATCGATGAATGCGTATCATACAGTGTTCTCGACCATGCGATTTTTCACCGTCATGCTCATGGTCGCCTTTGCGCCCAATCTAGGCGTCACCGATGGTCCGAAGGGGTGGATCGGATATGTAATCCTCCTGCTTCATGCGGTGGTACTGGTCTTGGGCTTTTTCATCAACGCACTGCAGACAATCGTCGAGGTTGTCGCATTGATGCTCGGTGCAGGGGGCGACGACGACCGTGGCCTTACAAGAGGGGGTCTGTCCAAAATCTTTGGTATGCGCCAGCTCGCTCGTCGCGGGACGCCAAGGAACGGCCCGTCACGCGCAAGTCAACTGTCGACTTCGGCCATGTTGGACGTGGAGGATGGTACCAAGACGGGTTACTCAATGCCCAGCGGGCGTGTGCGAAGCTCCTCTGGTGCCAGTCTCGGTGGCATGCTGGGCCCTCCACGCCATCGAGACAGTTCAGTGATGGACAGCGTCGACATGTACCCAGCAGGGCACGGTCGTACGCACCGACATGTGGACAGCGGCAGCTCAGTGGCGTTGGATACGCCCGGGGGCACAACGTCGATATTCTCTTTCCTCACCTCGCCGACTGCGGCTCGATCACAGAACCCCGGCTTACATATAGAGGCGGCCGATCCTTATTATCGACCGCCCCGCAGGCGGCAGGGTACGCTCAGCACCGAGCTTGAAAACCCAACGGCTGCATCTGATGCGGCAGCCGGCGACACAGCGCGGACGATGGCGCCTCCCGGTGCATCAGGCGAAGACGCAGAGTCAGCGGCCGCTGCAGGGGCCGGCGGTGGCGCTGGAACAGGTCTTGGTATTGGAGCTGATATTTCACGCAATCCGACGCCGGCACCAGGCGCTGCTAACCCGGCAAACGCCCTTCCCAACCGACCAGACTACTCGACACGCGAGGTTGACTTTTACTATGGCGTACGTGGGCCCGCGCTCAACTCTGATGGACCTGGTCGTAAACTCGGCACCGGCCCCGCCGACCCAACTGGTCCGGTGGCCACGGCTACTGGCTGGTTCAGGGGGCTCCTGGGTGGTAAGACAAAGGAGAAGGGCAAGGGCTTCGAAGTGGTACGAAGTGCCCGTATGCGACCCGACATGATGGCACGAAATGGGGCCTTTGGCGATGAGACACCGCCAGAAGGTATTCCTGTGGCGATGGGCGTCCTGCGGAACGGACCCATCGACTCGGACGATGATGAGCCCCGGCCTAAAGCATCACCCCAGCGCTCCCCGATGCGCAAACCTGGCGACCTGCTCACAGAAACCGGAGAGCCAAGGGGTCCGGATGACGACGAACCTGACAGCCCTGTGATGGAGCGTCTCCCACGTGGATCCATACCGCCAGAGCCTCGGGCAGAAACCGAAGGGCGCTCCGATAGTCCGGGCCCTGAAATTCCCCGCAAGAGCTCGAAACGCAACTCTGCGCTAGTGGACTCCTCTCGATCTGCCACAACTGCTGCCTCGCGCCCGCGGTTCCCGGAGCGACCGACCCAGTTGCAAGGGCCGCCACTTCTCGCACGACTGCCGTTTGAACGAACAGCATCGCAGAGACGGCTGTCGTCCCACGCCTCGTCCGACTTCAACGTTGACCTCTCGCGCCATCCGAGCTCGCGTCGCACAGGGGAGCGGCCAGCTAGTTTTGGCATGGTGTCGCAGCACAACATCAACCGCGTGGACCCTGAGTTCAAGGACGCGGACTTGATCGGCACATCGGCCGAGGTGGTCAATGAGCGGTCCAGTTCCAGGCAGACATGATCCTGTTCATGGACTGCACCTTCATTTTATGGCGCAGAACTGGGGCTTTCTGTCATGGAATAGTACTCGAAGCCTTGGTATCATCGGGGCATGCATATTTGGGACATATTTGAGATTCACATCACCATCTCTGCGATCAGACTTTCGATTTTCATTGCATGGGTTGTTATTTTGTACACACTCACTCGCCATTAGCGACGGCGTAACGCCAAAAATGCCTGGGTCGACAACGGGGAAGGGAACTGACTGGCTTGGGGAATCTTGGGGACAGCAAAGCAAATAGATAATCAGGATATATCGTGGGTAACGAGGGCCAACGTCCTCGTCTTATGAACAATATGAAACACATACACTCATTGAATCAAAGACGGAGAGCATCGCGGCGTGAATAGTGTTGTGTGTTCTAGTTGATCTTTGTCTAATGCGTGTTTTTTCATTTGACGGAGATGAAGCCTATCCCTGACCTGGCCTTTCTCGCCGCCTTTTTGAGCGCCTGCTCCTCGACATCTGTCCACTTCACACTCAGCTCATCCCACTTTTTGCCGGGGGTATTATACTCCTTCTTCCACTGTGCCTGCATCTGCTGCAGCCTGGCCATCTCTCTCGGATCCCCTGAGCCGCTGAACACGATGAAGGCCGTGCACGGCGGCAGAGCCGCGTGTATGCGGGCCAAGCGATCAGACACGTCGCGTAGACTTTGCTCCAGTGTCGCTGCGTCCGTCTCCGCGCTGACGGGCGGTCCTCCCGTGGTAGAGGCGGCGCCGACACGGTTGCGATTCCACCAGCCCTGCTGCGCCTCGAGGGACCGCATGCGCGCCCAGACAAAGTCCACGCCCCCGCCGCGAATCTCCTTACCGTCCGCGTCACCGTGAACAGCGCGGATGACGCCCTGCGTGACCTCCTCGTCGTCCTTGCATCCGAGCTGGTATGTCGCGCCGTTGCCCGCGCCGCGCTTCGGGTCGCCCCAGTCGACGGCCGCGCTGGTCTTGCCCACCTCGAGACCGCCGACGGCTTCCTGGCCGCCCTGGGCTTTGTAGGTCGTCCCGGCGCGCGCGAGGCGGCGGAAGAGGTTCTCGCCCTGGGCGTCGCTGGTGCCCCATTGCGGCCCCTTTTCGCATTTCTGCTTGGTGAGGTCGAGGCAGGTCTTGGCGTCCTCGATGGAGTTGTGGCCTGCCGCGCCGCCTTTTTGGATCTCGCGCGAGAGGTACTTTTGCGCGAGCCACTTGAGAGAGGACTTGAGTGGAGGCCCGCGAGGGTGGGGGTAGAGAATGGATGTGTCGACGATGAAGGGGTGGGCGAGCTGCATGGCCTTTGTGTCGGATTCGAGCGAGTGGCCGATGAGGATGGTTCTCGGGTGCAGGATCTCGAGTAGCTTCTGCTGGATGTCTCTGATGGTGGTCGTGACGGGCCGGAGCATCTCCTCAGTGATGCCTGAGAACTGCGTCACGTAGTCGATGATGGGCTTGTCGGGTTTGACGAGCTCGTCCATTACCACGTCACCGGCCCAGTCGACGAGACTGATGCGGGTCAGGGAGAACTCCTTCTCGCCGGTCATGCACATCTCGCAGTCCAGGGCGAGCACATCCCGTCCGGCGGTGATGCTGCCTTGCTGAATCTCCTTGTCGGGGACCTCGCCCTCGGAGATATCATTGACCTTGGTGATGACCCACCCCTCCGGCGCGGCAAACGTGTCGCGTGCCTCGCCCTCGGGTAGTAATGCTGGATGGACTAGGTATCCATTTTCCGTGAGCTGCTCGGCCGTCGCGATGAAGGACGTGATGGGTGTCCTCTCATTCTTCCAGCCATTGGGCTCTCGCGCAGGCTTGACGCCGCCTGCCTTCTTGGGCCCGTCCTTGGGTGTGGGCGCCGTGAGGAATGCGGCCATTGGCGAATGCATCTTGCCATTCTTGTCATCGCCAGGGGTCTTGACCGGCCACAGATGCGGGAAGATGTCTGCAAATGGCTGGAGCGCCTCTGGCAGTCTCTCCTTGGAGAGCTTCCTGGGATAGTAATCGTCCGGCGATGTCATGATCTTCTCCTCCTCCTCCTCCTCCTCCTCCCGGTCCTCAGTCTTGTCGTTGTACGTGTCAAAATCCACGCTCGCCTTGAACATGGCCTCCTCCAGGCCAGGCACCATGATGGTGACAATCTTGCGGAACTCGGGTCGATGCGAGACAGCCACCCACTGCGGCGCGGGCCCGTCGGCGTAAATGTACGTCACCAGGTCGCGCAGGTTGTTCACCGAGATCTTGGCGTTGAGGCGCGCATTCGGCGAGAAGGTGATGCTCGGATAGGAGCCTTTGCCTTGCTTGGGTATTTTCTTGGCCTTCTTGGTGGGTCGCGAGACAGTCTGCCATTCACCACCACCGTCGGAGACGTCGTCTGGTTTCGAGCGCTTGAGGGAGCCGTCGCTGGACGCTGCGTCGAGGGCCGACGGCGTCTCTGCAAGCATCGCTTCTGCGGGTGGTAGTGTCATGGTGTCGCCGTCGTCGGGGGAGGGAATGTCGCGGGAGGAAGGGATGTTCTGTGTGCACTTGGGGCGTTTGCGCAGGCCTCGTCCCATGCTAGGTGAGAGAACAGAGGTCCAGGAGCAATTGCGCAAACGAAGGGAGTGGACGACCGCGCCGAGTTCACTTGTGGGTTGGTGGCCGCTGTAAGGACGTGGTGTCGCTCGCAGTCTCTTCAAATCGACACAAGGTCGGAAAAGATACGTACCTTATCTTATCTTATCGCAACTGCCAGGGTCGGTTGTCAGATCTACAGGTCTAGCCTATTCGGGCAGTAGCGTGAAGCAGCTGCGTAGTGGAGCATTCCAACGCGACTTTATGCGCGTCCAAGGCTTCAAGTTCTCATCCATCTCAACCTTGGCCGTGGGTCTGCCCTTTGTATTTCTTCAATTTCAATTCAAACTTCTTGCTATAGAATAAGGCATTTTCTATTTCATACAGTGTCGTACATCGGCGATCTGCCTCCTTGGACTTCTTCCATGGATCTCGTCACGGTACGGTGTGCCAAATGCGATGCGAAGCTTGGAACAGTTTCCAACCAGTGGACAAGGGTTGGGAATTACTACATCACACCACGCGATGAGGAGGAGAGCGCTGGAATCCGCAGTCGGCTCTCATTCAACAAATCAAAGCAGTCCCGAGCGGGAGGAACGAACTCGATCGCAAAGGGCTGGTAGTGGACTCTCTGGGACTACAACAGGAATCTTCCGCTGACCAGTACAAGTGAAATACAATTGATGTGTTGTGCGACCTGTCAGTCTGGCTCTCATTTGATCAACACCAATGCGCCTCCAGGTCATGAATTCTACGTGTAGGTGCACACTCCATACTGAAATCACCCTAACACCATCAGTGGCCAGGTCTTCTTACGACCTCAGGAGGTGGTATTCAAGTCGGCTGCCGACGAACGTCGGGTACTTAAACCAGAAATAGTACGGGTATTGCCCATCCAAAAGCAAAAAAGAGAGTCCGACTCGGACATTGACTCTTCAGACGACCTGGACTCATCCGCCAGCGATCAATTCCGCCCCAGCTTCCACAGTCATGCGCCGAAAAACGTCTCCAGTGTGGACATCTTCCAGCTACAAGACGATGTGGCGGAACAGGAGGAGGCCATCTGCCACATAAACAAAGTGGGCGAGCAGTTTGTGTCCAGGTTCAACGAACAGCTCCTCGAGGCCCAGGCAGGCATGCGTCAAATGCGCGCCAATATTGGTCTCTTGCAAGAGGACGCCGCCCACCGCGCGAAAGAACTGGCCTCATGGAAGACTTCTATACAAAGAAGCGAAACCAATCAGCAAGACCTCCAGGACCAGCTGTCTTCTGCTCGACAAGATATTGTTGCATTGCGAGCGCAGAACGAGGCAATGAAACGGCAGATGGCAGGCGTACGAACCATGGCAGTGGACGGCCTCGAGAAGAGCGACGCACATGCAGCAGAGATAGGCGCCCTGAGACAAGAGGTCAAATTGCTTCGATCTGAGCTGGCAGCCAGTCGCATGCCCCAACAAATCGTACAGCCGGCGTCTGACGGAAGCTCTTTGCACGAAATGAGCGTAGCGAGCGATGTGGTTGTTGAGGACGCGCCCCCGAGCCATAAACGCAAGGCAACGCATCTCGAAGACGATGAAGACGAGGTCGATCAAGTCTTATACACACCCAAGAGGGCCTCCAGAACGACTAGGGCAGCCCCGAATCCTCCGAGCCCTTGCGCTGCCGGCTCTTCTGGCCTGCAGCATTCTGTGCGCACGCCGGCACCTACATGGAGATTGGCGATGTCAGGGGAAAATGGAGAGAGCAAGAAAAGCGAGCCTTGGTTTTCATTCAAAAAGTCGACTGGTCAGAAATCCAGACCTACCAAAGCGAGGCATAGCACTGGTGGGTGAGGAAGGAGGAATTGTTCAATTCACTATGAGCTCCGAGATGACCGTCTTGCCGAGGTCAGCCAGCGTGTGGACGGGATCGACCACGGCAAACTTGAAAAACGCTCTTGACTGCTCATCCGTCGGATTCTGAATCCAACTCTGAATCAGCGATACCTCCCTATCCCGCCCAGGAAGCTGGTTTATCTCGGACAGCAACTCATTGGCGTCTTTCGCCAGGTCCCATTCGTGGGCAAAACCTAGCGGCGCAAGTCGAATGACCATCATGAGCAGCATCTGGCACAACGCCACTTGATCAATCTCATTCAGCGCTGTCTGCATCGCACTGTCCAAGCCAGTCGAAGCGGGCGCCGCCGTGTCAGCCGCCGTGTGCGACAGAAGTTTGGCGATCAAATAGAGCGCTCGCAGCCGGACCGGAAAGAAAGTCGCTGGATATCGATGCGGATCACCCGAGACTGCTACGAGACACGTGATGGCGAGTGCCTGCGGAAAAGAGCCGTGCTGAGCCAGTGTCGTTGCGACTTCGCTCAGAATGTTTGGTAAAGGAAAAACGGCCCAAAGTCCCTTTTCGACGAGTGCCTTGCAGCGACGCAGGCGCATCAAGAGAGCCGTGAGGTCGTACTGACTGGCGTCAGAGAACTTCATCAGCGAGCATAGATCTTCTGATAACTTGCTGGCGGCTCTCGCTGTGTCGGAGTTCGTCGCAGCCGGGTGTTGTTTGATAGACGAGGCGCCAAGCGCCAGGCTGAAGGTGTCGAGGTCGTTGCCTTCTGTTGCAGCGCAAACCTGATAAACATTAAGGTCCTCCTTGCATCGTGAGCACTGGCACTCAAAATGGTAGCTCTTGAGAGCGGCGGCTCTCATCTTCTTGGGCCACGTATAGTCTAAACGATAGAGTCAGCAATGGTATTCTGGATTGCATGGGAGGACAAGACGTACCTGTGTATGAGATCTCAATCTCTTCGCCACCCTTGATGTCTCTCTCAGCGCGAAGAATGATCTTGCGGCCAACCACTTGTACCATGGCGTTCGGCGTACAAGTATGGTTCATCATGGCAAAGGTCGGCTCCAGGAAGACGCCAATCTGCCCTGCCTCGTCGTCCGCCCAGTTGAAGGCGTTGGTTTGGATCTCGCGTGGTCAGTTGTATTTGTCCCTGTTTCCAAATAGACTAGCAAACACACCTTTGTGACAATATCACTCGCCCTCTTCACATTCTGCTCTGACGTCTCGAGCCCAGAATACGCTACGCCAGCCATGGCCATCATCTCGATATCCGGGTCCTTGTCCCCACTTCCTCGCAACGTGTCCAAGCTCTCCCCCTTGAGGAGACATTGCATGAGCAGACGGACTTGGGTCGGCAGGCTCATTGCGCGCTGCTGGCCCATCTTGGTCAAGGGTTTGCATTCCTTGGCGTGAACGTCCCGCCAGTGGGCACGTTGGCAGCTCTGGTGGCAGTAGTAGGCTGCATGGCATTGCGTGCACGCCTTGGGTGTCCCAGGTGCCAGACAATATGTACAAAAGGCTTCGAGATGTGGTGTCGTGGGGAGCAGCAGGGTTGGTGGGAGGGCGAGGATGGGTGTGCCCGCACGCTGGGTGTGAACGGATGTGAGGGCGCGGCCTTTGGTGGGCGAGGACGTTACTCTCACAGAGGAGCTCATGCTGAGGATACTGGCTGCAATTCGAATTGGGAATTCGGGTGATGATGGTAGGCGAAGTAAAGTGAAAGACGATCAGAACGAAGTCGACCGTGTTTTTAGGCGGTCAAAATGATGAGGCCAAGCTCCGTCACTCAGAAGGAATACCTTGCGCCACAATTAAACGTGAACCACGACTATGTATGATGACAGCACGAATAATCCTCAATACGGGTCTACAATTATCTACAATTCTGCTTTCTCATCGCGAGCTGGCTCTTTTCCGGCCTGCGTCTTCCTGGCGTCGGCCAGCCTCCTCGCCAGATCCCCACTCCAGTGGCTGTCGTCGCCTTTGTGGTTCTGGGCAATCTCATTGACTCTGTAGTCCCAGCATCCATCCTCCATCGACCCTTCCTTGCACACCTTGTCCATCTGGACCTTGTCCGCGGGCCACTGCCCGAGAACAGCGCCCATGTCCTCGTCCAAGAAGTTGTCCAGCGCCAGCTGGCCCACCTTTCTCTGCGCCGACGTCCAAGATGACGCCGTCGGGACCAGAACCTCGAGCAGGTACTTCATCATGTCGCCGTCGACAAACTCTTTCCGAAGGTTGTCGTTCTTCATCATGTTGTTCACCACGCTCACCTTGGCCTTGACGCGACCCGGCGAGGAGGGGTCTTGCACGGCGTCACCCTGGGGGATGAACCGGCGGCCGGAGAACCCTTCACTCAAGGGCTTTCGAGTGTCGAGGCACGTCATGCCCTTGAGATCCGACCATTGCTGGGCGACTTTTTGCAGAGCGGGAGGGTTGTTGGACAGGGCGGCCGCGACAATTGTCGCCGCACGCTGATCCCTAGGCACGACGCCCTCCTCCACAGGCTGCGCATCGTCGCTCATGAGGCACAGGAGCTCCTTGACCGCTTGCGTATCCTCAGCGAGTTTCAGGCCATAGTACATATCGTGGCTCAGGTCCTCCAGCCACTCCAACGCATCGTCGTACGTGGTGTCCCGTGTCGCCGGGTCCTTGATCATGGAGAGGACGTCGTAGAAATACCCAGCCTCATGCTCCGGCTTCTTGACAGCGCCGACCGGTTCGTACGCTGGGGCTCCCCCTGGTACTTGTGGCTCCTCGGGCTGCTCAGGCTCGACGACCAGGACGGCCTGTTCCTCGGGCGATAGACCCTTCAGTTCCTCGGGGACCTCGCCCTCCACGTTCATCTTGGCCTCGAGGAGGCCAGAGGTGACGTTGAGTCGGACGTGGAGACCTTGAGGGATCTCCTGGTCTTTCTGGATGGTCTGGAACTCATCCGTGGGTACAAATATTTTTGGGTAACATTCATCAGGGTTGTCGGTGTGGCATATCAGCTCGTTGCTGTCCTTATCTTGCGTGTCTTGATTTGACGAGGGATCGTTGCTGGCGAAAGCGAGGGATGTGAAAATTGTGAGAGCGAGCGCAAAGATTGCGGTCAATGATATTGACGATGTTTTCCGGCGTCCGAGAGGCATTGTGTGAATGTGTGATGGGTGATGGGTAAGTTGGCGACACTAGACTTTGGTGCCAATGTGAATGAGTGATGATCGGTGAGACGGAGTCTGAAGGGGAGAGCGACGCAATGCGATCAGCTACCGCTATGCCTCAAAAGAGAAATAGAAAGGAATCCTGATGAAATCTTGAGTGAGCGTCAACGGAAGGTTTGAATCTGAATTGAAGGCATGACTCCAATCATCATGAAGCCAGATTTCATCGAAAGCTGGAGATGGTGACAGAATTCAAGATCGCCAAGGTCAAAGTGGCACCTTTTGATTGGCTGCGAGCCACGACTCAGGAGTGGGTTCTGCGTGCCCTGTAGCAGCCTCAACTGTCCTCTTCTCCGTTTGCACCTCAATTTGTCATGTTGCCACGTATCGACTTGGGACAAAGAAGACTGACAGGTGGTTTCTAGACAGGTGAAAATTGACATGGTCGCTGAGCCGCTGAGATCGCTGTGGCAGGGCAGCAGACTCGGTTCGATCGACACAACAGTCATCTTGCTCCGCGGTGAAGAAATGTGACTACCCTGGAGCCACTATAGGCCAAGAAACTCAATTAAGCATTGAGCCTGAGCTGTCTGATCCAAGCTGCCAACTTACAACGAGCAAGGGATGGATGCTGCCTTACGAAAAACTACGCACCAACTATATTCGGCCACCACTGCGCCCATGTGTGGCATGTCCTCCAACTTAGGCAGAGGCTAGTGCAACAAGGATAGGTTCATCGCTGTGCAGCTGATCCTGCGCGACACGTTGAAGAATGCAGTCGGACAGTATTTCGCAGATGTCGAGGAGGTTGGTCAGGGTCTTGAAATATCCCATGGAGGCTGGATAGGGATCTCCTGACATCTGAGACACCACCAAAGCGGCAGAGACATGAGAGACATTGCGCACATGTAGCATCAGCTTGAGACTTGAAGCTGACTTTCGTCATAGCCGAGAAGTCTTTGACAAGATATACGTATCACTCCGGCTATAAGAGGTGATCTCCCCTGGGAGTGGGAACATGGCTTAGCAAGCACCAACCCGGTCCACAACAAACAGCAAACAACATCTTCCACCATGGCTCTGATCGCAGCTACGTCCATTTTCATCCTTGCGACACTATTGCAGACAGTTAGTGCTGCGCCAGCATCCCATCATCACATGCACAAAGATATCGCCCTGCTCAGGCGGCAATATCATCAACACCCAGACCAGGTGATCCGCATGAGCCAGGGTCCGGTACACAATGATCCTGAGATAATGGACTCACTCATCGACCCGAAGCCAGATGCAACAGGTCACCCTGAGATGGTGGTCGATCCAGTCTTGGGCGACCCACCGGTCACTCGATATCTAGATGACACGGCTTAGTGACGGTCAGGAGGCTTGGAGTCTGGGATGAGCTTGCAAGCGACATGTGGGATGCATTCTTTGGCGTTTTTGGTCTTATGGTGTTTATGGCTGGAATATTCTTTTCAAGATGTATTCGGGAGAGCGAGTACGTAGGCGCACGGCATGTAGACAACACCTGCATAAGTATATGAGGAAATCTCGCTCTGGAAAAGCTTGAATTCAACCCGCGCAATATTTGTGAGATGCAATACTAGAATAGCTCAGCAGCAAATTGGCAGCAAATTGTACATATAGTTGTACATGTGAACAACTTGCTGTGCATGCAAGCCCACTTTGCTCGCCGCGGGAAGAAACAGACGAGGCAAGTCAGTTTGACTTTGAACACTGACTGGCATCCCGCCGTGATCCTCACACGCACTACGCCTGCATGCTCACCTACCATGACATCCGCGGCATCCCCAGATCGCGTCAAGTACGGATGGATCGAAGAAGTCGAAGATTTGGAGGAGTAGTGCTCAGGTGGCTATCACCCCGTCTTGATCGGCAACGTGCTGCACATTCGCTACAAGATCTTTGACAAACTCGGGTATGGAGGGTGTTCGACGACCTGGCTCGCGCGTGATCGTTGCCGTGAGAGTTATCTCGCTGTCGAGGTTGGCATTGCCGATGCCAACCTCCATCAGAAAAACGAAAGTCGCACTCTGCAACGGCTCAGCCATCCGTGCATACCCAAAATCCTGGATCAATGCGGTGTCACTGGACCGAATGGAACACATCCATGCTATACGATGGCGGTCGCACAGGGCAATCTCAATGACGCACTATGCAAGCCGATGTTTCCTGTAGAGGTTGGAAGGGTCCTCCTGGCAGCAAAACTCGCATCTGCTGTTGCCTACATCCACTCACAAGGCTATTTGCATGGATGTTAGTCCATCGTATCACACTCTAGATCTATCCAACATCACCCAGACCTCCACATCCGGAACATGCTCATACAGACTCCTTCAGGACTTGATCAGCTTTCAGTGGAGCAATTCCTAGAGAAATTTCACGAGCCTATGAAAGTGCCCATTACACGGACTGATGGCCAGCTACTAACACCACATCTACCGCCGTACGCTGCTCTACGAATAGACATGACCAAGGCAGCGCGCAAATCCCCAGTGAAAGATGCACAAGGCTTTGTACTGGCTGACTTTGGCGAAGCCTTCTCCCCAGCCGAGGAGCCACGTCTCAACCAAGACAATCATACGCTCTTGCCCGGTCAGCCTCCTGGAACATTGTTCGAACCTGACGCCCATGTCTCACCCGCTTCCGACGTCTGGACAATGGCCACGGCGATTCGGGAGATCCTAGGGATGAAGTCCCCCTTCAGCCAGCACGTGCCGCCCAATGAGCTGCTGGCCGAGCATCTCGACGTCCTCGGCTGCGAAAGCCTCCCCCACGACTGGAGAGCCATCTGGGAGCGCCAAGAAGTAGACGGAGAATGTCAGCTTCCACGCGACCAAACCGACCCGCAGGAGATACATGGCCACCGCTCGACCAAGCTTGGGAGGAGTTCAACCAAACATTTAGGAGGAAGCGAGAGACCACGGGAATATCCGGGGAGGAGGAGAGCAGGGCCGTCCTCGAGCTGATGCGCGGCATGCTCAGATATCGACCGCAGGACCGGCTCACGGCGGACGAGGTGCTTCGATCAGAGTGGATGGTCAAGGGGGCGTTGCCACAGACGGGATAGGCCGCCAGTGATATCTGCCTACCTGATATAGGCGGCTACCCCGACACAGCTTGTTTCGACGGCAGCGCTACAGTCATCAATATGCCTTCACAAAGACTCCAAAACGTCACCCGATACACTCAGAAACAAGCGCCTAGACACGTCCCGAAACCATCTGTTACTCGTTCTCGTCGCTATCAAACTCTCTCAGGATCCTGCGCGCCGCCTTGCGGCCGACGACCGGCAGCCTGTCCACCCCAAGATCCTTTGCAGTCTGGGGGAGAAGCTTTGGGTCCAGCAGACCGATCTGCATCAGGACACTGGCTTGGTCCCAGTACACGTGCTCCTGATACAGCTTGCCGCCCTTGAGCGCGACGATGCTCACCACGAGGATCTCCACCTTTTTGTTGGTCGCCGGCACACCGGGCAGCATCCAGGGCACTTCCTGCGTGTGTTTGAAGCGAATGTGCATCTCGTCGACCACGCGATCCACCCCAATGGTGCGAGACAGGAGAGTTACTTTTGTGCTGGGCGGGTTGGTGAACGCTGTGGCATAGTAGGCCCTGAGGTCCTCGACGCCGATACCACCCGTCAGGTTGGGGATGTTTGTGACATGCGGCGTCTTGTGCGTCGTGTACGCCTCGACGGCCTTGTCAATGTCGTTTGTGAAGAACTTGCTCTGCAGGTTGCTCTCTAGGACGACCTCGAGATCCGGGTCGATGCCAAACACCTTGCGCGCCGCCGACAGACTGCGACTCCAAGCAATCTCGGCGCAGATGCCGTCAAACTCCTCCACGTCGTGCTCCGCAAAGCCCGGCTCGGCGTGGTAGGTGTAACTCGGGTACGCGAGTTGTAGCTTGCCCCCCGTACCGGCCCCGGGATCGACCCTCTTCTTCTTGGTGCGACGCTTGCCCTGGATCCCTACCATCTGCGACTGCTTCGTGATGCCAATCTCGGCACCCGCGGTGAGATGGACGAGCGTGCTGATGGCATTGGGGAACCTACCCTCTGGATCGGGGAGTGCGGTCGGGTAGTAGGCAATGAGCAGGCCGAGCTTGAACTCGGGATTGTTGTCCATGATGTGGTAGTGTGCCAGACACATTGTTGCGGCGCTGTCATACGCTGCGACGCAATCGTCAAGTCAGGTCGGAACCGCACCATCTGCTGCATGCAAGGACGTGGTACCTACTTACCCACGATGCCAAACTTGGCGCAGGGCTCCATCTTCTCCCTGCTCAAGTCCTTGAGTTTCTCAATGTACCCGTCGGCGCCACAGCTCTGGACGGAGAAGTACTCGACGTCGAATCCCTCGTCCCGCCACTCCTTGATGGTCAACTCGTCAAAGTCATCATCCTCGCCCGTGATGTACAGCTTGGGCGCGGAGCGGGGGAAGTCGCGTGACAGAAAGTTGCCATCGCGGAAATCGGCCGACTTGGAGTTTTCTGACAGGACTCTGACGTTGCGGCCCTCGGACTCGGGGACAGCTTTCTTGACCAAGTTGCCGACGTCGATGTTCATCTTTGGGTGATTGAGGCGATCGATGTTTCCTTGATCAAGAGAGAGCTGAGCTGGTGGCTCGTGAGAGATCCGTCTGGACAAAATTTGACTGACTGCTAAGCTAGTCGTTTACATGATCGCGAGCCGCATCGCGAAGATGATGGCGTGGTAGAAGATTGTCAGTGAGGTGGTCCAGACGTCATCACACGTTCCGGCATGCCAGGTTTCTGGCACGTGCCGGTCTTGGTCCACCCCGTTTCCCCACAGGGGTCCTTTTTCGCCTAGCCTTCTGCATCCTCCCCCCCTTGTTGCCTCTTCTTCAACACAGGCAAGGGGGAAGGGGTTCGTGATTTGCTCGGAAGGGGCTGTCATGCTGCCGCCGCCACACTCCTGTCCAGAGACGTGTCGTTCAAGGCGACAACGACATGGTCCTATTGCTTCGACCGTGGAACACATGAGCATGGCGAAGTCCCCCCATGCAGTCGAAGATGATAGCCAGAGTTCGGGAACGCCTCAATCAGTATGAGTCGCGAAGAAGGGACAATTATAACTTCACGTTTGAGAAATCCACCCCACGCTTCACGAATCAAAGCGAGCGTAGAAGACAAAAAACATCAAGTACACGGCGATCTGTGTTCGTTTTCAGGACGAAGCTCTCTTTTTTTTTTACTAGACAGCGAGGGATAGTGCTGTTCCTTGAGAGTCAGGCATACCTCTGGGTGAGAGAGCCACGAACCGCAAACCCTCTGCGCATGCACCCATTCGTTGCCTCACTGTCTTGGGGTCGTGTGCTCCAGCTCCTTCGGACGCCTGTCTCGCTGCCTAATGAACGGATTTACGACGGATGCTTGACAGCTCCACATCTGATAACGGACTCTGGCGCCGGCATGAAGGTGGGAGCCGATCGGAGCTCAAAGACTGAGAAGCGCAGCTGAAGCTGTCGAGTGGGACTGTCGGTGCAATCGAAGTGGCACGACCATCCATAGGAGGCCAGTGTCAGGGCGATCTGGATGGACTGAGGCTACGGCCAAAGACTACTCGAGCCTGGAGTATATCGCCCCGCCACTTCTAACATCTGAACAGACACGCTTTGAGTGGCTAGATGACGGTAATTGTATGCGACATCACTATACGGCACAAGCCTGGATCTCAAGTACGGTATGCATACACGCCTCCTGACTCGCGCTGCTAGGGGCTCTCCTGAAAACCAAGACGGGTCTCTTGCGCGTGGGCAAATAGCAAGGCTCCCATGAAATGATAAAACGAGACAAATCACCGCATCTTGGGCGCCGGCACAGTGGACCGTCGACTGAGCTTGCGTAGATGCTGTTGATGGCGTAGGCGATGCCGCCCAGTGTGGAAGGGGACCTGGTCATGCCGGCGGCCTCGGGGTCATAGTACTCAGTGCCTTGGTGCGGTCCGTCCGCCGAGAGCAGGAAGACGGCGACGGCCGCGACGGCCAGCCCCGTCCCCAGGATGCCGGCCAGGCCTATCCAGGGCATGGTCTTGAAGAAGCGTTTGTGGTATTGCTTCGACTGGGCATGAGCCGGCGGTATGTGCGCGGCAGCGTCGGCGTGCGGGAGGGCGTGCGAAGTTGTCTGGGGGGAAGTCCTTGGTGCTCATGGGACTACTGGGCATCTGTTGTTGCTGCTGCTGCTCGTATGCCGCGTCGCCAAAGTGACCATTGTTCACAAAGGGAGTCGTCGGGTCGGCGTAGTTCTCGTAGGCTGGGCGAGAGCACCGGTGATCATGCAGGTCCATCTCGTATCCGTACTCTGCTGTCCGTTGTGTGTGGCCATGGTCGTCCTGCTGGTCCTCGGATGGCTTGAGTCTCGAGATGATGCTGCTGGATAGGAGAGGCGGGACACTTGGGAAGGGTCAGGACTCAGGACTGGGGACTCAGGAGACTCAAGAGGCCAACGTGCGACGCTTGTAGAAGCCATCCATCACCAGACCCTCCCTCGGACGAGAAAAAGGAGCCTGTCATCCTACGAGTATTAGGTCTCCTTCTCGAGACTTGAGACGAGAAGACTCCCCACTGCCTTTGACAAGGTGTGCCCGACAGACGAGGAGCATAGGGAATGCGGTTGAGGCGTAAAGCCGCCAAGGAGCGATCGAGGCCCTGCGCGACTGGGGTTGGAAACGAAGTCTCCCTAGAACCGACTTGGGGCTGGCCCGCATATTGCAGGGTTGCGTGCTCCATGATCCATCCATCTGCGATCCTGCGGAAGAAACGCTCCCTGCCAGCTGGCTATCGTGACTCGCGCGTCCGTCGTCGCCTCGACAGCGGCAGATATCGACTCGACGGTCTCGAACCACCGCCCTAGCGGCCCTACCGCAAGGCTGACTGGCAACTTGTAATCTTGAATCGCGCCCCTGCCAAGATGGGTTATATCTCCGAGCTGGACACGTGTTGGTTACGAACATGGGCTTTGTGTCTGAGTGGAGCGTGGCAGACCCGAAGGCTCTGGGGCACCGGGATGATGAGAGTCCCATTCCTCACTTCAACGCTTGCGCGCCCATTGAAGGATTGAGGATTGCCCATGTCACCCACGCCGATGAAAACGAGTGGCTGTGCTCTTGCAAGCCTCTTTCATAGGCAAGATCATAGGCAAGGCTCAAGAGTTGCACCTCACGCGTCGCTTTGCGGCCACTACTACGCTCAATGTCCACTGCAAGCTTGACCTCTATCTTGTTATCTCGGATTCATCGCCTGCGACGTACGGCTTGGAAAAAAAAAAATTGAAAAGGAAAAAGAAACCCATGTTTCTCCGTTGCTTGTTTATCGCCAAATTCTTGGCAAGAGAGTCGAGGCGACTGGTATGGCGGCACCAACCACCAACCACCCTATGAGGCGCCTCCAGAGTGCCTACAGGAATAGCGGTCAGATCCGCCAATCAAAAGAACCTGTCCAGACTGGAGACTCCTAGTCTCCACGTCTCCAACAGCAGACACGGAGGCTGGAATTATCATCTGCCTCTCCTGCACTTTTGACAGCTCGTCTCTGGAGAGTTTCAATCATCCTCGTTTCGCCTACGAGCGAGCTGTCTTGTTCAGGTCAATGTAGTGACTCGACAACACGCGGATCGTCATGAGCTTCCTTAGGGATCATTTGTGCAGGGATCCTTGTGCGCTGCGCCTCCTCTTGCAGGGCTGAGCCCGCCACGACATTGACGGCTGCATTCAATGCATTGGACTGTTGGTCGGTCCGTCCTGGAGACCGGAGAATCAGCAGACCAGTCATCACGCCAGGCCACAATCTGTGCCTCTTGGCAGTTGGTCTCCAATCCAGCCAGGTCTGGCGGGAATCGATGATATAAAATAAACGGCAGCACGCCTCTCCTCTGCTCACGAGAATCCTCCATCATCGCCTCCCTACCACATCGCTCAGAACTCAGTCCCCGGGGTCACAGACTACCATGCGCCCCTCCACCCTCCTCTTCGGCGCGAGCCTCGCCAGCGTGGCTGTCGACGCGAGTGCTGTGGACGACTACCTCGCCATCTTTGAGCATGCGACAATCACCAATCCCGCTGGCGGCCTCGTCGACTTCTCCGGGCCCTTCAACATCACCTGGTCCACCCCGTCCAACGCGTCGTCACCCACCGACTCGCGCTTTCGCGAGCTCACCAAGGGGGTCTCCATTTGGTTTTCATACAACTACGAGAACATCCCAGGCTATGACTCCTCCCTCCCCTCAGACAACATGACGCACATTCTGATCGACGAGGTGTCCGACCTTGACCCCTCCATCAACTTTTACGAGTGGGAGGACCCGGCGGACGCCGTCAAGTCGACGCGCAAATCGCTCGAGGAGAGGGCGCGGTTCATGGAGCTGAGCGACCTGCCCGGCGGCGCGCGCTGGGTTGTCACCGTCTCCTTTGTCGTCGACAACGGCACGGCGGAGGAGGAGGGTCTCGAATACTTTGTGAAGCGCGACTCGTCCATGTTTGACATTGAGGGCGTGGACGGGTACGAGCCTGGCCAGGAGGGCATCGAGTGGGGGAGCGCCGCTGTCGCGCTGAGGCCGGTTGGGACGCTTGCCGGCGCTGCTATTGCTGCGGCCGCGATGGTACTGCTCTGAGGGCGAAGAGTGATTTGGGAGAGCTTTCATGTTAGGAGCAGGGCGCACAGGCGTTGGTGTGCACATGTGGCAGGGCTCTGTTTCAGTATGGTCCGAACAGGGACAAGAAGAGAACGAAGGCATGACGAATCCTATGTGGATATAAACCCGTATATTTGACTTGACCTAGGAGGCAATGTGGTTATCGAAAAGATCTCGAGGAATCTTGCCTGATTAGTTGGTGACAGTGCCTTCGATTTCGAAATGGCCAGGTCAATTGCTCGACGACGAGGTCGAAGCTTCCAAGTTCCGCGACCCCGTGGGCTCCAATTCAAGATTTTCGACTTAAACGCAGGCCGTGATGGTGTCTGTAACCAGAAAGTCCTCGTGTGAACACTCTGAGTGGCACTAATAGTCTTCTGTCAAGGGCTAGACCGTAGAATCGATTTGTTTCAAAGCATGTACGTACGTTATATGAAATAGTGACGAAGCCATAAACGAACAAAGAAGACATCACGACCTGCATGGTCGCCCATGGACTGCTCTCCGGGAGAAGAAACCGCTCCCTCCCCCCTTCTTCCACATCCACTGGCCAGCACGGCTTCTTAGACACACTGGTGGTACCACTCGTTGACGACCTGGCAACTACCAGCAGAGCAGCACTTGGCACCGCCCCATCCATTTCCGCCACACTGGCCATACATGGCGGAGCAGCCACCACCGTTGCCTGGGTTGGAGGGCTCGCCGCCACCGCCGCCGTTGCCCGCGCCGTTCCAGACAGCGGGGCCCGGCATGGGGAAGTTCTTGTAGCCGCCGTAGATGCTGAACTTGGCGTACGGGTCAGAGTCCTTGTAGCCACCGGGGAGCTTGAACGTCGGACTGGGCGAGCCGTTGCCGCCGTTTTGGACCTTGACCTGGAGGCACGAGGTGTAGTGCTCGGGCTGGTTGACGTGGGAGCGGTGGATGCCTTGGGTGTATGGTTAGCAGGGTGCATGCACGGACCAGGCCACTTATTTGAGGCACTCAGAGGCATCCGAATGTAGCCATTGAAGAGATGAGAACGTACCAATGTGCTCGAAGCGGACCAGGTACTCGCCATTAGGTGTGTTGTCGGGGATCTTGGCGGTGATGGTGTCACGGCCCCAAGTGCACCAGGCGTCGCGGGTAAAGTCGGCACCTTGGTTGCAGACCTAATGAAAGTTTCTTGTTAGGAAAAGAACGGTGTGACCCTTACAAAAGACAAGAATAGTCACATACACCCTCTTCAAAGATCTTGAACCAGTCGCCCGAGCCATCGTAGGCCTTGACGTTGTCGCCGGGGGCGCGAGACATGTAGACAAAGCCGGGGCCTAAAGGCACAACTCGTCAGATTCCGCCCTCTCCGTCTCCATGGACTGCAAGTATAGATCAAACTCACCAGGGTGTTCCATCTTGGCACCATAGGCTAACTTGGCCGTGACCTCTGAGCCAGCGTTCACAGTCAAGACCTCGGTGCGGCCAGCGTTCGAGAAGGCGCCCTGGTTGCAGCGAATATCGGGTCCATCGGCGTAGGAGCCGTCGCGGATATCACCCGCCGGGTTCGAGGAGAACTTGATAGGGTTGTACTTGGTCTGCCGTGTAGTGTCGCGGACGTACTTGCCGGGTGTTTGGGCAGCACCGTTGATAACGTTCGTCTCAAAGAAGTAGTGGGCGGAAGCCACCTGAGCCGCGGCCGCGACGAAGATGGTCGAGAACTTCATCTTGCTAGTGGATGTGCAACGAAAGGGACGGAAGATGTACACACAAAGTGTATATCGTTCTGTAGGAGAGGTGGCAGGACTATGGAGCGCTGCTGGGAGTGATGAAGAAAAAAGACGAAGGGAAGAAGACCTCGAGACGGATACGACGATCCTTTTATAGACCCTAGGTGCGTATGACTGAATAGGTAAACACTTTGAAGCTTCTCTAATCCCCCGATTCATCTACACTAACTTCCCCAGCATGCGTGCATGCATATATGAAGACAAGTAGCGGAGGATGCGGGCCGGCTACGCTGGAATGAGGGGACACGATAAGTTGACTTGCACGAATCAGTCCGGCCAACGTTTCAAGCCCTTGCCTCTGCCTCTTGGCCGGCATGGTGACGCACAAAGGAACGTTGACGTGAACTGTTACAACACGACAAGGCGAGTTCAGGACGGCACTTTGACCCTCCTAGATGCGCTCTGGGAAGGCAAGTAGAGCCAAGGTCTATGTTCTCGGCGAATGCTACTGAAGATATCTTCAATGTGTACGAGGAGTCGCGGATACCTGAACGCCTCATCCTAGCCCAGCCGCAAAGATGATATGGCTGCGAGAGTCTGGGGTGCATGGAAAGAACCCCACCTGGATCTATCATCTATCTGGAAGGTAGCGAGGCCCGAACAGGACGATATCAACTGCCGGCAGGGCAGGGGTAGAAGACGAACAAAGAGCAGTCCAGATATGGACACGGACGTGAACACATGGACTTGAAGTAGTAGCTGCATGCAGACTGCATATTGAACCCAACTACCAAGCAGAACATGGAAGAAACAAGGCGGAAAGCGCCTCGTGTCCGTATATTGCTTGGCGCGCCAGCCAATCGGGATTTTTCAATCGATCCCTTGTCCAATGGACCATGCAGTCTCGTTTCATGCAGCCGCCACTTGGTCGTCCATTGCCAATGCTCACCACGCCGACTTGGCCAATTGCTGTCAATGGATATAATCTTATCACTCTCTGACACTGCGCAAACACCGGTGGATCCATCGCGGCAACTCCCCGAACAAGCATAAAGTTTATATAGCAGTTTGCTGAGCCAAGCGTAGAGCGTGGGAGCATGTTGTCCGGGGAATGCGGGGGCGCCTGTGCCGCCAGAAGAGTCTGATACCCGCGGCTCCTCCGCCGTGTATACGGACACACAAGATCTGCTTTCCTCTGAGGGATGCGTACAGAGGCACTTGCCTGGCCGACTAACGGCGACATGCCATGATTCAAGCTGGCCCAGTTGGCGCTGAAGTCATTGGCAGAAACGCGCATTTTGTTCATGATCACGCCTCTAGATACATGACGTCTGCTTGCTGGCTAGCCAAGAAGAGCGGGACGAATAGCTCCTTGACTGCCAAAATCGGCCAGTCCGAATATAGTATATAGATCATGTGGCACACATGCATGCATGGGAGCTAGATGGTGCGGTCCACATGGCTGGGACTCGCCACTGGCACGTTCAGTATTTTCCTTGATAGAGCTCACACTAATCTACACACAGCAGCCTGATCTTGAACGGACCAAAGAAAGCTGATTCAATGCTCACCGAGCGTGACGCGGGAGAAGGTGATGGATGACAGGCGGAGTGTCGAAAGAGATGTGCGGTCACTGCAGTGCTTGATGAGAGCGAGCCACAGCATCTCTGGCAAATTGACGAAGAAGAGAAGAACAAACAGACATGATAGTCATCCTTTACTATTTTGAAATAGGCAGATGCGCAAGGTCAATAAAATCCTTCTACTCATGATAGAAGCTCCGCTCGCGGCAGCATCGTGGCTCCCGAGTCCTTCGCCCACCACCACCACCCATTCAGGGGCATCTTGTCGTTGTACACGGCTTCAAGCATGTTCCGCCCCGCGCGTTGGCCTAATAGGCTTCAACTTCTCACCGTTTCCTCGCTTCCACTTTTCAAGTCCTTTCTATTGTGATCCAGCTCAGATCAAAGTCAGTGACAGTAGAGGCTTCAGCAGAATGTACGGTGAGTTTGTAGGACTATTTCATTAGCAAAAGTGTATGAAGGGTAGTGCCAATGTCTCCTCCTCTCGAGGCAGCCATATCTCACTTCGTCTGTTGAAGAAGCAAGAAAGATGACGAACAGAGAAGAGATCTGCCGGGGTACCCTGGTCTTGTAAGCCATGTCTCCGACCCTAAAGATCCATGTGGCGCCGTCGTGGGCGGCGAGATCAAAACTCGCCCATGTCGAGTCTACAAACGGAAAGCAGCATGTTATCCGGACTTTGACATCTCTGTACTAAGCCACAGAACTCAGCAGAGTGTCCACATGACCGAGTGTCATGCGCAGCTGCCATGTGCGCCAATGTATTATTCATCCTGGCTGCTCTGCGCAATCGTCTTCTCATTGTGCCCGGTTCCCTGGTGTGTGTGTTGCTCCAGTACGTGACAGACAGACTCCCTTCCTCCTTGAAAGGCCTCGCCCAACGTCGTGACCATGACTGAGCATGTCCAGCCGAGAGAGCCTAAGGACCGCCATGCCTCTTGCGGTTCGCTGGATCGTCGCTGGATGTTTGGCTGGTCGTGTCGACCACCGGGACGCGGAATGCCTGGAGGGCTCCATCGGTCGGTAGCAAGCAGTCCGTGCCTGGATCGGCGTAGGCCCCATCAGCCTATTGGCACGGTTCACTCTGCAGGCGCTTCTGCAACGGCGCTGCGCTGAGCATACCCTCCGAACGTATACATGTACAGGTTCCTGAGGAAGGCGTCCTCCAACCAAGGAGGGGGGGAGTAGGTTCGAACGAGCTTGAGCTTGAGGCTATCATCATCCGTCAACAACACTCACTCCCAACCCTTGTGGTGTTGTATGCGACACCCGTCGCCCCATCCCTGAAGCTTATTCGGGAGCTCGCCAATTTTTTTTTTTTTTTTTTTAGCTTTGGTGGAAGAGCCTGAGCGTCCCAAGCGTGTTGGTACCCACAGGTCGGCACTGAAGCTCGGCCGGAGACAATGCGACTGAGCACTCGGCTGGTAGTGGACAAGAAGGAGTCCAGCGCGGTGCCCGGATGATGAGATGGAGTCGTCTGGACGGTAAAGTATCGATAATGCCAGAGAATCATCAAGTTTCACCAGTCACCTGATCGCATCTGCTGGGATGCTGCACCGTGCACGACCTCATCTCAAATGATCATCTTGGCTCGGCTACAGTACCCCGTCCAGGGACCAGCACTGCAATGCATGCACTGCAATGCATAATTAATTATGTGGCGTATGAGCCCCAATATTTTCTGCGCCTCGAGCATAGAGGTTTGATGTTTGCCCAAACCTCGAATGCAGCAAGCCGTTCGCAATGCTTGCTGGGAATATAATGCGACCTGAAGATGAAGACGAAGACGAAGTGGTGGAACGTATATATCCACGGGACAGAAAACAACCGCGCCTGCCAGAAATGAGAGACGGGCTGAAGGCAAGAGCGACCGAGTCTGGGGCTGCAAACTATGCAAATTATGCAATGATCCACAACCGCGTCTCGGGTCTTAGCGACTCAGCTTCGGCGCCTCGCACGCTAATGCACGGGGCCCGGCGCCAGTGCACTAGCGCCAACAATATTCCGCGCCGGTTAGAATTTTTCGCTTAGTCTTTAAGGGTAGTGCCTGACTTGCCAAACTTTGTTAGTACTGTTGTTATTATTATTGTTGTTATATTTGAAAGCGGTCGGTCCCCAGTAAACATGAGTTCTAGCCATAAAGACTCTATAAAGTTATCGAATCATCCCTAAAGACATGCCGCTACTAGCTGTGGGTATCCGTAATTGAGCCTTTTAGGCCTCGGTTGCGAGGCGCGGGACAATCCGATTCGTTCCAACTTCCAGCCAAAAGAAAAAAGTACCACGCACGCTTGGAATTAGGATACCGAGGCTGATCACCTGATTATGCGACTCGCCATTTGATCATCGCAGATACCGACGGATGTCGAGCCAACTGGCAAGGGTCAAATTTGCGTAGCCGTTGCTTGGTGTTGGTTGTTGTTGGTTGTTGGTTGTGAACAAATGACAAATGTGGCCCAACCCGCATGACCCCTAAAAGCATCTTTTCGCGTCCATGTCTTCGCTGCCATTTCGTGCAGAGGCTTGTCCTCTACATCCACTGCAGGCCTCACATCGCAGTGGCTGCGCGCATCACCATGAAAGCAGCCTCGATGTCCCTGCGAGGCCGACTCGAGAGGCTCTACTCGCGGGTCGCCTCCCACGTCGAAAGCCAGCCGTTCGGCATCGATGTCAGTGATGGGCTCGCGCCTGTGGTGCAACGCGCTTGCAGCAGGATACCACACCCAGTCGTGAGGGTCTTCAAGCTTCTCCTTCTTGTGCTTGTACTTTTTATTGCCTTTCTCAACCTGCCTTCACTGCGACCTTACACCACAGATCTTGTTTTGAACACAAAGGACCTCCGACAACCTATTCTGAACACAGCCTCCCCCGACGACCACAAAGCCACTCAACCAGCTTCTTCATCGAACCATGTCATGGACTGTGGCGCCGACATTGACCGCCTCGCCAAGCTCAGAGACAGATTCAAACTTGACGACGAGGTCGAGTACCTGAAGCGCTATGTGCGCATCACCCGTGAGCCTATTGAGCGACAACAGCGCACTTTCTTGCAGCAGCGATTCCTCCCTGAAGACGACGAAGGGCAGGGACTCCAAGTGCTCGACTTGACCAAGAATGTGCAGCACGAACAGACGTGTCCAGAGCCATTGGAGATTGCCGTAACCCAGTCCCCATCCCCGACCGAGGCCGATCTCTCCGACTTCATCTTCGCCATCTCTACCGATGTCAAACGCATGAGAGACCCTCTCATTGTCGACGAATGGGCTTTCTGGTTGACCAATGGTCTTGGACATTCCAACGGAGGCAAGCTTTTCCTTCGACTCATCGATGCCTCGGATTCGGAGCTTACGGATGCCGCGCAGCGATTGGCCGAAGCTGGCATTGATGCCCAGGTCAGCGCGCTCGACAGCCGGCTACACAGAGAAATGGCCGTGCGATATCTCGATCTAGTGCCCATGCTCTACTTCCACCCGGATTCGGTCAACAGGAAATGGCTCGTTCTGTGTGACGACGACACCTTCTTCACGTCTGCGCATAGTCTTGTCGAAAGGTTCAAGCAATACGACCACGAGAAGCTGTTCTACGTCGGGAGTCTCTCCGAGGATGCCATCGCCGTCAAGACACATGGATCCCAGGCGTTTGGCGGCGCCGGCGTATTCATCAGTCGTCCTCTCGCCCAGGTGCTCTCGACAGTGCACCAGACATGCAAGACACGGGCCAAAATTCGGCAGTCCAACACTGGATGGGGCCCGCAGGGCGATATTCTTCTCCGAAATTGCATCTACGACAATACGGATATACGGCTATCACAGCTGCATGGGCTTTGGCAGCTGGACATTAGAGGAGATGCGTCGGGGTTTTATGAATCTGGGCTCAGTGCCTACAGCATACACCATTTCAAGGGAGGGACGAAATGGCACACCACCTACCCCCTGAACACCACCAAGATCGCATATACCTGTGGCGAGGACTGTCCGTACCAGCGATTCATCACAGAGGACGATTTCATCATCGCGAATGGATACAGCGTCGCCCAGTACCCGTACGGTGTGGAGTTCAATCTCGATCAAGTTGAGCGTACCTTCCGTCCGCTCATGGTGGAAAAGGAATGGAACTTTGACTACATGTACGGCCCGCAGCGCCCTTCCTTATCAGGTACAGGAAAGAAGATCTCTTGGGAGCTCGGTGAAGCTGAGACAAATCTGGAGGATGGAGTCACGATACAGACGTATATCCGGAGGAAGGATGACGTGCGCTGGACAACTGAGGATGGGAAGCCCATGAAATCGGTTGATGGCATCATCGAACTTGTATGGATTTCTGCATAGACCAAGCGCGCCCGCAAGGCGGACAATAGATTCAAATTTAATGACCACATGCAAGCTTCTACCATATAATGCCTGGCACAGCCCTATGGCAGGTAACTTCATCCCAGATTGCTGGAGCACACCCTCCTTTCGACACCTTCTCAGCCGCATCTCAACATTCTGCCCACTACGTGGCCTAGCCTTAGGTGACATAAAGCTGGTAGGCCGTGTCCTCCCTGTCAGCCGCCTTGTAGAGCTTCTTGTTGGACCTGACGAGCCACCAATTGAGACCAAGGGCGCAACCTGCCGACGCGATGCCGAATAACATCATGCCGATAAAGGCGCTGATATAGTGCGGCTCCTCGGACGGCTGGAACATGTAGGGGGCAGTAAAACTTCCTGATCGTCCTGTTAGCACACCGAAGCTCTTTGAGGATATATGGGCGGCGATCTACCAAGCTATCGCCCGCGGCGTCTTTGAGGAAGCGGCCGGTCTTGTAGTGGGGAGGCCGTTTGGCTACGACTCGGAAAGGCAAAGACAGGAATACGCACGTGTCATTACCGGGCTGTTCTGCGAGGGCCGTCTGGCGGGCAAGAATGCGTTTCCTATCCTGTTTGGCGTGGATTTCGGACACACCATGCCCATGGTGACGTTGCCGTACAGTGCCCTGGCCGAGTTGGATTCGGAGAGGGACTCGTTTGCTGTGGTGGAGACTGGCGTCGCGTAGGTCCGTCCTCCTTGCATTGTAGATCAATCAGTACTTCGTGACCGCACCAGCCTACAACACGCGTGACAATTCAGTGATATGTACACCACAAGATCTGGCTTATATACTCGGCGACCGCGCGACATCGACACGTTTACTCCCAAACTCGATAATCTTGTCAATCAGCAGACCCTGCCCGTCGAGCTCATACACGTCGTCCGCGCCACCAATGCTCACGCCGTTGATGAGCACGTTGGGCACCGTCCGCCGCCCCGTCTTGGCCTCGAGCGCATCCTGCAGCGCCGGGCCCATGGGGTGCTCATCCAGCTCGACAATGTACGGCTCGGGCGAGATTGTGTACCTCTCGAGGAGGAGCTTCTTTGCGCGTTTCGAGTGGGGGCAGAATGTCTTGGAGAAGATGATGGCTGCGTGTGGTTAGTCTTGGACATCCAAACATTTCTTGGGTGAGGTCACGTACTCGGTGATTTCTTGAGAATCATGTTCAGCTCCGCCTCAGCGTCTCTGAGCTCCTCGACCTGCTCACCGCTGGAGCCCCCGGCACCATCCTGACCGTCCGCTGAGCTCCCCACGCCGACAACGTTGCTGGGGGGGTCGGGCTTGAGCCCGCCCTTTTGGTTGGCAATCTTCTTGGCGCGGAGCTCAGCCTCCTTGAGCCGCGTCTGCATGTCCGCGCCCAGCGCTCTGTCGTCCTCGTCAATGTCCCCGTCCTTGTCTCGGTCGGCGGGGCGGAGCTGCGACGACGACGACGACGACCCGGCGTCCATGGCGTGCTTGGTCTTTTGGTAAAAGTCGCGAAAGGGCGTGTGCTCCTTTGACATGGCGTCGTCGGACAGACGGCTTGTGTAGAAGAAGATGAGAATGACGGAGCTCAGGCCCGCCAGGAGGATGAGGCGCATCCGTCGTTGGGACGGCATACTGTGTGTGGTGTATGGGGTTGTTGGCGCTCTTGAAGCTGCTGCTTGGCCTGGTTTCTCCGGATGGTCGGTTCCCGCAGTTGAAGCGGCTGCGGTGGCGGCACGTGTCCTGATCGGAGTCGCCAATAATTAGATCGTCCAGCTTTGCGCCTTGAGAGCAGACTCGCTGTTGAATTGCGCTGGCGTCTATTCTGGGATGAGGGCGGAAGTGTCGTGCGAGAGCGAAGATCAACGTTGACGAGCCAGGCACGCCAAGAAGGCACGTCAACGCGACTCCACTTGCGGAAAGGGGTGCTCAGCGCACGTTGTAGACTGTGCCACTTTGTGGTCGTGCTGCCGTTCTGGCCCTGCATATGCACAGTGCCGATAGACATGGTGCACTCCTGCCTTCCCACTAGGGCAGTTCCTTCCTCATCTTCCTACCTTTCAGTGTTCACATTCAACCTGTAACTGTGTGATGATGCCAGCAAAGCGACTACATTGAACGCACTGCCTTCAAACGCTGAGGTCAGCAAATGACATGGGCTACTACGCGTTACGTATGCGTGCGTGCGCAATTCGCTCTGCACTATCTGGCGCGGCGCTTTGGAAAACTACCAGCATACGGGTACATGGCATCCAAGTCACGTCCTTTGGAAATATGTCTAAGCAGCCCTTCAAGCTCAGTGCCCATCTGAAAAGCGGCAGAGACGATGCCGCCGGCAGCGTATCCATTGCCGTAGAACAGAGCGATTACAGATGATTCGAACATCTATCGCGATATTAACAGTACCATGCTCTACCCTTGAGTTATAGAAGCAGGTTGTGGGGATAGAATGATATTATCATCTTTTATGTTTGTTTTGTGGTTTAGTTTATGGCTATCGAATATTGGGTTGAAAGTACTGGAATTACCCTATTAACTAGCCTGGTTGCCGCAGACATCTCGTTCAAACCAAAAAATTTAACTTGAAATACACATATATTTGCCTTATCCCAGAAGGTAAGATTCGAAATTGCGACCTAAATAGCTTCAATATTTCGCTCAACCGCTGAGCCTCTCGAGCTTAAATGGTAAAGTATACTGTATACTGCTCATAACAGTACTCATAGCGGTTCAACTCCCTTTGTCCCCATAACCTGGTGGCCATGCGTTGGTGACAACAATCCCTCGAACTACCAGGAGCCCGGTGTCGAAACGGACTTGAAGGCTTGAAGCAGACTGGGACCGCTCACATGACGGGCGATTTGGAGCCAAGGAAGACGCCATACCGGCCGGATGCAGGTCTGTCGATAGTATCCGACTGTACAGCTCATGATTGGCGCACAAGACCGGCATTGATCTAATCTGATTAGATGTATCATGGAGATATCCGGCGCCGGTAGGCCACGTCTGTTGACGCGCTACTCCCGAGTGTTTCTGGTCGCAAGGGAGTCAGTCGCCTTGTTCTTACTGGCCCGAGTTGGTCATGATCAGAGCCGAGAGGTCGGGGTGGGCATCACTCTGAGCCGTCTTCACAGATTAAGACAGTTGTCTTACAACCTGCTTCATGCCGTCTGTGTCTGGGTAAGCCCCTCATTACGCCCAGCACTGACAATGCAACCTGGAGAAACATCTGCGTGCTCGATTGCAAAGGATTGCAGGTTCATGACTTGGGCTTGGTCCTGCGGTCGCCTTCTTTTGTCGTCCGGCGCTTCGGACACAAGAGACATGCCCGTGGCCCGAGAGACGCGGAGCTCGCGATCCGAACGGAGATATCGGCGCAACGAAATGATGACGAGGCCGCGTGACCATGGTCATCTTGGCTCAGAGATATCAAGCTGGCTGATTGGAATTAGGTCTGCGAGCCGAGGTTTGCTAGGGCCCTGCCGCACGACGATCCCACGGAAGTTGAGCGAGCATCTTGGCACAAAGCTAGAAAGTGGAAGCGTGTCTTCATCATCAGCCGGCCAGTGGCAGAGTCAAAACTATTCCTCGGGATGACGATTGCTTTGACCAAACAGTCGAATGCGGCGGGTGGAAGCGACGCACGGATTGAGCCTTGCTTGAGCAACGAAAACCACTGGACACGCAATGTTACTGGCGTCCCTTCCACTGGATGTCTTGTCTTGGGACAGACAGTATACGTTTAGCGCGAAGGACGGGAACGAGGGGACGAAGAGGAGGGGAGTGTCGGCGGGGAGTCGGCACTGGAGAGTCGGAGACGTAGATGGCGTCGGAGGGATGTACCCACCTGGCTGCATGCTAACCACTGAGAAGACAACGTCTGATGCCGGGAGATTTAAGCTCGAGATGCGGCGCGGAGGCTGAAATAAGCTTAATGAGTCAATTGGGAACCGGGTCCCGCCGCGAGAGACGGCGTGCGGCTCAAAACCACTAGTCTCTGGTGCCACCAATGTCTGGTCATGTCGCACTCGCGAGATACGGTCTGAACTTCCAATAGCAGGCCTGATTCATTGCTAACTTCCTTTCCACATATAGCTGAGGAACGGCCATGGCAAAGCAGGATTCAGTGCCCCATCGGCAGTGGCTGTTGGACTACCACCCCAGCCAAGTATGTACCGGCTTGAGAGATTTTGGACTGGACCGGGTTGCTTACAGTGCACGACAAGCTAAACTAAACACCGTTTGCCATTGCCCAGCCCTTTGGATGTCCAAGGGACCAAGAATCCCCTCAGCTTTTCTCCGCAACTGAATGAGGCCGGGCCGTGCTGGTCATCGTCCGCCATGGCTGTCTCGAGAAAGATAATCTTGCCGCGCCAGTCTGGGGCAATGGCGCGCACGCCCTACAAGCGCGCCACGACGGTCAGGCAGCCTCCAAAGAGCCTGCCTTGACTCTGACCACGTCGCAGCCAAGTCCACGGTGGTGTGGGGGCGACCGGTGTCGGTCTGGTGGACGAGGGGTTCTTAAAGAAGTGTGGTGCGCGAGGCGCGTAAACCTTGGATCGGGGGACCTCGCCGAGCGGTTCTTTGGATGCAATCGCCCGTAGAAGGTTGTTCTCGCAGAATGCCTGAGGAGACGTCTCGTCGTCCCTTGCAGACCTAACCTCACCTAGCTCCGGGATGGCGGGTGGGGGGTCGATTCGTACCAATGTGCTCACAGCGGTAGCCCTTCGCAGCCTTGCTCACCCCTTGCGAGATTCCTACTCACGAATGACTTGTTAAATAACGATGAGAGGTAGGACATATATTCGAAAACAAACTCATGCCGTTAAGCTACTCATAAAGTAGGATAGTACCTCGTCAGACAAAAAGAAGGGCAACTATAGTATACTACTAATATGCGTAAGCTTCCATAGTAGCTCTTTACTCCATGATGTAGACTTCGAATTTTTCAGGGACATCCGAGGAGTGTCCGCCGGAGGCAGCAATGTCGACACTATAGAACACAGAAACGTTAGTGTATGCGAATTCTCTTGTATCGGATTACTGTAGAGGCGTGAAAGGGACTGGTCTCGGGAGTGCAGGTGATTTTGGGGACGGGGCAAGCAGAAAGGTGAAGGGGAGGGGAGAGACATGTAAAGCTCGGATGCAAAGACGTTTTCACTAACTATGCGATTATATCGTTAGCATATGTTTCTCAAAGGGAACTCAGAAGAGTGAAGGGTCATTTGTTACCATTTCAGCCAAAGAATCGTCGTCTAGCTGGGTGATGTTGTACTGAATGCCGTCGGCGAAAGCCACAATGTTAGGCTTCACCACATCAGTGCACTCTTCTTGCACGTCGGCAGTGTCTGAGCGGCGTTTGTTAACAAAGCTATAGCCACCTCCTCCGTATGGTCCATTTCCCATGCAGAACTGTGTACGGCCACCGCTGGTTTGAACAGTACGGTGTCGACCACACTGGCTGCCTTGGTGGCCCCTCATTTCGATATTCCAATTGCTAGGAATCTCTCGCCAGGCGATGCTACTGAAGGGGCTTCCTGATCTGCCTGAAACCGCGCAGCACGTAGCGGGGCCAATATTCGCGCAATTGATGCTGTTGCTGCCTTTGCAGTTGTTGGTGTTCCAATTCAGCCAGATGTCAATGGCAGAGGCGCCAGCGAAAAGGCTAAAAAAGGCCGGGGAAAAGAGCATCTTGATAAGGACAATAGTGCAGGTGATATCTGCGGGAAGACGAGCGGATGGCTGCTGCGAGGTGCAAGCAAAGGGATGAAGGATGGGTTACTGGAAATAGAGACAGTTGTGAAAGGAAACAAGCTTCCCTTTAAACTTACTGTTCGGCGGGTCCATGAGCTCTACATTCCTCGTGACTGGCAGAAGCAAACAGATCATCGACGTGAGGTGACCGCCGAATGACTGGTAGCTTGCTGGTGCCATTCATGTTGACAATGCCTCATTGAGACTAGGATCAGACGGCAGTATGTGCCCGATGTTGGAGCCTGAAGCCCTGAACCGCGATGGCTCCAGTCCGTCCTTAGCTGATATCTCCATTGCACTAGCGATCATGGGACTCGCCAAGGTTCCTTCATGCAGTTGGTTCTGTCGTCGGAGACTGTACTTTGGTCAAACCCCCTGACGTTGCAGCACGCGGTCGACAGCAAACCCCATCTGGCGGCATTGTGGATTCCATGAGTTCTGCTGTTTAAGGCTGCTACCGGGAAGGAATTTGAACATGTGCTTATTCCCATGTGTGCAATTGGCCCCTTGTTGAAACTTCAATTTGATGGGACACGGATATTGTAAAAACCGACTATGCAGTCTTTCATCATACCATTAGGGTTTTGATCAAAGCGGCACCGCTTTAGACCGGGGCTACTTGAATGAGAATACACTCAGAAACAGACAAAGAACCATGTCGATGTGTGATGCGGATGTGGATCAGCCAAGAGGCTCAAGACCAGCAATGCTGTCGAAGTTGTCGAACAGATGCGGCGTTACGGAGTACGTCCGGTCGTCCGCAACGTAGTCGCCTGCTATACGTATGATAGTCATATGTTGTTGGTTCTGCGGCCGGCCGCTGAAGACTTCCTAATAACAAGGTATTGTGGCTCGGATTCCGGAAACGCTGGTTACTACATCCGATAGGTCGCCCAAAGACCCTGCCGAGCCTGTCTCCGCTACCTGCATAAATTGAAGTAGTGCCAAGTAGTACGTATGCAGTTGGCTACCTGCGTGCTCATGTACTCCGCATGTGTACGAGTGGTGATTGGTTCTACGTATCGGCGTAGCGAGTTGGCAAATTTTGAGCTGACGGCGGCCGCGGCCCATGTTCAGAACGGCACTTTTGTACTACCTTCTTGGTTTAGCTGGGGACCGCGGCGGGCCTTGGCGGGCGTAATCTCGGGTCTAGGACTCCAGTGATTCCAGCCGTCTTTGGCACCTGTTGCAAGTTTACTCATTTGAGTTCCCAACTGAAGAAGTTGGCCATTGACCTGCAAGTAGTAGGAGCTACAGACAGCGGACGCCGGAAACCGGAAGCAGGCGGAGAACCAGGAACATAAAGTTGCCAGCCGTACTCTGTAATTCTACCCAATACGATGTCATTGGTGCCATTGGTGGTGATTCCGCGGGGCCACTGTTACGGACGCGCCCAGTTCCAACACAAACGTCGTATTAGTAGTACGTACGTACTAGTGATTATCGCGCCGTGCCGTGTGCGGCCCGCCTTTTCAGATCCATAAGTACTATTGGGTGAGTACCTGGTACCTATTTACTTCATTATTAGTAATTATACTAGGTAAGCATTCTCTTCCGTCGGGGCGCAAGTATTTAATCGCTGAGAGCGAAAGCCAAGCCTGCCGCGTTGGCTGATGCTGTTCTTGTGAACCTAACCACGTTTCTGACCAACGGCTAGCTGAGTGTTCGTCCGATTGATCGAGTCTTGTAGCCTTGTGCTCAGCGTCCCTGACAATCGGTGCGCACCAGCTTTGGATTAGCCGCAGCGTCCACAGGCGCCAAAAAGCAGTCTAAGCCTAATGGGGTTTTCTAGATAAGCACTCAGTGAATCCCCCATGACCCTGCATATACCCGGTACTTACTTAGTACGTAGTACGAACCGCTCCCTGAGTACTTCCGGAGTATCCGTACTAAGGGTCAGCTGTGCTCGGGGCATTTCTACCGAGTGCAGCATGCCAAGTCATTATGAGTGCAGGTTTGCGAAGCGATTGCTGCTTTCTCTCGGCGCGCCCTCCGCGCGACCCCTTATTCTGGTGACAGTGCCACTGCGCCACGCTGCCCTGGCCCCTGGCCATTACTTGGCAGACCAAGCCAACTGTCACATTCGCTTACAGTAAAGGGAAAGAAAAGGAACTAACCCCATGAAGACTGCCACTTGATTGGGTGACACACACTTCTGACATAAACACCGTTATTTACTTATCCTGGCTGACTTGTGCAATTGTGTTCTCGTTGTGCCCGGTGCCTTTGTGTGTGTTGCTCCAGTATGTGATAGACAGGCTCCCTTTCTCCTTGACCCGCAACTTCTCCTGGCACAAGGGCTCATCTAATGTCGCAAACATGGCTGAGCAGATCGCACCGAATTCGCCTGGCTTCTTCCAGCTGTAGGGGTATACCATGTGCGGTGGGAGGAGCACAACTTCATCCCACAAGTCCCTCAGAGATGCCTTCCAGCGGAGTATACTCTCCCTGAGAGCGATGGGTCCAGTGATGTGCTCGGCAGATGGGATGCCTCCTAGATGACGCAGAATTGTTTTCCGCTTCTGAACTACTTCCTTAGTGGTGTACATTGGCACCAAGAAGAACGGGTGTCGAGGCGACGAAGCCATCCATGCATTTGGGATACTGTGCTGAAATGTCTCGTCTGACCCCAGGCGTCCAAAGACCGCTATGCCTCTATGGTCCACGGGCTCGTCGCTGGATGTCGTATTGGTCGCATCAACCACGGGAATGCGGAACGGCGCGAGCGCCTCATCGGTCGGTCGCAAGCAGTCAGTGTCGAGATCGACGTAAACCCTACGAATCCGTTAGCTCTGTTCCTGTTCCAGACGGCTCGACAAGGCCATGCAGTTGAGCATACCCTCCATACATGTACATGTATAAGTTCCTGGCGAAATCTGCACGGTAGATAGGGCCCGGCAACCCAAGGAAGGCCTCCTCCAACCAAGGGAAGTAGGTCTGGACAAGTTTAAGATTATCGTCGTCCGTCCAAAGTACCCACTCCCAGTCGGCGTGCTGGGCACGGCAGCCCTTGCTCCATCTTTGAAACTTGGCCGGAAGCTCGCTGTTCTTCCAGCTCTGGTGCAAAAGCTTGGGTATGCCAGGCATGTTGGGGTCGACGGGGCGACAAAGAAGCTCGCCCGGGGAGAGGGCGACCGCGAGACCAGGACTCTCCCCTTGCGGGCGGTTGAATTGCAGCTTCGAGCATTCGAGGGGTACAGGTGGTATCGGGTGCTCGGACGAGGAGAGTTTTGGTGCTGCGCTCGGATGTAGAAAAGATGAGATCGAGTCCGCAGGACGATATTGGTAATGCCAGATGGCAAGTAGAGTCACCAGGAATGAGCTGGTCAACACGAGAACGATGAAAGTAGGCCGGCGCCAGTGACCTATGCGGAGGAGCATGTTGGCAAAGGTTGCTCGCTCTATCGAACCATGCTCGGTGGTTCCTGAGTCCAGCGTCTGCACAGTGACTGTGCCGACTTGAAAGGCGCTTGGGAAGTGGAAAATTGTCTTATTAATGCATGCACTGCCGCGGGTACTGACTACTTACTGAGTCCTGGCATGTCGGGACATGGCGTGTCGGGGCCCCGGGGGTGGGGGCGCTACGGGGCCACATAACCAGTAGGATGAGTCCCCAGTGAAGGACTGGACCGCCGTCACCGCCCATCTATTACACCCACTGTACTCCGTACTCCGTACGTAACTTTCCCTAACAGAAAAAGGCTTGGCCACTGGGCTATCCAGATTCCAGACATTCCCAATTTTGGGTACGTACAACCCAAGTCGCACGCATGCACCGACCTGCTGCGAGTTACCGGTTGCTGCACGTTAGTTCCTTACATTCTAAGCAGTGCAAATTACAACAGAGGCTATAGACGATGTCCACTGTGGCTCACGAGTGTGTTCCTCATGGTGAGTCTGATCCATCCCCTTTCCCAATGCTAGGAGAACAACTATTTTCCGAAACCTACCAACATGCTCGAGTCGAACAGTTTCCTGGATGGCAAGTATAATCAAGGTTGGACGTGGCACCCATGACATGTCTCCATTGACACTCATCATCCCCCAGTGGAGCATCGGGTCACGGGTTACAGCATTGAGACAGACCGTGCTAATGAGGACATGGGATCGCGAGTCTGGATTCTGACTGGAATCAAGCACTGGGTTCAATTTTTCGCCTCTCATCGTCCAAGGCTCCTTTACGGATACTCCGACATGGTCTCGCCAGGCTGTTGAGATACCATCGTCCTGTCAGCATCAAATCCTTGACTGCCATGGCGCAAAGAATCGAAGCGGCGTGAACTTAACGAGGAAAATAAAGTAAAGTTGTTAGTGAATCTGGCCTAGTACGTAGCCAAATGCCCAGACGGTGAAGTATGCAAGCCAAAGGGTCTGGTCGGTTTTGATTTTAAGAAGGCACTAGCCTAAAATGACCAAACGAGCAAAAAGCCGAACAGATACACAAACGTGGCCAGCGACGACGCCCTCTAAGATAGGACTACATTAAAGAGCAGTTCTGTTGCGACTAGCAAAACGTGGCCACTTCAACAGGTACCGTACACCTTGTTGATGGAGGAGGTGGAATATTTAGAGGGCATGGACATGGTGCGAGAATGGACAAGGTGCAGGGTAACTAGACGAAGACGTCACTTCCAGTTGCCTTTCTAGGTATATATACCTACGAAGTTCGTGTAGTAGCTGGACATGATCAGAAGCGCGACTCAAAAATGCCTATTGCAACTGGAAACTGCCCGACTGCTCCTCAACAAAGCGCTAATAGCATGGCGATCCAGAGATCCGCTGTCTTGAACAAGTGTCGTAAGAATCTGACAAATTCACGAGCAGGGGCCTCAATCCTCATCAACGCAGAATCAACCAACCAATGTCCAACAGTGGACCAGGCACTTTAAGTCTCGCTTTTGAGGTAATTGAACTGTAGTTCAGGCTCTCGCGTACAATGAGAGCTGTTGACAAATACGCATGCGCTGCGTGACCTGACGACAATCGTCTCAGCCGACCCCCGACTCCCCTCCATTAAGCAGCCCAGATTACAAAGACACTTCCACTCAAACGTCAACGCCAAACCATATAAGCCAGTTAGCCAGAGTCGCCATGAGTACAAAAGCCAGCTGGTTCTCTTGCAGGCCCAACAAGAAGTACATTCCTTGAATTCAATGCAAAAAATCCATCCCACATCCACCAACGTCATGTCCACCACCACCGCCCAACTCCCATCCACGCAGTCCGCCGTCGCCGCACCGGCCCGGCGCGCACGACTCACCCTTACCACCGTCCCCGTACACACACCTGCCCCCGGCGAGGTCGTCATCCGCGTCGAGTGGTGCGCCTCCTCCCCGCTCGACCTGCACAAGGCCGACGGCGGCCTGGTCGTTCCCTCGTGGCCCTTTGTCGTCGGCACGGGCGGTGTCGCGGGTACCGTCGTCTCCACGGCAAGCGAGGGCGACCTCAAAGGTCTCGGCGTGGGCGACAGCGTCATAAGCTTTGCATGGGGCAGCGAGAAAATGGCCAACACCCAGCAGTACCTGACCGTGCCGGCCTATCTCGTGTCCAGGATCCCAGAGGGCATCAGCAAGCCCGCCGCGTCGACCGTGTCGGTCAACCTGGTGACTGTCTTCCACACCGTCACGAAAGATCTGGGTCTCGGCCTGCCGTGGCCCATTCCGTCCGGATGGACGCCCAAGGTCGCGGATGCTGCCATCTTGATCTGGGGCGCCAGCAGCAGTGTGGGCATGTACGTTCTGCAGGTCCTCCGTCACTGGGGGTACAGGAACCTCATCGCCGTCTCGAGCGGTCGACATCACGACAGTCTCAAAGACCTTGGCGCGACCGCCTGCTTCGACTACACCAAGCCTGGCGTCGAGGCGGCTATTGTGAAGCACCTCGGCGCAGCGGGTGTCCCCTACATCATCGACTGCATAGGGTCTGTCGAGGGGACATTGCGACCGCTGAGCAAAATCGCCCATGACGGGACGCGTGTGGCGATCATGTTGCCCATGATCATCAGGGATGCCACGGAGGAGGAGGAGCCTCTGTATGAGAGCGACACAGCCAACGTCCTTCCGGGGGAATGGGCCGACGGTGTGGTCCTCAGAGGTGTGCGCACGCACTTTTATCTCGAGGTAAGTTTGTTCATTGTCTCTCCTTTCTCTGCCGAATCAGCAGCAGCTGATGATCAAACCCCTGGCAGAATGAGTTCTTCAAGGAACGGCTCCAGTCCGAGATTGTCCCCGCTCTGCTTGCGCAGGGTATCGTCAAGCCAAACAACTATCGCCTCGTGGAGGGCGTCTCGCTGCTGGAGCGAGCGCAGAAAGCGCTCGATATGCTGCGGCAACGGGCCGCCAGCGGAGAGCGCCTGGTCTGGGGGGTGGCGGAGGAGTGAGAGGTTGTCTGCATTCAGCGACGGATTGTTTACTCATTACCAATACCCGCCAGGACAAGACCCGAACTGCGCATCTCGTACAGATTGTGTGGAAAAGGTTCCCGGTAGTCCATCGTACATATGTAATTAGAGATCCATCATCCTTCAGAGGTGAGGATATATATACGTCCTCAGGTTGATACCTGCTTCGTCGACATGAATTCATCCATTGTATCGGGCCCCACGTGTCTATTCCATCCAAGTCAGCGTGCTGCTCTTGACATCCTTCACAAAAAAGGGAGAAAGGGAAACTCACATCGTTAGGAAGAGCCTCGTAAACTCATCGGCATCTTCCGCCCTCGCATACTGCCAAAAGGCATCAAACCCGAGATCCTTCACCCACCAATGCGGCTTCTCCCGCCACGCGCGGAAAAAGTCCATCGGGGACTGGGCGTTCCAGAGATGGCTGGACGCCGTGAAATTCTGCCCGTTTGGCCACATGTCCTTATCCGCTAGAAGAAGAAGAAGAAAAAAACGTCAGTACACACGTCCACCGGCGAAAGGAAAAGAAAGGGAGGAGCTCACGCATCTCGCTCTTGAGGACCTGTACCAAGCAGTGGAACGCCAAGGCCATGAAAATCGTCCGACGGACGCTCTCGACCAGGACCCAGCTCTCCCAGCTCCGGGGCGGCTCATCCCTCTTGGCCTCGCCGCCGACGACGCCCTCGTCGCGCTCGAGCTCGTCCCTGACCTGAAGGAGGTCCATGAGCCACGCTTTGCGCACGTCCCGCTCGCGCTCCGACGCGCTGCGCAGCGTAATGTCCCCGTCAAAGGTGCGAATCGTGTCCACAACGGTGTGCGCCTGCAGACGGGCTATCTTCTCGAGCGGCGTCGTCGCCACCTTGCCCTCGTGTAGAATCTCCCGCGACGTGTCGGCCACCAGCTTGAGCACCCAGGGACGGGTGGCCTCGGTGCGGCCGCTGTAGGCCGCGCACGCGCCAAAGGCTGCCATCATGGGCCGCGGGAGGTTGCCGGCGTATAGGCGCGGGTGGATAAAGGGCAGCAGGCGCGTGCGCGCAAAGACGTCGGGCATGTTCCTGACCCAGTGATGGACGAAGCCCACCGCCGTGCGCTTGTCGTGCACCAGCAGCGGATCCGCAGACAGGCACTCGTCCCGGCCGATGCCGTTGCGGAGGATCATAATGTCGCGGATCGGCTCTGGCGCCGGTGGCGAGGTGGGTTGGAACATTGTGGGCACGGGGAAGTTCATCTTGGGCTCCTCCAGGAAGGGCGGTAGGCTCCACTCGCCCGTGTTGCCCTGGATCAGGTCGGCAATGTTAAAGTCCAGGTTGGGGTCGAGCTCCAGCGTCCCTGCCTGGGTAGACGACGACGACGACGACGACGACGGTCCGCCGCACGCCGTCGGATCCAGGTGCATGTCGTATGTCGAGGGCATCTCAAAGGCACCTCCCATGGCGTAGTCGTCGACATGGGTCGCGGCACTGCTCATGGACTCCTCCTCCTCTTCCTCGGTAGGGCTCGACGTGGACGTCGCTGGCGCGCCGGGCGGCAGCTTTGCGTACACGCACTCGAGACCCTTGGCTGCGCAGCGCGTGCACCGCGGCAGTGTCTTGTCACAGCGTCTCTTGCCGCGCACGCATGCGTTGCAGCTCTTTTGTCGCGAGGCAGCCCCTTGGCGGTCCTGGCGCTTGCTCGCCGTGAACAGGAACGGTTCGTCCATTGCGTCTGGTTATCAGTGGAGTGATGGCAAATGAGGGATGGATGAAGGACAAATGTTGATGGCCCTGACTGACACGCGGGCGTCGTTGAGCCGATGCCGAGTCGTCTGTCGATCTGTCAGCACAAGTCCGCTCCGATGGATGTGGGTTCATCTGTCCGCTTGAGGTGTTAGTCCTGTCGCAAAGTCCGCAAAATCCGCACCCATCCACCAACAAGCAACTCCGGAGTCCGAACGCTGTTGCAACTTGCGAGGCAATAAATCAATCAGCTGTTTGATCCGGTATATGCACCCGTATTTACTCCTGGGCATGTGGAGTCACAGGATTGACCCTTGCGCGGTCACTACCTACGTACACGTCACGCACGTCGTCACAGATCAAATGCACCAACCGTTCGCTGGGAAATCACATGGGTATATATCGACTGTCCTCACGCTCTTGGCCACAGTCCGCCCCGTGGCCAGTGTCCCAATTCCCATCCCATGAAAAGAGCATACATAAACCTGGACTGGGGGCCCGAACCACGTCGGCTGCCTCCCAAGTCCTCATAGTCATCTGATCCCCTGACCTTCGCTGGAGAGCTATCCGTCCGTCCCTGATCCGTCGGCGCCGGCAGAATGTATAGAACAAAGAAGAAGATGACGATAATGTCGAGGTCGCTGTAACCCTCGTGTGCGGAATCGGCATTACGCATGTCCAGATGTCCAACTCCAACTCCAAAAGGGATCCCAGTCAAGCAGGGGCAATAAATGTAACACGAATCGGACCAATGTTGTCGGGCCGGATCAGACCAAGCCAGACCAGACAAATGCACCAATCTAGACGTGCCGGTATCCGGCTCCATTGGGTGTACCCTCGTACTGAACGCCCGTCATGTTGTCTGGCCCTAGAGACCGCAGAGGGGGTAGTTCCGTGCGGCTGCCGCTGCTGTACTCTGTAGCGTACGGGGCATGGTTCGCGTGTGGCTGTGGCGGCGGCGGCGCCGCCCCCTCGTGATGCCCTGGCGCGGGTGGTGGTGCTTCCACGCGGTATCCGCTCATCTGACTGCGCATGGCTTCGTTCTCCTGGCGGAGCTTGTTGTTCTCGTGGCGAAGCTGCGCAATCAGGCTTGCCTGGTACTTGTGCTCCTCGATTGCTGCGCGAGAACAGTCAGTACATGGTGCTTCGTCCATGGCTCGTCCAGCCGAAACTTACCCTTGGTCAAAATCTCCCACTTGGACGCCTTGGTCCCTCGCTCCTGGGGCATCTGGTCGCGCAGGTTGTCAAACAGCTCCTTCATCTCCGTGCGCCTCTTGCGCTCGGCCAGCTTGTGGCTGACGCGCAACTCGGGCGTGCGGCTGTAGGGTTGGTTGCCCGCCATGCCATCATCCTGCAGCCCAGACACCTGTCGATGCTGCAGCGGGATCTCCGGCACCGCCGGTGGTGAGGGGCCGTCGTCGAGCCGGCGCTGCCCGGGGGGCAGACGTGAGTCGGCGGTGAACTGGCTGCTGGCGATGGACTCGGAGATGCTGCTTCGGCGAGACAGGTCGTAGGCCGAGTGCTGGCTGTGGCGGGGGTCTTCGCGGTCTTCGGGGAAAGCCCATGCCTGACCCTTGACGGGCTCGGCCGCTCGGGCAATGTGACTGGTAGTTGGGCCGGTAATAGTCGGAGCCGTCCGGGGGTACTTGGCGTCGGGATTCCTGTCGTTGTGAGGGGCGTAGCCGTTGGAGATTCGGTGGACTGGCGGCGTCTCGAACCCTGATCTGGGGTTGCGCTGCGAGTGCAGTGTGCTTTGGAAGGAGGTCGTCGAAGGGTTGTGGCTGGTGTAGGGGGAATTATTATTGTTGCTGTTGCTCAATTGTATGTTGGAGATGCCCTGGTTAATCCTGCTGTCCACGCTCTCGCGCCTGGCTAAAGATGCGCCGTCCATCGTTGCCGAGCTGTGGCCCGAGTCCATGGAACGCTGGTGGTGGAGCGCACGGTAATCTGGGGCATGCGTTGCCGTGGGCGAGACCATGTGGGCGACGCTCATGCTGGGCGCCGTCGGCGAGATGACAGGGTGGTTTGTGGACATGTGGCCGGCGATGGGTGAGGGCGTCTTGTCGGTCGATGACTGATACCCGGAGGCGGCAGGGCTCAGTCCGTGGCTGTTGAATGATGCTGACGATGTGTCTGCGACGGAGCTTGTTAGCACGAATGCTCTGATTCACGACAGCCACTGTGAGCATGCGTGGGATGACAAACGTTTGCTGGAAATGTCGCCCGTCGAGTAGAAGCCCGAGTCCCGCAGCTGCGACGTGCCATTGGCGAGAGGCTCATCGTTGTTCAACAGCTTGTTGAGGCTCTTGGGCGGCTGGGGCCTGGGCTGGGCTGCGGTCTCCATTGAGACGGGGTTCAAAAGGAGAATGAAGAAAGAGCTGGCGTTTTTCGGTCAATTCGCGCTCTTGGCTATCCGGGGTTGGTGAGGGCTGGTAGCGGGCGCAGCTGAACCCGTTCGAGATCCGTCGTCGCTTTGTTGGTTTGTAGGGGGGAGGAGAGCGAGGATTGACGCAACGGTATTGGGATCGCCCTCGAACACGACTCGGCAGGGCTGCAGTGAGGTACCGCGTCAGTAACGTGAAGAACTCGAATGACAAAGACAGGAACGTGAGGGTGCAAGCTCCAGCGTGTATCGTGGTGAGGAAATCGTGAGCAGAGAGGAAAGGGATTTTCCCTTGTCGTTGACAGACAGGCAGACAGGCAGACAGGCAGACGGACGGATCGAGGAGGAAGCGGGAGCCAAGGAGCCTAGTAGCTGATGGAGACTAGAGAGCAAGCAGCATGTGCGCGTGCGGTGGTGGGTGGAGACAGTCGAGGCACTGTGCGGCTGCGCAGGTCCAGTCCGCCATATCCTTGTCGCTCGCTAGCATTGGCAGCACAAGGCACGCGCGCCACGGTGCCGTGGCTGCTAGAGGGGTACGCGAGGTACGTACTCACCCGCCATGTCTCCACTGGCCACGCCTGTCTTAGTGTCCACAGTCCAGTTGGCAGTCGTCCCGGCGCAGGACGCGAAAAAAATAAGGCCGGCCTTAGAGCGTGAACGCTGGCTTCAAGTCCGTCGCCGGAACTTTTACCCAAGGATCAAAGGCACAGAGGCACGCAATGCCGCATTCAGAGCTGCAGCCGCATCCTCAGGACCCCAGGGCTGCTTCCCTCGACAGACTGGAGCCTGCCTTGGGTGCCTTTCTTCTGCGTGCCTGCCAGCTTGACTCGCGTGCCCTGGCTTACCTCGCTTGGCTAGCTGGCCAGCTTTGGTGGTCAATCGACTGGCCTCCATCTCGCCTAGCTGGATTCCAAGCCGAAAATGGACTGGAGTGACGAACTTGTGTGCGGTTCGCAAAAGCAGCGGCGGCAGGCAGGCAGGCAGGCTCAGTCAAAAAGTCCAGCAGCAGACGCACACCTGGCATCCCTGCAACTCGTGGGAGGGGGTGGGGCGAGCAGGGGAGGGGGTTTTGGGGGGAGGAGCTTTCGGAGATGGCCCACAGGCGACTGCCAATGCAGCGTCGGCCATTTTACGACCGGACGCCGCACAGTGCCACAGTGTGCTTGACTGTGCAATGGAAAAGCGTACATACCGGAATCATTATCCACGGGAATTGGCTCCAGGCGATATGAAGAACCATTTGGGTTGCGGCGCGGTCGAGGACTCAGAGGAGGCATGGCGGCGGCAAAGTGAGGCATGGTAACGTCGTAAGGTGAGTTGAGGTGAGGCAAGGTACGAGAGCCACGGAAACGACAGTACGCATCTGTAGTATGGCATCTTGAGGCTCTGCGAACTCGATATTTATACTCACACTTCCTTTTTTCTTTCACCAGAGAAATATTTAAATTTAACGTTACGACCTCAGGAAATTTGCCATCTTTTCGACTACCTCGTTGCTGGACTTACTGGTCGGTTGAACTTTGCAACATTCGTTGGCTGGTCGATTGACTTTGGAACCTCTCAACCACACGTGCGCCAACAAAATCATCAAGGTGTATCAGGGTCTTGCGCTCAGTTCCCAAGGGTCTCTGGACGAAACTATGTTTTTCTTAAACCTTTATCGCTTCAATCCGCCACAGACTTGCCAGCAAGCTTTTTTGTACTACGTATATTGGGAGCTATCAATCTACGTAGCTTGGACATTGAGCCTGCTCTTCCGCGGCCAGTTGCAGGCTTCGGCTAAACTATCGCTAATAACAGACGCCACGCCACGCCACGTCCAGCGCACTCCGGCCCTTGTCGCCATCACTGAGCACACGCTTTCCTGGCAGGCACACGGCACCTCGGACGATTTACAAAGTACCAGAGTGCGCCGAGAGGTTATGCATGCGAGACGGTGGCGGTGGTGCAGGGACGCCACAATACTCTCACAAACAAAAATGGCACGCCGACGAAGGATAATAGACCTCGCGCTTCGCAGTGTCAGGGCAAATCCAAAGGGGAGAGGAAACGGAAAAATTGGCGCGGCACTGGCGCCGATTCTGTCCTTTTGCCAAAGGGTCGAATCGCCGTAGAAAAAAGGAATGTGCAGTGCAAAGATCATCTGCATGCGTCGAGGTCGTCGTATACTTTGCTGTTTATGTAACTACTTGCTGTAGCTACTGCACGAGAGACGACCGCTGAAGTATAGTGCGGATCGGTCAGGATATCTTGTGATATTTCACATTTTAAGCTCCGATTGGCTCTTCTTGACTAATTAACACTACTGCGAGTTCTCATGCTCCTAAGTACGGTTCAAACATTCCTATTACTACTCGCTAGTAGTTCAAGTTCAAGTTGAGCCTTTTGTGGGGTTCCCCACTATGGATATACATACTGTTACATAAGTTCAAGATTGTGCTTCATATCAACTAGGCACCAAACGGAACCTTGCCGACAACAGCATGTCCTTCCGAGCCTGCATGAAACGTCATCTCGAAGAAGCTTCGACTACGTTTTGGGAATTATAACAATTTTCTCGACATGTGTCACTGCAAAGTACATGATCAAACGTCGTTGCTCGGCGTCCAAGTCTAATGTGACCAGGTTGCACTGACACCGTGGATAGTTTTAGTCTTGCCTCCAGCCTGATTAAAATCAGTCTTGTCTCACCCACTCGATAACTAAAGCAGATGCACTCATCCGCGTGTTCGTCCTGCCCTCGTGCACATCGCCGAGCACACCAGCCAGCCACGCCATGTGCTGGTGTTTGTGCATAAGCTCATGCGAGGGTGTTATCCGCTAATGCAAGCTGCACAGTCCGCACTGTGACAGGATGTGCAAAGGCACCACTCAGACACGGCGGTCTTGTGCATGCGCGATCTTCCGCAGCCACGTGAAAATGCCCGCCACGATCAGCCAGCTAGCCAGCCAGCCAGCTGCCACTGCCTGCCAGCCAGCAGCGTGGCCAGGACCCCTTCTCCCCCCTCCAGACCCCCCTCTCGCGCGACGACAAGCCTCTGTCAATCTCTTAATCGAGCGTGCTATTTCTTGGCAGGATCGTCCTCCACACACGGGATCTCGCCTTGGCCCTTGGAGAGAGCGCACTGTCTTCGTCACTGTGGACGTACGACGCACTATCGGCCCCTGGACAAGGCACCATGCACGGGCCTTGCTTCTGCCCCGTCATGGAAGACGCCTCATCCGGACGAGTTGCAGAGGGCCACAGGTGATCATTGCGCCCATGGTCGTGATGGCACAGCAGGTGCCACTATGCGAGAGCCGTTTCGCAAGGACATGGACGCTGCGGTGCAACCAACCAACAAAGTCAAGCCAGCCAACCAGCCAGCACGGACGCACGCACGTCGCACGCAGACGCCAGGCCCCTGTGAAATAATTAGGCGCGAGCGAGGCGTGCATTCGTCCCGCTAGCCTGTGGGCAAGGGACCCTCATCCCTGTCCTGGTCCCACCTGCAGGCCGTCGACACTGTGTGCGCAGTCGGCGATAACCTTTGCTCGACAACGTGGCTGTCGCCCGACCCTTTCGAGGTCCAGTCTGCGAGGGAAAGCCGCCGGTAGGTCACAGCGTCTCCACAGCGCGAACTTGTTTGCTAGGCGCCCCATGACATGTCATCTGCTACACGGATACGTATACGTTGTAAACATCCTGTGTCGACGAGCAGAGAAGCGAATGTCGGTCGCGACGTGGAGAGTTGAGACCCCAGCGCTGACGAGTCACGACTTGTCAGCTTTGACCCGGGGACCGCTGTCAAGTGACAGGCTTGGAGTCATGCCCGTGCAGCTTCATTAGCGCGAGACGGTCTCATTGTGCGAAGACAATTGCATCGACTTGCAAGGCTTGATTAACAGCGCCAGTATTTTGAGTAGTACGGTTGCATTCAATGGTATTGTGCTGCCTGCCACCGCCAATCGTGTTTAGGAAGGAATCATCGAGTAATACGCGTCAAACCACGTCCAGCGACTGTGCACGACTCGGAACTCGCCTGCCAGGTACTTAGCTGTCTCGCACTCAAGCATCCAAACTCCAATGGGCACTTGTTCCCGTGTTGTGTCCTCGGGGCCATGCACGTAGACAAGTCTTGTAAAGTTTGAAAATAACAGGGCGCTCTGGCAAACTCTCCTGGAATTGTCCCGAGTCAAAGTCTTGGTAAAGGGCCGAGTGCTACCGAGCCCGCGCTGAGCCATGTTTGTTGCTGGAACGCAGATGGCGTGGACGAAAACGGTGGCCCGACAGCATCAGGCAGCTGTCGTCAACGTGCTGTTGTTGTTATCTTCATCACGTCTCCCCAGCAAGAAAGGACCGTTAGGAAATAACGCCGGGTTTTGAGAAGGTTTGTTAGGCTTTTCCCAATCGTCCCTCTATGGGCCACTAGACTTCACAAAGCGACCTGCGAAGCCCACGTCATGCATGCAAGAGAGGAGGCCGGCAATTTCGAGATTAAAACGGCTCCGGGTCTGAACTAGAACAGTTCACATGCTGATCCAGGCACCTGGCAGAGACATGATGCTTGACGTGAGACACAATCATATACGTAGTATTGTGCCGACCGAGCATTGTGCTCCACAGATTGCCGCGGGTGGGAATGGCAGTTGCGAATGGCTTCCGGGGTGCACGGTTGATGAGCACAGCAATTTGTGAACATCGGAATGGAACAACAACAAGTATTGTACTTCTTATCGATCGCTCGACGGCTGTTAGTCGAGTGCCGGGTCCCTAATAGTCGTGCCCCTGCCCACTGCCGCGGGTCCAGAATGGTGAGATGTCAGATATGCCATCATGACCACGGATGAAGCTTTGGGTTTTGGCTCTGGACTTAATCTGACGTCCCTTGCTTGGTAGTTGACGTCCCACCCCTTAGTTTCCCTTCTTCCTTTTTTATTTTTCTATTTATTTCTGTTTTTCCTTTGTCTTTTCGAATTAC